TAACTGATAGTTATACCGCAAAACTGGATATTATAGTGAGGTTTAAATAAACCTTAGATTTAGGAAGACAGTTGGTAAGGTTTAAATGAACCTCAAATGTAGCAAAAAAAATGATACAGTAGCAAAAAAAATTGATACAGTAGCAAAAAAAATTGATACAGTAGCAATTTGAAATTGATACAGTAGCAATTTGAAATTGATACAGTAGCAAAAAAAAATTTGATACTGTAGCAATTTAAAATGCAGCAAAAAATTGATACTGTAGCAAAAAAAAAATTAATACTGTATCAATTTAAAATGTATCAGCCTATTATTATACATTTGTAAAGTAACATATAAGTAAAAAACATAACCAGTAATGATAACGATGACATATCAAAACAAAATAAAAAAGGTACACTACAAATATCAGAAATGCCGAAGAAAAACCAATCCAATCATCAACAGGTGAATATATACTTCAATAATAAAACAAGTGAAAAATGACAACGAAGAACAGTGAACATAAAAGCTTGCCAAAATAATTTCAAAAAATAAGTAAAGTTTCTTCACATAGAAATATGGCGCACGAGTTTTCAAAATTTATAAATCGTAAACAATCCATTATCATCCACAAGTGTAGCGTATTTTGTCACGGTCATATGATCGATGCTGATATGACCGATGAGTCAATGACAAAAGCTAAAGACAAAAAAACGCATAAAAGGACAAGAACATCAGTGACGAGCAGAGTTTTTCTGTTCACGTTTTCTAGTGAGTATTATCTGTACATTTTTCATGATCATGTTTTCTTGTGCTCTTGTGTGTTACTGTTTCTCATATACCCGTGTTTTGCTCCAGTTTCATCAACCTAAACATCGATAAATTCTGGCTGGATCTTTGAGTTGAATCCATCATCATCATCGTAACCGAAAGATCGAACGTATTCAACCCATTGGAGAAATAATTAAAGAATCACCGTATTGCATTAACTTATATTCATCATACGCCTTTTTTTCTATTCTTTCATTTTTTTACATCATTATTATTATCCATTCCAATAAAAACAATTTTAATCATTTGCCTTCGTGTAACTTTCTGATCTAACAAGTCACAATTTAAAAAATCAAAGACAGATCATAATTCGATACAGATCGCGGCAAATGGCCAACCAACAAAACACAATACAAAACAATGGCATTAAGTTGATAAAAAAAAATAATTTGGATTCACAAAAACAAACAAAAAAGTAAACAATTTGTGTGTGATGACTATTGTGAAACAAGTGTACATAGTAAAAATAGTGACAACATGTAATGATATAAACAATTTACTAATCATCTCACATTTAGATCTATTGCAACTCTCAATCACGTCTGAATCTCACTTGTAATTGAAACTGAAATATTTCTCAATTCAAAATCGCGCAAATGAAAATGACACCTACTATGCAGTTGTCCGGGAACGTCGAGTCGATCAAGTTGATCAGAGATGATAATGTTAAATGTCGAGTTGATAGCTGAGTTGAATTGACGATATGAAGATGAATTCTAGATGAACACATAACACAACATGAACACGTAACACAACACAAAACACAACTAAAATAATCGGCACACAGAAATCAATTTGATACTTGTTGATACATTGTCTGATGAATATCAAATTGATAGCAAACAACATGTTGAATTAGTGACAAGTTGAGAATGCAGAAAAAACACCTCACATACACCAACAAAGCACAGCACTGGATCACATCACGAAATTCTGCATGAAAGAAAAAACAAATAGTCAACATTTATGATAAATAAACCAATCCACTCACTATTCAAGTTATGGAACTGATGTAAGTAACTCGTTGTGGCATACTGCGACTGTGGTGGTTGATAATTGGACAATGTTGGATGCGATGTGGCCGACGTAAAGACTGGAAAATGACTTGGTTGCTGATGATGTTGGAAAGCTGTCAATTGTTGTTGTAAGGCTGATTTTTTTGCTTGATGGTGGTTGTTGGTTCGACATGTGTTGAAGCTTTTCGAAGACATATTTTCGGAATAAATCGGGAAAAACTAACAACACAAGAAAACACAACGTGTTCACACAGAGAGAAAAGGAAGACATTATATTTTCGTCAGATGTTTTTATGATCGTTGTCCATCATACACAACACAAAATGGACAAATTTTTTACCACAACACGCTCACCACAAGAATACATAAAAACAAAACAAAATTACATATCTTTCACACAACTTTGTAAACACATTTTAGAATCATTATTACGCAGGACACAATTTCAATTTTTGTGGTCTTTTTAAATCATGTATTTATTCCAGGTACAAAAGTCCCTGGGACTTGGTACTCTTTTGCAAAATAAAATTGTTATTATTATTATTATCATCATCATTAATCATTAATGTTGTATTTCATATTCTACTCACCGAAAATTCCAATTTTTTGGGTCAAAATTTCGATCATATTTTTTTCTCAATATTGGGAAATTCGAATCAATTTTATTTAAAATACTAAGCATGGTATCGTAGGTAACAATCGATCTAATGATGCAAAGTATCATTGAATTAAATGTTTTAAAGGTGACAATCAAATTTGGATTAAGTAGAAACGTTTTCATGCCATCAATCAATCACTTTGCATGATGATTTTGAATGGCGCTTCATCAATATCCAATGCCATATTTCTCTGTTATTATCCATCATCATCTTCGACAATTCATTTTGATTCACTTCTTTTGGTACACCTTTCATTATAAAGGTAACCAATTCATTTTGTTGTTGTTGATTCGATGACGACAATGAACATGAAGGGCAATTGTTGATTCGTTTTTTCAATTCATCAATTCTTTAAAAATTTTGTCACTTTTGATTTTACTATAGCGACCAGTTTGAATTATCGATTTTTACAAGTGAACGCCAATTGATTTGAATTCGTTTTCAAATATTCACCAATTTGAACCATCATACGCATCGAATCAAACAGACAGTGATAGTGATATAGTGATATAGTGATCACTCACTCAGAATCGGAAAATCTATCTTTCACAAATCGTCATGTTGCAGTATTTAGTCGAGGCGAAAAGCAGCATGGCACAAAACGACACTCACAAATGAGTCATATTTTACCAAGTCAAAAGAAACAAGTGAGCAGATGTTCAAAACAAACGTACTATTTTTCCGCTGCTGCCATCTATGGCTCTTTCATAATAATTGTATTGAATTTACTCCGAGAATAAAATGATCAGATCCATTACCACCCCCCCAGTGCCTTGCAAATCGTCAATGTGCTGCTTTGTGTTGAGATTAAATTGAAATGAAACAACACAACACAACTAGAGAAATAGAGAAATAATATACACACATACACATGACATTGGAAAATTGAGTTTTATTCACATGTTCGTAAATGAATCAAATGGTCAATTGTCTATTTTCTGTACAGCTCTGGTATAGTTTCTTGACCTGGATGATTTTTGTAAATGTGATATCGGAGAGTATGGAGACGGGCATATTCCAGCTGACAATGTGGACATTTAAAACGCTCACCCATCGAATGTTTGGCCAAGTGACGTTTGAAATCGCTGTATATGCGGATTCGTTTGCCGCATGTTTTACATTCGTATTTATAAAGTTTAGCCAGGTGTTCTTTGTGGACCACCAAATGACAGTCCAATAAAGACTTATCGTCATATGTCATTTCACAATAGCCACACTTAAATCGTTTGTCCTCCGTCATGGTGCTCGATGATGATGGAATACTGGCATCTAGGCTTTCGTCGATAATCACGTCAACAGCGATTGAATTTGGTTCTGGTTCTTCACTGTGCTGCTGCTCACCCAACTTTTGTTTTCGATGTTCAATGAAATCGCCGGTTATCGATTCGATATTATGGGAACAATTGGCCAACCTTGTCTCGATATTGGTCACGCGATTCATCAGACGTTGTTCAATGTAATCCATCCTCAATAGCAGTCTCTCGTAATCGGCACTCGTAGTGGTGGCAAGAACCTTTTCAATCGTCGATTTAAGCAATTTATCCATCTCTTTATTATTGTTTTAAACAAGTCAAAACAGTCTGAAACCAGAAAATTTAAAGAATGCTCAACCGTTGCCGGAAACTTTTTTATCGTAAAAATTGCCGTAAATTTTCCGAAAAGATACATTGTATCCATCGTATGATGATGAACTTTTGGATACTAAATGATTGTTGATTGATCACATTCATCATCCTCGCTACCATCAACATCTTGGCTTGGTTTCTCAATCATTTCGGATTCATGATCAGCTTCAACCATTCCTTTTATGAAAACAAACAAATGGATTCATCATCACTAGGTGATTGAAACAAAAATATCGTATAAACTCACCATAAATGATACGCAATATATTCCATATGCGCACGAATATGATAGCTTCAGTATAGTGAAGATATTTGTGATGGATAAACACAATGGACAATGACCAGGAGATGCTAATTATAATCAAATCGAAAATGTCATGTTTGCTGCGGAAAAATGTTTGGCCATAAACCAGCAGTTTGGTTGCAATTTCAATGACAAATATGGATTGTATACAAAGGCTGCCCATTTGTAGCCATTCTTTGATGTGATGCAAATCAACAACTACATGTTCACCAGTACCAACACCCGATGTACCAGTTGTGTAGAGATCGAGGACCAGTTCACAGCTTATCATGATCCATTCGACCAGAATGAGTATGAGTAGAATTTTCTATAAAAAAAATGATCAAAGTTAATTCACTTTCAACAAATCACAATTGACAAATTACATGAAATCTTTTCGATCCAAGCATCGTTTTCATGCGTTTCACACGGTACAACTGTTTACGCTGTTGATCATTGCGATTCGTTGAATGAATTTCACACAACTCGATTGACTGGCCAGCCGATCCATGCAACGTTGCCATTTTGAACAGTCTGAACAGTCACTTTTATCTATCAATATTAGGAATGCTCATCATCATCGTAAATAATGCCCATTAAATGTAACGCCAATCACTATCAACCTAAGAACCTGATGTTTGATGATTAAATTACAGATGTTTCCGACAAAACACAGGTAGCTGTTGTTTGATTTGATTTTGCCGATCATTGTCTATGGCAACCATGATGACGATGATGACATGACGATTAGATTAATGCATACTGTTGTTGCACATTTATTCAATTGATTTGATGATGAAATCAACAATTTTTGCACAATTGTTCTTCTGAGTGAGCATGATTTGTTTGAGATCATCGATTATGACATGTCGTTCATTTCGGGTGAGGTTAACACGTTCAATCACTTGAAATATCCTGTTGAATGTTGGCTGTTTATCCGGCTGTACGAACGAACCACGATTACCATGCAATATTCGGATACCGTTCTGCTTGGCTGATTGGCAAGACAGACTATACACACAATGATCTGGTCGATAATTCCAACAACAATCCATGATGAGAATTCGACCGACATTCATACTGAATATTATGTTGATTATATCCTGGTCTCCCCATACAATACGACTACGATACTCATTCAGTATCGGTTGCAAACGTTCAAGCCAACCAAATTGCCGCATACGTGTTAGATTCATGAGCATGACGCCTGAATTGAGTCCATACGGAGGATAATATGGATGTCGCGCAAAACGATGATACCAATTGCTGGAAAAATCTTCACTCTCATAGGTGGCTGCAGCCATCTGTGTCTGATTCATTCGATCGAAAAATGACCAAATCTCGTGGACCGATGTAAACACCAAAACGTCCGTGTCGATATAAATGACCGAGTCATAATCAATCAAAGCAGGCAGGAATAAACGTTGTGATGCACATTGTTTGAACAACGAGCGCCATATTCTCACCTCACCATCATTCATGTTTGGATATTCAATTGGTTTCAGATCGTATGTGAAATGTGACGATGAATCCGTGTTCATCTGGTCCAGCTGTATCATGATATGATCAAAATAAAAATTCAGCCATACTATCAATCAATCAATCAATCAATAATTACCGCACGGCTAATGGTGGTCATCATTTGCCAATCGGTCATGATGATGAAATGCAAACTTGGATTGTCATCGTGATGTTGTTGGGCGAAAATTAATATCGACTTTAAAGCAATGATGGCCTGATGAAAACTTGTATCACCACATATCGTTATCACAATGACATGTGGAGACTGTTCATTTGTTGATTTATCCAGATCATAATCATGATCACGATGATGATGATGATGGCAGAATAGTATCAACACAATACTGATTAACAGTATGATTGTTAAACGAACAAAAAAAACGAATCGTTTCCGCACAATTAAACATTGTCCGATTGAGAATTTCATCATGATTCGTCACCATTTGTGTTGTTTGATCGATTAAAAACAAACAAAACATCATCCCAATTTGCGCACAACAGGTGGCACTAGTTGTGAACAATTCTTGTTTTCAATCTATAGATGGCGCCCATGAACCGATATGTTCAGGTGACAATTTGAACCAAAATATTTTTGATGGCAAAATATTTCTCATTTCCTCTGGCAAAATCAAGATGTGAAATGCACAACAACAACAACAACATTTGATCCTGTAAGAAGATTACGACATGTAAGCACATAATAATCACTCTGTGATTATCATGCTTCAAGACTAAAACAAATCCTTTCCATTTGACATTCGATATGCGATGACTATCAGGCAGTCATTTCATAAGAGGATTTTGTTTCTTTTTTTGTCATCCTGCATAACAACAACAAATCCGATCAAACCGAATAGATGTTGGAATCATCTGAGCTGAAATGGAACAATATTAAATTATTGCATTACACTCATTGTGCTCAACATATGATTGGATGGTTGCAAAATTGGATTTTCGAATGTTTTGATTTTCATTCTCTCAAATTGAATCAAAATTCACCTCCAGTTGGCATCATCGCTTGTGTTTAAAAAAAATACAAATTGATTATCAATGTTGTGTTTTCCAAACATTGACAAAATGGTCAATCAGTCGGCAATGGCCAAAGACGAGAATATTGAAACCGCACGCGTATCGAAACAAACAAACAACGACAATTATTGAATTTGCTGTCGCTCACGTTCACGTGCAACTGTTTATTACCATTACTGCCATCATGGATCACATATGGATGCCATTAAACAAATCGATTCACGAGCATCTCTACACATTACTAACGCCTTGTTTGGCAATTACCGATGCTCATGTTGTTGTTGTTGTTGTTGTCGTTCATGATTGGTAACATGGTTCACATAGATAGAGTAGATAGGTGCACACCACACGTGCCATTTCAAAACGAGCCACTTGAACACCAGAATAAACTAGAATTTGTTGATCACCAAATAATGTAATTTGCTTCTCACTTTATCTTTAATTTTTCTCGTTTCTTTAAAATTCATGCATACATTTGGTTTCGTGTGTGAAATTTTTGATATTTACACATGACTAGAATAGCAGTAGAGAACGAATAATGATTGGAAAAGGAAAGGAACACAGGGTTGAGTTTACGTATTGTCTTCATAATCATAGGTTGCTGCTGATCATTGACCGTTGACGGCTGAATATTTCATTCGTTTCTGTTTCTGTCGTTGATTGCAGAACCAAACACGAACCACATTCTTTTTCAGGTCCAATTTCTCGGCAATGGCGGCAATCTTTTCGCCCGAAGGTCTCGGTTGTACAGAGAAATATGCCTCCAGCGAGCGTTTCTCTGGCGCCGCTATCGACGTTCGTTTTCGCTTCTTATCCAACGATGGTAGCACACACATGTCGAGCGTCGTCTCCCTTGCAATACGATTCTTGCGGGCTTGAGCTTCGGCCGCTTCCAACCACGCCTGTAGTATCGGTTTCAATGCGACCATGTTATTGTGGGATAGGGTCAAGGATTCAAAGCTTCAAGCAAAATCATCAGCAAATGAAATAATTGATTCATCATCACTCAAATTCATCACCACTTACCGACAGATTGTGCTCTGGCTCAGTGAGCCAACGCCAGGCAATTTCAGATTGGCCAATGCTTTACCAACATCGGCCTGTGTTACACCCAGTTTAATTCGTCGTTGTTTGAATCGTTCGGCAAATACTTCTAGCTCTCTCGGATCGGCCGCTTCCAACAAAGCAGATGGATCGGCACTGGCAGCCGCGGCCGCTGCTGCTGCACCGACAGCCACTGCTGCAGCCGACAACGATTGATGGGTATGATGGTGATGATGTGGCGATGATGCCGCTGCTGCTGCCGCAGCCGATACAAATGAATTCGCGTGATGGGCATGAAATGGATTCTGTATCTGTGCATGATTGGCCAACTGATTTCCAGCCGTTTGATGTTGTTGATGGTGGTGATGATGATGATGATGGTGCTGCTGCAGACTGGAAATCATTCCATTCACTGTGTAATATTGATTATTGATGCAATCAGCTAAATCAAATCAGTATTCAGACAATCATCACAACTGCTTACTGTTCATTGCCGCTTGATGGTGGTGTGTTGAAGAATACAATGATGATGGCGAATTGACATTACCAGATGTATCGTTGCCATTGCCACCATTACCGCCGCCACCGTTGTTGTTGTTGTTATTTCCATTGCTGTTGTTGGTGGTGGTTGTTAGTCCTAAAGCGACCGGTAAAGTCGACATGACCGGATCTGCGGCAACAGCTGAACCGGCCAGAAAATCATGCATATCCGTCTGATGCGAATGCGATTGATGTGATGGTGTGTTGTGTGTGGTATGCGTGACATGATGATGCGGTGTATGTGGAGAATGGTGTGGATGATGATGATGTCTTGTTTGCATCATATGATGGTGATACATGTCGCTGGTAGGTTTGGCCGATGTTGTTTGACCCACAACAACAGTCCGGCTTGTCAGGTCATGCAGGTCGGCCATGCTTACATCGGCTAAACCGGCGGCAGCAGTGAATAAATTTGCCGTATTCTGCGTATCGGCGTTCCCATCCATTGGTCATAGATAGCAACCAAATGAAATGAAACAAAAGAGACATGTTTTCAAATTTCGTGAAACAAAAAAGTGATTAGCTGATCATTGTGATGATGATGATGATGATGATGATGAGAAATTTTGTGGGCCCTCGGATATCTGGCAAATATCTGGCAACTCGTTAATTCATTCCACATTGGACTTGTTTGTTTGTGTTCATAAAATTGGTGCTATTAATTTAGTCAAATTTTCACCAGACCGTAACAAACCGTAACTCTGTGTGATATAACTGGCTGGCTAAATATCACAACAAATCAAAGTCGTACTCGGAATGAATATTAATCAGTTCCAAATAGGGTTCAATTATACCATTGACGATGAGAGAGAATCCTCCCAAACAATAATCATTGTGTGGCCAATTTAGCAAATGGCGTTAAAAGCTTTTCGGAAAATTCTGATCATGCAAATTGTTTCGATATAACCACCAGAATTCCAGGTACATTGCTCAATCATCATTGTTTATCGGTCCACAATCAGCAATGACTGATCTTATCACTGTGTGTGTGTGTGTGTGTGTGTGAAAGTGTGTGAAACCCATTTGAAATGAGGATCCATTTACAATGATTGTTGCTGAATGCCAGCAGCAAATAAATGATCAGAGATCAAGATTTATTTGCACGAATTTGCACGATTTTCTCATCACCATCATCAACATTAATCGAAAAAAATCATAGACTTACATTTTGATAGTGGACGTGTGTGGCAGCAGCGGCGGCTGCACATTCGTGGTAATTAGAAAGCTTCTGGCCAATGATCGAAACAGTTCAGTTTAGAATAAAAGTTGACTCAATCAGCAACTTACCGCAGCAGCCGCAGCGGCTACATGATGTGAGTGCGAACCATTCATTGGCGCACTATTGTTGTTGTTGTTGTTGTTGTTGTTGTTGTTGTTGGAACAGTTGTTTTGACGATTATTTCTCATCATTTGTGGCTGTTGATAAAGATGATGAAAATTCTGTTGTTGGTGTTGTTGCTGCTGTTGATATGGATGAAGAGGATGCGAGTGTTGTGATTGGTGGTGATGACCGAATAGTAATGCTGTCGACGCTGTCAATGTGGGATATGGTATTGTTTTTGTGGATGACTCATTATCGTTGTTGTTGTTGTTGTTGTTTGCATCACTATTGGATTCTTGAAGATTCGTATTGTTGGATTGTTGCTCTCGCTTGTCTGTGGATAAAGTTTTTCTGTTACCGTTGTTTTGATCGTTTGCAGTTGTCATTGAGTCATTGGAGCTTGTGTCATGATCATCATCAACTTGATGATGATTGTAACGATTAGCAGCACCGGCAGAGTCAGTAGCAGCAGAAGTGGTGGACTGAGTGACACTTCCGCTACTAGCTGTCGATGTTTTCAGCATTAATGTCGTGTTCATCATTGTTGTAGACACATCAATAACGCACACGCACACATTAAATTGATTCTCGCTCCAATTAGCGAAAGGGTTAAGATGGTCGATCGGTCAGTGACTGTGTGTGTGTTTCACTGCTGAAATTCATGAAACAAAGGTAGTTGACATTCAGTGCATTTATAATGCATGCTAATTGATTAAGTGAATTCTTGCACTTGATGATTTATTTTGAAAATTTGATCCGTTTATGATGCATGGTAGATTATTCATGAGATGTGAGTGATGGGTGTGTGTGTGTGTATAAGTGTTTTGGATGTTCCACACATAACCAGCAATGAATAAATGAACACACACACATACAACTGCCGGGTTTTAATTTGCATGTGTAATGAATAAATAAAACCCAGCTTTCTCTAGGTTCCTTGCCACATACACGCAAACATATTAATGGGGGTGAACGAATGAATGAATGAATGAATGTATTTATGAATCGAATCAAATTGGACGATGATGATGATGATGAACACAAATCAAAACGAAAACATTTGAATTTTCAACATATCGATTAATTCGAAATAATGGGCTGGTTCTTTGCCATTGATTTGTGTGTGTGTGTGTGTGTAATGTTGTTGAATAGTTTTGTTTTGTAAATAATAAATATCGGTAAATGTTTGATAAGTTTTTTTTCGTTTCAAAATCTCGCTTTCCACCTATCTTCTTTTGGAACCTCACATTCACATGTGTGTGTGTGTGTTAATATGATCAGGTTTTGAATAATAGATTTCGTTGTTGTTCACTATCATTCAGTCATCGTGAGCATCGGACAGCAGAGAAGCAAAGATGATCGTCGACCACCACCGGACTTGAGTAAGAAAAAAGTTTGTTTCCTGCACCAACCAACGAAACCCAAGGTGGACAAGGGCAATACATTTGTCCACCTTTGCTGTGTTATGCGCAAGTTTGCAAAAAGTGACCGTCGTAAATCGATCACATGCACACACCCACTTTATATGTGAACATCATCAACTTTCGTACACATCGGGTAATATTTGATGAGATACACGTAACACACACACACACACAGATGTAACACGGAACAGCGAAAACATTGATCTGGCCAGCCAAACCGATACTGATTATTTATTTATAGTCTCTTCAACCAGCGAGAATTTTTTTTCCAGTTTTTTTTTGCTGTAGAATTCGCCAGTGTGTGCATTTGTTTCATTTGGACCAACAGTAATAACAACTACTATATACGAATGTGTATGGATCACCAATCCAACAATCGGAAAAACCGCATGCGTGTGTTCGGGTATACAGAGTTTCGGTTATGAGTTTTTGGTTCTTCGGGCCTTGGTACCATCCCGCCGTCATTATATTCGATTCGTGGTTCAGCCAATCACAAACTAGCCTATAGAGGATCCTGGATTCTTTGCCAACTTTTACGAGTTTGCTCCATTCATTGTTGTTGTTATTGTCGGTGGTGGTGGTGAGAAAAACGACGAAATTTTTCATTTCATTTCGCCAATTTCAAAGAAAACAAGATTATAATTCCACTCACAGTTACATTTGTGCCAAATCATTTCGTTTTCCATTGAACTAGAAAAGATTTGTCTTTTTCTTTATTTTTCACTCTCTTTCGGTGTGGTCTGGCTATGAGAAAAACTGATGATGATCATTGATTGACTATTATCATAAAATTAGTGAATCAATTCAATTGTTTGTCAAGTACCCGCACACACACACACACTCGCCTATTGTCAAATGAGTTGAAATGGAACAAATCAAAATTGCCACCGGGCACACACACACACACAAAGACACAAACAAGACAAACAAACACAGGATAATGGTGTACATGAGGATATCCAATTCAATATTATCAAACACCATTCATCCAAAAAACTATCCGCCATAATAATCAAAATGATGATGATCATGATCATGATGATCATTATGTCGAGGGCTAGCAAAATGACACACTATTCAATTCATTGGGTGATCAATGATCATTTATTCCCTCAGATATCGATATCGTTTTCATGGTGTCAATTGTATTCATTCACTCATGAATGGTAGCAACAAACAAACGAAAAATCGATATTTCAATAACGATGACTATCTGACTAACATATGGCCCGCTCGACAGACAAAAAGAACAAACGACAAGGGAAACAATACAATGCACACGGTTGAACACTTTGTTCATTACATCCATGTATTCATATCTAACCTCTGACCTTTACTCTACAATTATTTAGGCTAATAGTCACTCTCTCTCTCTCTCTCTCTTTCATTGAACTTGAATATTAGTGGATACTGTTTTTGCTAGTGAATTTTTAAAAAACAAACATAAAACACGGCTCACCCCTTTTCTAATTGCTCACGAACACACGTGAATTCTCTCTCTCAATGATGATGAAGATGATGAGATTGTGGTTGTGTGTGTGTGTGTGTGTGTGTGAATATAAACGAAATGATACATTTGATCAGAATCACAGAGAATGAATAAATTTTTTCAGTTGAAACAGAATTTTATTTTGGCTGCTGCTCACGAAATAAAAAGTCAGTCCTGTTAAAATCACGATCATGTGCGTGTTTGGAATCTATAAACTTATAGTTGACCTAAACGAAATTTCATTTCGAATCCAACCAATGTTTGCTAGGACTGGATTTGATTTTTTCTATTCACCCGATTGCAATAGATCACATGGATAGATAGATCGAAAGATAATCAGTCATCATTGATTCAGGTGATCTTTCAACCTGTTGTGGTTGCTGCTGCTGACAGCGTTTTGTTTAAATAATTTATTCATTAATGAAAATCACACATACAACCTGTTCACAGCTCAACAATGGACCAATGTTTCCGTTATGAAAAATTCATACACCGAATTAAATATTAAAAAACTTTTCAATGATGATCCACAACCACCACCACCACCACCACCGAATTCACGGTTCATCGGCATCGAACCACGAATCAAGGTTATGCCAGGCTGGCCATCCTTTTCAATATCGTAGAGTCAGTCACTTGATTATCACACTCACTCACTCACTCAGATTCAGAGGAAGGAAATTTTAATTATTCACACATCACATTCATTAACCCAGTTGACGATGTCTCGATGCATTCACGAATTCACGATTTGCGTGATGATTCAATTCTGGAAAACGACGACGATGACGCCGCTTAATTGCCCATATCTAATCGAAACTTGTTCAATGTGTCTCTCTCAATGAACGAATAGCTGCTGATGGGCGCGAACCAAATTATCCATATATAAAATTCAACTCTCCACCCCTAAACCGATGATTTAAACATTATGACACCTTATCATAACCATCAATGACATGTCTAATTGTTCCATCACCTTTGTCAATCATCGTCATCATCTGGAGTGGTGTCGAAATCATCATTCAATCAAAAAAAAAAAAATGAGCAAAACACGTTCCAGGATCATCGTCATGGGCGTCAAGTTGGTTTGAAACAATGTAATCATTTTCATGACCAAAATGGACAACCAACACTCAAACGAAAACGAAATGAATCGAATCGGGAATATGGCACGAATTTTGTGCATTTCCATCAACCATTGGTTTAATGGCGGACAAACATGCCATCAACCCAAAATCATTTTCATTTCATCTCGGCCCAACAACAATAAACAAGTGAGCAATAATCATCATACAACTGATGATTTATAAATGATGACTTTTCACAAAACAGAACTGCAGAAACGTAGAAACGTAGAAATTGAGATCGCCAAGCAGATGTTATGCCAGTTCATTCTATGATCAATTTGCCCAATTGATCTCGCAGTTCAATCGTGGATCGATGACCAAATTGCCATTTGCTATGAGTGCATGACAAATTTGTCATTTGTCATTTATCATCATTGCAATCTAATGACATTTCTTGATATTTTCTTGGCCGGTTAATTATATCGATTGAACAAATGCAAGTCGACGATCGATCGACCGATGGCAAATTTGAATAAATATTCGACATTAATTAATTTAAAATTACCACTGCCGTAATCATTATTGAAGACATGTAATTATTGATGACCTAGAAATTCAATGTAGAAATCGATTCCGTGTGTGTGTGTGTGTGTGTGCTCGGGGTAATTGTGTAAAGCAAATAGCAGCAAATTTTCCCAATCAATAATTCTTTTGCTCTACCAACAACAATGTTTGTTACAGTTGTGTGTTTATTTTTCCATCCAGTAAACATTCTTCAACGAATTTATCACGAACATGAATAATTGAATCATCATCATCATCATGATCATCATTCAGGTTTTATTCAAATTTTTCCCTTTCGCTTTTTCCATGTTTCCATGTTGGTGGTGGTGGTGGGAATACACAACATACGGAATATGGAATATGAATGTTGATCATGATCGATTTATGATCCTTCGTGAATGAACACTGTTTTGATGACAAAATTACGATCATCATCATAAAAAAAGTTACGAACCACCGACCGATTCGATAATTATGCGAAATTCGGTGCACATATTCATTCATCTTGGTTAATCCTTTGATCAGTTTTTGATGGATTGATTGATCAAATTGGTTGTGTGGGCCCACTTCGGAATGGTGGTGTTTGCTCATTCCCAATCGGATCGATTCAATTCGATTCTGATAATGTTGTTGTTGTTGTTAACCCCGTTAATGTACGTGTACATGGACCGAGTTCAATAGATTCGTAGCAAATTAAATTACACATTCATTCATTCGTTCATTGTTTTGATTTTGCAATAAAATCAATTACCGACTTTTGGCCACATTATGACCCATTCCAAGACGTGTGTCATGATCGTTATGAACAACGACGAGGCAAAATAATTTTCAAAAACGATGCCTTTGGGATACATTGTTCGGTCTCTCTCTCTCTCTCTCTCTCTCTCTCTACCTATCTATCTATGTCGATGATTCAGAAATGAACAAAACACGTGCATGCATCCCAATGCTTTTCATCATTTCACATGGTTTGTCTTTATATCAAATGAGATGTTTGTGAAAAACACACAATTTCAAGAAAATAAAATTCGGAATGGACAACCTGGCAACAATTCAATCAAGGATGCTGGAGACGATTACCTGGAATCATCCAACGAGTAATTTAAATTTTTTCGATTCACATCAATGAATGTGATATGAAATGAATCGTACCAATATTGCCATTATCATGAGCAGAATGCAGGCAAAAAGTTGTAGCCCTAGGGGAATATCATCATCATCAACAACCAGTCGTGAGGATTACAAACAGAAAGCCGAAAATAAACACAGGATGACAACATGACGATCCAGTCCATAGAGACCAAACTGCATGAATGAATAGCAAAACAAATGTCATGTGCTTAGTTAGGCTTACCGATTTTGTTCCAGAACGATTTTTATTTATTTGTTTGTGTTTGCTATGCGAACAACAACAACAACAACAACAACAAAACAACACAACATCATCAGTATCGGGCCGTCGTCGTACAATAAGTTAATTTAGAATTATTACCATCCCATCCAATATTCTTGTTCTATTCGACAACATTAGACATCAACGATAAAAGAACAAATTAATCTAATCTAATAGTAATGGCAATACTCTTGTTGTCTTCTTGTCTATTTTGACACATTTTTTTCCAAACGGTTATCTATTTTAATTTAATGTCTCTGTATATGAGTATAAGAGTAGATGGAAAACGAAACAACAACAAAGTCGATGATCATCTTTTTGAGCGTGAATTAAATTTTTTAAGTTTTTCATCATTCAAAAACATTAATTTGAAAAAAATTGTGGTTTCCTTACACACTTTGGTCTCTAGTGAACAGGCGGTGGTAAGAGTGTTGAAATTTCACCGTGATCGATGGTTTTAAAGTTTTGAATCAGCTACATTATAAAACACAAGATGACAGCCATACCAATATGGAATATGGTACCACCAGACATCGTGTGTATATAAAAATAAAAAACATAAATTGAAATGACAAAAAAAGAACTATTCATTCTTGGTCAATCTATGTATCATACCAGCGACAAACAAATCACACACACACACAAACACAAGGCAATGGGCAAACATTTCGTTTGGATGAATCTTTGAATCTACCTACCTTCTGGAATATATATAGACATACCTGATGCATTATTTATTATCATACACCCGAATTTTGGTCGACCAATAGTTATATGTTGTTGTTGGTGAATAAAGTAATTTCATTGCTGCCTGCCAGCTTGCCTACCTCAAACATGGTCGATCCATTCTGTTTTTTTTTTGGTATTTAGATCCCGCTGGATTTGCTGTCGACTTTTTGTTGCTTGCTTGCTCGCAGGTTTCTCTTTCATCTTTTTCTTTCAGAATGAATTCCGGTTCTCATTCATTCATTTCTATTCTTGACAATTTGTATTTGAATGCCATCACTTTTCGAATGATGATGATGATGATGATGAACACCAATGGTTGTGTTTATCAATTTGACATCTACACAAATACATCAGCAATACCTACACAAACCGAATTCGAATGATAATGACGATGACGATGATGATGAAAAAAGAGGCAGCCTACCGAATGAAATGTTTTAAATTATTAATAATCATATATATCAAGATGGAAACAACTAGAGTGAAAAGGAGATGCAATCAAATTTGAGCATACCGTAATTCTGGATCAATTTCCAACAACTTTCATAGGGCATTTTTCTTCTTTTCATTCATTTGTTCGTTCGCCATAATGGATAACAAAATAAAACTCAATTACATGATAGTTGCTTGGATGGGCGTTTTTTCGTAATGATCAAATTCTGTTTCACTTTACACACACACACACACAACAACACAGCAATACACATATCATTTGGTAATGTAACTATCCGGCTATATAAACGACACTGGTATTGGGAAAAACTCACTCGATTAACATGCCATCTATCGAGGCGGATGGTGAGTTGCCACATTTTTGTGTGTCCAATGATCAAAACTGGTCATATTTCCTGAACTAATGAAAATGAAAAACTTGTTCAATATTGCAATGAAATTCAACTCTTTATTGACCATCATTATGCCACATTATGCCATTGGTATCTCGGTAGTCATCTTTTTCCAAGTAAAACCAAGATAATCAGAGACATTGAACTCTGATTTCGTTTGTCACACACACACACACACACACTCGCTAATGGTAATGGCCATCAAAAAAACTTGTCCAATTCGTTATGGTTGCTGTTCGAATCGGTTCGAAACTTGCCAATGTCAGACAGCAGTGTTTTTGTGTGCACATTCAAACATCCATTCGTCCAGTATTATTGATTCGAACGGAATATGATCAATATCCTTGAATCTGTATTGATTTTCACCATTTTAGCCACAATCGTTTGGGCTAAATCAATTGATAATCTTCAAGTGTTGGGTGATTTTCGTTCAATCAAGTTGAAATGGAATTATTACGACAGACATTCGAATCACGATGCTGGTGGTCCTAGATTCAAAATCAGGTATCGTGTCGTTGTTGTTGTTGTTGTTGTTGGGAAAAAATTCTTTCCCATAAAATTTTCATTTTTTTCTCCTTTTCATTCCGACAGATATTGTGAATTGAACAACTGGCAAATGAAAAGTCGATGTAAAGATCGAATTGTTAAAGCAACGAATATGACGACAGGAAATGATGACAAACATAACGACCACTACCATGATGATCCAGCCACAAACGATGATGTTATCATTGATTTAAAACGAACCAATAATGAACACTATGAAGCTTCAATCAACAGTCTACGTGTGCATACAAATTATTCGGTTCTGGTCCAAGTAATCAACGACCGATTCGGCCATCAGAACACCAACGACGATCACGATGATGGTGATGACGGTGACCTCATCAAAACAAAAAGCGATGCCATCTTGGTGTCTACTAAAAGCTGTAAGCGGCAAAATGCAAAAGACCAATCCAATTGTTTTCATTTCATTCTCATTCAAATCCCCAGTTATGGCCCGTACTTTACGATGTTTGGCCAACATCTCAGAGATTCAAGTATTCACTGGACCATACTTTGGTGGCCGTATCTCAGTCGAAGGAACAGATAATCCAGCCTGTTTGATCAACGGTGATCGAACTAATCCGAAAGATAGCTACAATTTCACCATTAGTCATGAACTTTGCAAAAGTAAAACAGTTGTATGTATCTTTCCAATATATATGATCATTATTATCTTTGATGCCAAATTCTTCACAAAAGGATAACGTTCGAATCGAGACGATGGTCATGGTGAATGAAAATCGAGAAATCCTCACACATAACTCTCGTCGTTATCTGGTCATCTGTGGCTTTGACCCGGATAAATATACGCTAACGGCATCGGTTGCTGTGCCGAGTTTTTTGCTGAAAAAATATTCAGATCGAATCCGCGAGAAACCGTCATCGCTTGCCATAACGAATGATGCAGTAAAATTTGATTGGCCCGTATTGGATAAACGCGAAAACCCCAAAGGACGTTATCCAGTCTACATTGAACGTAATCCGTTGATGATTAACAAAACAATTAGATTGTAAAATGTAATATTTTTTCAAACCTAAATATTGATGTATTAAATTCATTGATTGATAACAATCTGAAACGAATGAAAATAACTGGCCATGTAAATGTAAATGTGTGTGGCCACTTCCGTTCGCCGTTTGTTCTTTGATCATTATCATCATTTATGGGGCTAGAAAATGTTCATATCTACAACACACACACACACACACACACATACAGACAGACAGACAGACAGACACACTTACCACAGCAAAACATTCATTTCTCTTTCGTTCTTGAATCTTTCACCGGTGTGAATGGTTGTTGGTGTTTCATACAACGATAACCATCTTTTTGCAGTCTGTGTAACCATCATCATCAGGTATAAAAAGACCAATCCTTTTCAAGTGGATCTCACACATACATATCAAGCTGATTAACGAAAAGCTCAAATTCAAATTCGGGCCGATTCAATTGATCGATAATGAATATCGTATACAATGTGATCATGTCGAGCAATTTGAATCCCGAATTTTGATTTGATCCAGAACAACCACCAATTTGTGATCGATCGAGGGTGACAATAAAATCCATATAGATGAGATTGAATTTTTTTTCTTGCAAATCAATACAATCTGATTCGAAAATATTCTATATCGATTTTCATCGTCAATGATTCATCGTTTAACAAAAGTAATTGCAAGTCTAGTTAATGGTGAGTTTGACAATGAATTTGTTGAATCGATTGCCAAATTCATGATTGACTGGACGCCAGTTTCTATCAATCATCATATATTCATGATTCATGACAATGACCATAATCAGATTCGAATTGTATACTAAAGTGAGGATCTGTGTTGCAGAACTGAATTTTGAAAACAGAAGCCAGTTTAGTATACAATTGGAATTTCGATGCACAAAACATCGCTCATTCAGCTGCCATGCCAGGCTGAGATTCGAACAATATTTTTCTCTTTCTTTAATCTTTTTTTTACAGGCAAATGGCTCTGTACAATTTACTTGTCCACATATGTAATCAATTTTTCTGGTTGTAAATAAAATAAAATTGTTTTCAATAAATTTGAAATGTGTATTTGTTCCTGTATGAATGAAAAAAGGGAAATTAAAATTTCAAAATTCATTCGAAAACAATCTTATTACCGAAATGGTTGTATCACGATTTCGTAGATGAATAATTCCAGTGCGCAGCGTTTCTTCTGTCAATATTATGCAATACTTTACTGCTAATCGATCACACCTACAAATCGAACAAGATCAGAGTCATGTAACTATAGATTAAAACTTACTGGTCAATGGTGATTGGATTATCCGGCGTGAATGGAAATATCGATATATCTGGATATTCCTCCAACAATCCGATAAGATGTTCGGCTACCTCCAACAGTTTCCGGTGGCCAATCGCTTTACAGCCGTCCGAATCAATGTTTATGGCCAACTTGAACGGCACCAATTGTGGGTTGAGTTTCATAACAATTTTTTCCTCGTCATTTCGTGTAAAACAGTCATCAAGAAATGCCAATAAACAATTGTGAAGATTACTATTACAGGAAATAATATCCACATCTTGTAAAGAATTTTGTTCACCACAATTCAATCGTATCGTGTCCAATGTGATGGATTCATCAAAAATCGGCCGTTTTGGTTGATAACCGATCTGAAAAAGATTTTCGTTTCCATTCAAATTGGTCTGAAATCCCGATTTCATCGGTGATTTAGATAGCTATAGAAACCAACAAGATGAATTTACTTCAAACCAATCGATAAACAAACCTTTCGATACCAGTGAAAACGTGTTCGCGTGAGCATCTGTTGTAGCTTGAGTGTCTCGGATTTTGGACAAAACAAAACCAATGAAACATGTTGATTGATATGTGATTCGTGTCTAGCAACAGCAAAACAATAACAAAATGTTGATCAATGATCAAATAGTCAGTGATATGTGCAAGGATTACTCACAAGAATTTAAATTTTGAATCTTCATGATCATTCTGGAATCTGCACGGATACTGATAAATGATACCAAACGACGACTTTTGACTGATCCATTGGCTCAAATTTTTGTCATAGAAATCCAACGCACCTGAATGATAATATAATCGATTGATGAGAAATGTTATCTAGAAATGCTTTGCAAACTTTTGATCAATACGTCATCTGCATTCGAATCGGTTATCGGCAAACTGGCAATGAATATTTTTGTTGGCAAAATTTTCGATGCAAATTTTTTCCTGAAAAAATACAACAACACTGATTGAAAGCTTTCTTTCCATTGTTCAGAAGTTACCATTCTTTGACGATATTATTAATCACTTGATGTTTGCAATATGCAGGCCATGAGTTGAGAAAATTGGCAAACAAAGACATTTCTTCTGAACAAGACTCTTTTTCAAACAAACAAGACACTTCTCAACAATCCAATTTCAAATTCGTTCGATCGAATCTGAAACACAGGTGATCAAGGGCCAACTAGGGCCATCTATGAGTGGAAAAATCAATCCATCCATTTTTTAAATAAAATTCATTTTTCAACAACAACAACCGAATACATTTCAAACAAATGTAGATTTATTCGCATTGTTGCTATCATCAGCATCATTCGATGGTTTATCATCATCTTTCAAATGTTGAGCAGATGAGAGAAAGAAGCGATCAGAGTCGTCATCATCATTGCTTATTGGATTCCTTGGTTTGATAAATTGTCGTCCACCATCGAGTCCTTCAACATACAATTCTTGAAGTGAATCACCGACTACTGCTGAATCGAAAGAAATTCGACCAGTCGATTTCTGTGCTTCATTCACGCGTCTTTGTGTTTTAAGTTCGGTCGTGCTTTCTCTCGGCGAGCCAAGATAGGAATCATTCGAACGGCTATTACGTCGTCCACGAGTACCATGTCGGCCACATTGATAATATGCTGCCGAATCCAATAGGCCAAAATCGACTGACAAAAAATTCTGATTTATAGTTGCTCTCGCTATCGGTGATTGTGGTGTCACTGTTACATCGGCTGCATCGCCATCATTCATGTGATAACCTTGATCATTATCGCTACTCGATATGACTCCTAGTCTTGGATAACTGGAAACAACACCATCTTTGTTTCTAACGTGGTGGTCATCGTCGTCGTCGTCGTCGTCATCGTCTACCATTTTTTGTTGCTGTTGTTGGTTTCGCAGCAAATTGATGATATTGTGTGTAAGAACTTGATCGCGTTCAGTGTCGATCATAATTTTGAAATGTTTTTGTGAAACATACAGAAATATGGCCAATGTGCCGGTCAGTTCGGATAATAATAGACTCGTGACGAGAAATAGGAATGAATAACCGTAACGATAGTCGAATAGTGCATCTTGGAATTGTGAAATTGGCCGTAGTTTATAGCCAACTTCATTTTTGAATGTCGATATATAGACCACAATGCCAGTCAATATTAATAGACCTAACACAACAGAAATAACAGAAGCAGGACAATCCATGATCATGTTCATTCATTGAGAGTGAATCATTTATCATCCACTTACCGGACAATATGAATGGTATACCCGATACGAATATATAGATACGACGTGAACGACACAACTGACTCATTAGATAAATTGTCTGTCCAGCTATCATTAGACCGGTACTGACTAGAAAATAAATGGCCGCTTGCTTTACAGCGTCTGAAACAGGAACATGATGTAAAGGTAAGAATAGAAATAGAAAATCAATCATATCATATATTTACATGGAATGGCCATTGTCGAATCGTTCTGATCTGGTATATACTCTTCTTGGCTCAAGTAATCAATTTTCTTGCATTCAAGTTCTGTATCCGGTGCTATGAGTGTTTACGAAATGAATGAAATGAAATAATCGTCATCAACAAACTTACGTTCATTGTAGCACAATGTCCATAGGCCAGATGATGTAGATTTTTTGAAAAATTCCATTTCAGCTGGCATTGAGAATTTCTCATAATTCGTATTGGGCATCGATTCGATCGTATGTAGCCAATCGTTGGTTATGATTGCAACCGATTGTGTGAGCAGTGATATCATGGCAACCATTGGCATCAATAAACGTAATGCCCGTATTGATTTTACTGACATCATCTTGAATATCGGTGTCGATTCCTGTTCTAGTTCCAGTTGTTCAATCATGTGATAACCACTAGACTGTGACAAAAAACAAAATGTTCGTTGGGGCGGGGGTGATTGGCAGAGTCCATCTGATTGTCCGAATTGGCTCGTGATGCTAGATTTATGTGTTCCACATCATAACACACATATCATACATACCTGTATATATTATATAATGACGGTAGCATCCTACAAATAAACAATAACCATATTTTCAAATATATCCTACGGTCCTGGTAAGCTTCACAAAATTCATAAAAGCAGTGGTAAATGTTGAACAATCCTATATATAGTATAGGCTGACATAGAAACATACTAGATGCAAATAGAACAGTTGGATTTTTTTTTTTTAATATGATCATCATTTAATATATGCCTTCACCATGATCGAATAATAATAATAACAAAAACAATAACAATAACAACAAAAATAACAATAAATAAATAAACACCAATAACAGAAACAGAAACAAAATTATACACACACAACAATAACAGAACATCATCCAACAAGAGAAAAATAGACTCAACATGATCAATCTGACAAGACATTGACAATTTGACAGGTAGTTTGATCAATCATCTTCAGGATCGCCGGATGGCCAACTTTCAATCGAGGCAAGACTTGTATTTTCCTCATTGTTCCGTTTCGGTTGCTGATCATCATCTTCATTGAGATCGTCATCTTCATTGTAATCATTGTAGGTATTGGCTGCATCTGAATTGAACAATTCAGGATATGTGCCAAACAATGCCGGACTTAATGGACCGGATTCTTCATCAAGAAAGTCACTCAATTTCCGATATTTTGTTGAAACATTTCTAGATGGCGATGCAATCGTCGTTGTTGCAACCGTGGTGGTCAGTAAATCACCACCAAGATGATGTAGGCCACCACCACCACTACCACTAGCATGATCGATCACAATTTCCGATTTTTGATGAATCGAATTTTCATTGCATTTAATTCGATTCGTTTGATTTTTATCATCATCATTGCTTGCCCGATAATAGTCGTCAATCTTGATCATAACGGGTGGACTTTGCATGATTGATGATTGTTCATGATCATGATGATGATGATGATCAGTCAAATCAATGATTCGAGACGACTGAAAATCATCATTATCATTTGATAATTGCAATGATCGTGATGGTTCATCTATGGCATTAGATGATTTATTCAACGAACAATAATGGTAATTAAAATTGTCCGTCATTGATCTCGAACTGGGCCAATAACGATCGCAATTTCCTACCCCATTCTCATCATCATGATCGAATTTGGCCATTTTGACTAGCAAAGCTTTTTGTTCACCACAATTATGATTACTATTCGTTTGTATTCGATATCGATCTGCTGCTGTTTTAGCCACTCTGAGACTATGTGATTTTTTCAAAATTCCATTCAATTTCGTCAGTTTATCCGTTGATTGTTGGCATGGAAAATTGAAATAATTGCCACCACTGTTTAGGATGGTCGCCGATTTTGGTGGTTCATCATTCAACGATATTGATGAATTATGATGATGATGATGAAATGGTTTCTTTTTTTTCCTCAACGAACGATTCTTTGAATTTGGGTTTTGTTTGTTTTGTTCAGTGTTTATTACATATGGCGGTGTTAACGGTGTTACTGGGCCAGCGAATGTGAACGTAAAATTCGATGGCAAGGACGCCATTTTCAGCAGTGGACGTCGTACTTTCAGATTTTTCTCTCGTTGTCGTCGTTCGATTGCTTCAGCCAACGCACGACGTTCGGCTTCAATTTCACGAGCAATTTCCTGGTCAATTTCAAAATCTTCATCTTCATCCATTTGATGGTGTGATTCTTCCAGATGTTTCATCAGTACAGCAACCACAACATTGACCAATACGAATTGCGCCATCAATACGAATACGACAAAATAAAGTGGTGCAATTACCGGTGAAATGCAGCAATTTCGTAAACAATCACTGGATGAATCACATTTATCACGTAACGTATCCTGTCATAATGAAAACAATCAATTTCGATAAACAATCACCATTCATCTGTACAGATACCTTCATGATGCCATTCCAGTTATCGCCGGTGGCCACACGAAACAATGTCAAGAATGCCATACCAAAATTCTGGAAATGAGCATGTTCCCCAAGACCTTGACATGGATGTTCTTCATCACATTCTAATGTAATGTAAACAGTGAAATTAAAAAACGAAAAATTAAAAACACTCAGTCACCAGCACTCACCTAAACGGCCAAATAATTCGGTACCAAGTGCAGCAAATATGAAAAATAATAGAAAAAACAAGAGGCCTAGATTGCCCACTTGCGGCAATGCCTGCATCACCGTATCCAATAATTGTCGTATTCCTTTGGCCATTTTCAATAGTTTGAGCACACGAGCAATTCTAGCCACACGCATAACACGTATGATGGTCGGATTGATCGGTATGAGGGTGGATTCCATTTCTTCCAATATGATGCCCATTATCGACAATGAGACAATGATGACATCCAATTGATTCCATTTATCCTTTAGATATCGTCGTAAACCTAATGCAACCGCTTTCATTATTGCTTCAACAATGAACACAGTGGTGAAAATGAAATTGAATAGTTTCAATGCATATACCAGCTCCTAACAAATATTTAGCCACGACAAGTAAATGTGAATAGGAGAGAATGAAATGGAATTGAAATGGGCATGTCAATCAAAACAAAACAACATACCATAGGCATCATATAATGTTCCAGAGACATCGTGATAACATTCAATCCGATCACCAATGCTATTACCAGATCAAAATATTTGCCCGTCACAATGCGATGAATGTTTAGACGGAATCGTCCATAGCCAATAAAATACGGTGGTTCACGCATTTCTATTCATCAATAGATAAATAAGACAAGATATAAGATATATACAACATTAGAATCGATCCAGTGTGTTTTGCTCATTATGAATCAAATGAATAAATGAGGGGCAAGTGTTATTAAATTGATGATCATGACCACCACATCACCCATGGGTACCGTTTGTCGACTGTGATTCGATCTGATCCGATTCGAGTCAATCAATTATAATTAATGAGAATAATGAGAATATAATGGCTCAAGACACACACACACGATACTGTATCCACTGTGCTAGTTTTCTTACTTTTACGTCGTTTTTCCATTTTTTGGGCACGTTTCATCGCTCGAAATGCCTTTTCCTCTTGTTCTTGTTCCTGGCGGCATCGGTGAAAATTCTCGACAACAACACCGACAAACATGTTGAGAACAAAAAAGGCAACCAATAACAGGAACGAAATGAAATACAATAGACGCCATTCGTTATAATTCTCGATTGGTTGTTGATCCACGCCGACTGCATCGAGTCCGGTGTACATGATGTTTACCCATCCGTCTTTCGATGATAATACAAACAATGACATTAGTGCCTATTAGTTCCATTTTACAACAATTAAAAAACACGAATCCATTTGTGTAGTAACAATAAGATGACAAAAACAGACGATGAACCAATGTTGAAATGAAAAAAAAGAAAATAAATAAACAAATCTTAAATGGACTGGAAGGCAAATTAAAATTACCTGACCTAGGTTGTCGAAATTATACTTTCTATTGATCCATGTGTTACGCGGATCGGAAAGACATTCAGTCTTGTTACGAACGTGTTTCGCTTTAGGCCCGTCTGTTCGTATTCATACAATTATTGTCATCGGGTTGTTGTTATTATTATTGAGAGAATGAAGAAAATGGAGAAAATGGAGAAAATGGAGAAACCAACATACATGAAATGAGAAAAACAGGATGACAATGAAATCACTTACCACAATAATAAAAGCTTCCTTTGAATAGCTGAATGATGAAAATTTAGTTTGGAAATGAAAAAGAAAAAGAAAAAGAAATTGTTTTTGTCAGTTTCAGATAAGATGGGATGGGAAGGGATTGTTGTCGACCAGTGATAACATATGTACCTGAACGCCAAGTATGCCGAATATGATGAAAAATGTACAACAAATGAGCACTATGTTTCCGATAGGACGCAGTGATGATAACAATGTTTGGACAACCAATTTCAATCCCGGCGCACGATTAATGACACTATTCATGTAATGGAAAGAAAATCAATCAAATAATGAAAATGATGATCAGATTAAAAATACCGTAATGGCCGTAATGATCGTAGTAAACGAAATACGCGAAGTATACCAAATATACGTGGACTACGTTGAGCAAAAAACGAAAGAAATATATCAAACAATGATATACCGACCAATGAACCGTCCATTATATTCCAGCCATTATGGAAATAGGCATTCTGGCCATAGAATAAGCCTTTCGCAATCACTTTGATCAACATTTCAATGCCGAATACGAGTGTAAAGACGAAATTGGCAATGGTAAGGAATTCGCGTTCCTTACTATGCGGAGGAATTTTGGGCCGTTCCATTGCCAACGTTATGCAATTCATGGAAATGAATATGAGAACAATGTAATCAAAATAAGGATGATCAGCAAGCCAAACACAATAACGACGGAAACGATTTGTTGGCGAAAATATGAACAGTGAATATTCTTCCCGTACTGTCATCCACGAAGTCCATTTGAAATAGATGCAGAATTTTTGTATTTTTTCATTCAATTCAGATGCTTTTGTTGTTGACGTTGCTTGGGCTGTTTCGGTTTCTATTGCTGTTGCTGCTGCTGTGATAGATGATGACGGCTGATTCACAACAAAACTATCAGATTTTTTGCCCAACGTAAGCATTTCATCAAAGCAGGCACCACCACCACCATATAGTTCATTTGAATTTGAATTACGAATCGAAATGACACTGGACGAATAGAATACTCCTTTCAATGAATTTCTTGGGCTAAGCACACGAACTTCATGTATTAAACTATTTTTACGATGATCACCATCGGTTGACATATTTGATGATATCGATATGGATGGATGATGATGACTATCCGATCTCATCGATTGCTGTTGTTTTGATGACTTTTCATCATTATCACCGGGATCACCATAATCACCATAATAATAATCATCATGTGCAACCGATTTTGAACGCAACAACAAATCGGCAGCCAAACTTTTTCGTCGTAATACGATATTCTTTTTGGCATAAATTGGACAGAAAGAATCTTCTCCCACAATGCTAGTAGATGAAGCTATATTTTTCTGATCGTTCGTCATGGATCCCTGTGATGAACGTTGACGAAATTGAAAGAAACTTTTCCGACGTTGTTTAGCCGTTACGGGACGTTTTGTCACCGGTTTCACTATCATTGTCGATTGTTCAGAATCCAGGCCAAGATTTTTGATTTGATTACAGCTAAGCTCTTTACGTAATGGAAAGCCATGTTGATGAACAGAACTGCTGTAGACGGTGGTCGAAAGTTGTCGAATTGTTTTCGGCCGTTTCATTGATTCCTCATTGTTTCCATCATGACTTTTGCTGCGAATAATCTGCAGATTACCAAATCCCAATACATTTTTGACAGATCCAGACCTCATACGACCATCACATGAAACTGATGACGAAATATCGACCGATGGTGGTGGTGGTGGTGGCTGGAATCCAATCGAATGACTTGGTGAAAGCATCGACTGGGTTGGCAGTACCGATGTTGTGGGCGAATGGGATTCACCATCTTTATAGCTAACGATAAGCTATGTTTGATGTAAACAATTCATTTCATGTTCAGTTATGTATTGCGAAAAATAGTTCTTACCATTGATTGATGATGTTGTTGTTGTTGTTGTTGTTGATCATCGATTAATAGAGATGATGGTGATGATGATGAGGATGATGACGATGATGGATCGACCACCATCATATCAATCGGTGTGGTTGGTGATTTAATCATCGTTGGAATTGATGATGGAAATGGTGGGAAAAATCCATCACTAATACTTGTCGGTGGTGATCCTTGTGGTGTAGCTGCTGTACGTGTAATCAATGGTGGTGGAATCAGTCCAGTCGGTGTTGGCATTGCTGCTGCTGTATCATGATCATGACTAATTCGTACAACATTCTTATTTCCAACATTTGTCGATGATGATGTGGCTATCGTACCGATCGATATTTCGGGCAAAATTTTTTCATCATTAGTATTGATTAAATCATTATTTGCAGCAGTGACCGATGTGGATGGATTTCGATTCATGCCAATGGAAGAACCTTGATTTGAAAGACTTTTTTTCGCATGATAAACCAATAGATCATCAATACGATTTGGTGGGTTCTCAAGTGTTTGGATTTCTAGCCACAATGATAATAATAATAATCATCATCAAGTAAACAGTGTTTACTAAACACTTACCTCTCTCCAGGTCATCATTGTGGCTATAGAAATAAATTAAACGTTCCTGTTTGATTTGTTCGACTTTATCGTTTGAACTTGATATCGATCGTTTCAATTCGTCCTAAAGATTAGTGGGTCAGATGAGAAAAGCAATCAAAAGTAAACATTACATTAAACATTACCTCCTGACTGAAACCTTCAACGAGAATGGCGACCAGAAGATTGAATAGGACATAATTCCCGAATGTCATTAAAGCGACAAAATAAAGGGCAGCATATGGTGATGCACGTTCCATACCGTTGAATAGTACGACATTCCAATCTTCTTGGGTCAGTATCTATTTTTGTACAAAGAATCGATTATAAATAACAACAACAACAACAACAACACAATTTGGTCTCAAGTTTGTGTTTGAAAAGCAACCTGGACCTTGAGAGATGATTTGAAAATTGGCCATTTTCTCTATAAAAGTTTTGATTCTCAATAAGAACCAGAAAATTAAATTGAATTTCCCGAGTAATTCTTAAGTAATTCAATAAGCCCATGTAAAGAATGCAAATGGACCATTCATCTGGATCTAGTTTCATCATCATCTAATTTCCATCATCAATGAAGATCGTTATAGAATAATAACAACAAACATTAAAACAACAACAACAAAACAACAAAACAAAAAAACACACACACAACATAGAAAGTAATGTTTATTCATTTAAACATGTGCAACGCCCACAATGTTTCGGGATCATGATCACCATCACGAATAAAAGAAAAAGAAAAAAAGGAAAAAACAAACAAACAAATCGAGATTGCTGCTTATGTCTCGATTATTATTATTATTATTATCATTATCTAAACAACAACAACTACAAAGCATCTGATGTGATTGCATATTGTTTCAGTTTCATTGTTGTTCTATGTAATTTCTTTTTCATCATCATCGTCGTCGTGTTTGTTGAATTATGGCCATTATATAAATAGGGGGTATCATCAGTCCACAATACAGCAAGCAACAAATTCTGAATTCAAAAACAAATCCCTTTCCTTTTCTTTTTGTTTGTTTGTAAACGGAGATAATTGGCGGTAGCAAGAGAGAGAGAGAGAGAGAGAGAAACAAATACGTGGAAAACAATAGACCAGATGATTATGATGATGAGGATTGTGAATGTAAAAGCAAGGATCAAATTATCGATTTTTTTATTCTGGCTGTTCAGTTTTGTTTATTGACCACAAACTTGTCTCTTGTTTGTTTGTCATCAAGTTATTCTTGTGTAAAATTATGCATGACCGATCGATTTTGATTTGCCATCATCAATTCGTTCGAATGTGGATTGATGTACGAGGCAAATCTTTTCAATTATTATTCACACAACCAATAGACCAACAGACCAACTGACGACGACGACGATGATCATCATGGCATTTATAATTGAATGAAAAGGGAAACAAACTAAAAAACTGAATTAAAACTAAAACTGTCAGCAATTGCACTGGATCAGTATGCAATTGATGATGGGCCCAAGAGAGAATCGATGAACGACAATGATCAAGTATGAAGAAAATAATCATTATTAATGTCATTTGTTTCACTTGAATCTTTTCAATTTTCAAATCAATTCATCCAATATCATCATTTCGCAAGTAAATGAGATTCATTAACGACAGTTTATTCTATATAAATAGAAATAGAAATAAATATGTGTGTGTGTGGGAGAAAGAATCAAATAAAAATTCTTCTTTCGCTCCAATATTTACCATTCATTTCATTCGATTCAATGCAACATTTTTTAGTGGCTCTTGTGATTCGATTCGAAAAAATCAGAAATCGAGTAAGAAATCACCAACAAAAAGATGCTTAGCTAAGCATATTGTTAGTGAATGTGATTCGAGCAGATTTCCTTCATTGATATTTTTCTTTGTTATTTATAAGGGTTTCATTTTGTTTCGGTCGCATGGAAAAAAAACCGGAGAATTGTCGAGCGATGAATGAATGCAACGTATTCATTCGATTCATTTGAATCCCTTACATCCATCCAGATATTATATGATTCCAATTCAAGCCCTTGAGGGAGAAATAGGCAGCATTTTTTGCATCATACAATGTTGTATTGAAAAATTTTTTATCGGATTCAGGTCTTAATTGTCTGCATGTAAAATTCCGTTTTCCAAACACTTTTGGCACTCTTATCAGACTATCATTGCACAAACAAAATAAGAATCCAGTTACTGAAGCTATTTGCGAACTAAATAGCAAAACGTGGAGAGAAAAAAAGTAAAATTCATTGGGAAAATCACCAGCAGCAGCAGCAGGGTATCTGAGAATAGTGCACACCAATCACAAAAAAGCAGAAGAAGGAAAAAATGTTAAATAATAATAAGGCTAATAGACACACACACACACACACACACAGTTTATTTCTAATCGTTTTCACCTTTTGGTCGATTCAGTGAGAGAAAAAAAATTGAAAATTCATCGACAAATACAAAAGAATATCGATCATACAGAAAGATTAGACCCAACAATACCGAGAACATCTGAAAAGACACAAACCTCAGGCTTGTTTATGTTTATTTTGTTGCACAGTGGTAATAGACTGAAATTTAACTGCGCGATCAACGAGCAGAACAAAGAATTTTTGTTAAAGAATAATTTTTCATTCATTCACATAAACTCATTATTTCTCGGCAATCATTCATAAATTTTCACAGCTAACTATAAAGAAATGTCAACACAATCACAATGAATGGATGGATAATTCATGCACATAACAAATGATTGTTTCATGTCGACACACACAAAGCAAGTCGAAGGATTTATTTAAAAAAAAAGTTTGACTCTAATTGTTAATTATAAAAAATGAATCAGCAAACAATCCCATCTTTGATATTTGTAGTTTTATTCAAATCAAGAGGAAAATAAAACCCCACACACACACACACACTGACGCATTGCTTCACCGGTTTGTTTTTCGATTGAACATGAAAAATTGATAAATATTATGACCAACCAACTAGCCATTCATGTAGGAAAATTTCCACGTCAACTTTAGACATTAACTGTGTGTTTATGTGACTGACTCGGTTGAATATGCTAACGAAAAAAATTGCCAATCGCTAAACAGGAATGATTTTTATAAATTCACCCGAAAAAAGGGCTTAAAATGATTAATGTACAGCAATGATATATTGGCTGTAAAGTCACCTACCTGAAATACGGTGACCAATGCCCATAGCAGTGAATCGAAATTTTTCCTATCACATTCTAATGTTTGATCGATTGGATTACGGTCACAGAATTTACAACCAAACAGATTCATGCCAAGTATGCTGCAATGGGAATTGAATTTTTATTTTTGTTTTTATTTATTTATTAAACTAAACTATATACTATATACTCAAGTGAACAAACCTGAATATAAAGATGAATAACATGAGCAAGGCAAAAAATACGGCCACATTATCGATCGTACGTAACATGATGACCAATTGTCGCCGTAATGCAGGCATAAAACGTACAAGTTTCAGAATTCTCAGCAAACGAAACGTACGCAATACGGATAGGCCAGAACCATGTTCTTCAAGCAATTCGAGCAGTGAAAGGATGACAATACAACCATCAAATACATTGAAACCGCTTTTGATGTATTCGTAGAAACCGTCGGCCAATAATTTGAGCACCATTTCGATACAGAATACGATGGTGAATATAATGTTGCTTATTTCAACCGCATGCGACAATGATTCCGGTTGATTGTGGTATTCGATACCCATTGAAAACGTATTCAGCAGAATGGCAAGAAAAATTGCTTGTTGGAAATAATTATGTTTCACAATGTTCTGCAATATTCGACGAATACGTTTCCATGTTTGACATAAGGGTCGTGTACAGGCCTTTGGACAGCAACGACGACATGAACCCACAGATATCATTGATGATGCACGACGTGCATAACGATTACGATTCGTACTCAATACACTTGAACAGCTGGATCGATCCATTTCTTTCTTGTTCCGATTACGATGGTGATAATGATGCTGATGCTGATGTGAATGATGATGATGATGATGTGAATGTTGATAGTGTTGACATTTACAAGGCGATCGACGACGAGCATCATGAAATTCAGAAGTGGCATGTGATGACGATAACTGTGATGCCATATGATGATAACGATGATGATTTGTTTGGTTTCGGTGACCATTACCGTGTTGATAAAGATTCGGTACCGAACCACGACGATGATCACGTTTGATCATGGCTGTACTGTCGTTATCATCACCATCATCACGATGAATGATCATCATCATATCGACATCGTTGTCATTGAGAATGGCTGATGATGAGGATTTTGTTGTTGGACTCGTAGTCGATTGTTTACTAGCACTACTACTAGTGGAACGTTTACGCATTTTGCCGCCATTTTTCGATCGATTTTTATTCTTAATTTTTGACTTTTTGTTTTCGTCGTTTCTGGCGGTGGTGTGATGACAACCAAATCATTGGCAGCTGCATTTGATGATTCAACAAGATTGTTATCATTGATTATTGATTGACAATCAACCACAACAATATCACTATTGCCAATCATCAATGGATTCACATTGGTATTAGGCACATTACTCATTTGTATTTGGCTACCATTCGTATTCGATGTTGATGTTGTCGAGGATTTTTTACGACCACCACTGCTGACAATAACGACACCATGATCACTACTTTCATGGTCAACATCAATTTGTTTATTCACTGAATGCTGCTGCTGCTGCTGTTGTTGTTGTTGTTGTTGTTGTTGGGGCTGTGGTTGTGGTTGTCGAATGGATAGTTGTGGTGATAAATTTTTCGTAATAATGGCACCACTATTGCAATGGCAACAAACTGTCTGGTTGATATTCATGTGATAATGATGTGAATGTGGATGTTGATTGGATTTGAAACGGTGTTTTTTACGACCATAACGTTTTAGATACCAACGTGATGTGTTGCGCCATATTTTTCTGGCCAAGTATGATAAATATTGTATGATTGCACCATAACAATTAAGCTGTTCATTTAGGCTAAAACTGGCCAACGAATTTAGTGACTGACATCTGTCCGATGATGATGGTGATAAATAAATTATTGAATCGAATGAATGATGAATCTGACTCACCTAGCTCGTTCCTGACGCATACGCTCCATTTCACGTTTCTTTGTTTCGGAAAATTGCGTAGCAATAACGACAAGGCAAAGATTGATCATGAAAAAGGATCCAATCTAATTCAAGATCAAGACCATTTTCAATTTGGTTCTGGGCAAACGATCAAGTGTAGAATAATACATACCACAATGAGGAGAACAAAATAGATCCACGACCAAAAGGAATGAGCATCCTGTACATAATACATTATGTCGGACCATCCTTCTAATGATATGACTAGAAAAATGGCAATCCATGCCATGCCGACATTATCGAAACTGACGGCATCCTGGAACGGATTATGATCACCCGGACGGCAATCAGTGTAGTATTGATTCCAATCAACACAACTACTATCGTTCGGTTCATTTGTTTCGGGCATTGGTAAGGCATTTTCCGAACACAATAGATGATAATAACGCGATTTAGGCAGATTATTACAACGATGCACTCCATTGTCTTTCTCCATGCTGCATATGTAGTCTTTATCCCCATCCTCATCTTGATAAAATGCCGATATTGAACTGCAGTAATAATGGACAATGAACAATGAACAATGAACAATTATCAATTTCAATATTCAAATCTATAACAAAGGGTTAAATCCGCAGCCATGGCATAATGACCAAACAGCAACAAAAGTTAAGTAAACGAAAAACAATTAATGAAAGTCTAAACAAAAAGAATAACATTACAGCCATAATAATTCTTTCTCTTTTCCCAAGAAACCATTAGAGATTGGAGCATAAAAGAAAACAACAAAAACGACAACACAAACACACACATAAATGACAGCCATTTATTCGGCCAAACACACACACACACACACACACACACACACACATGGATGTCTATGACGTTCATAAGTTTGTTTCACCTAAGAACCATTCTCTACTCTACTCTACTCTATCATCGATTCTTTTGTCGTGTTGATCCTAGGCCATCGCATATGAATGTATATATTTTTTCAAGGTTTTCTTCATACTTGCAACCAGATTGGATAATTTATGGCAAACTTAAACGATTACATAATACCATAATGCTACAAACAATATGCCAGTGTGTGTGTGTGTGTGTGAGTTGATTAATCATCATTTTCGTTCAAGGCAAAGAATATTTTAACACAAAGAAACTATTATCCTAATAATAATACCCGAAAAAATTCACCTAAAAATTCTGTAATCAGGTCTCATCAGAATGAAAGAGAAGCTTATGCAGTGTTCTGAGAGAAAAATTCCGTTTCTCAAAGAAACAATTCATATGACATCCGTCATCATTATTGGCAATAATTTTTGCTTAAGCATCTTGTTTGTAATAAGCAAGCAGATTGGCTTGGGTTCAACAAAAAAAAGAAGCTCATTAAGGGTTGGATCGACATTTCTTACTATATAAGACGTTTTTTAGTCATAAAAATTTGCCCAATATGATGATCTGGCCTGATGGTGATTACGGATCGAATATTTTTTCCGATTATGATTTTTTTGGGCCAAACAAATGAATGAGTTGTTTGTGTCGGGCCGTAGGAGGTAGTTGGATATTTTTATATTTTTTCCGGGTCATTATATTAAGTGGGGCCAACATGTATTATAGTAATGAAGAAAGTGAAAAAGAGAAAAACTGTTATTTTTATCGTTTCGGCTCAATTGATTTCGCTTTTCAAATTATGATCATCATGATGACCGATGATGAGATGAATGGCTTTTCGGCCTCGATTGAATTCAATTTCAATGATCATTGTCATGACTATAGCACAATTTCCATTCTGCATGACAGAGAAATTCAGTACAATGGTACCTCGGTAACCGATGATATCGTTTGAGGTAACGACCTGTCATCGATAACCGAGGTATCACTGGCACTGTGAAATGAAAATGAAAAACCTGTGAATGAAAGGAAAAATTCCAACCGAGTGGAGTTTTATCTTTCAACAGGATCGGGTTTCATCTTTCATCGTTTCTTACAAATTTTTTATCGCATGAATAAATTCGCACTACACTCATATCAGCGCATCTGAATCATATACTTCTTGCACCGAAAAATGGAGAAATCAGACAAAAATATGAGAATCCTATATCCTGATATAAAGACATTTCATTCACCAGGCCATTTTGACTCATGGTGTGTGTGGTTGAGAAAATCTAACAACAAAAACCCACTGTTGGATGAATCGATAAATCTGAAAAAGGGTAGCATATCTGTTACTGGAATCCTTTCATGTGAAAATAAATAGAGAAACCAAAATGCTTACCTATCGGGTATGGATGTATTTGGTGGTAGCGATAGAAAACAACGTTGTCGTAATAGACCGGCCCATAATTGCACACCAATGATGCCAAAGATGAAAAAGACAAAAAAACAAAGCAACAACACATTGCCAAGCATCTGATCATTAGTTGTTTGGGAAAAATTAAAACTTGAATCAATCATCGATGAGCGAAACAAAATATTAATAATTACCGGTAAAGTGTCCAATAACAACATGACCAATATTCGCATGCCTGTTGAAAAATGAGAATACGAGATCAATATCAATTAGCAAAATGGATAGAACAAACAACGGCCATTCTTTTGTCATATCATATTAATTTACACACACATGAAACAAAAAACCAAAACCAAAAAAAACCAATCAACTTGTATGCGACAGAATGAAATGGAAATCTGAACAAAAGTAGCTTCATTACTGTCATTGGATTATTGAATAATTAACCACCATCATCATCAACCACTAGTGAGTTGTTGTTCACTTTACTTTACTTACTTGGTATTCGGTTGATTGCTCGTAATGGCCGTAATACTCGTACTGTACGGATAGCCGATAGATTCATATTGCCAACATCCAGACAATACTCAAGAGCTCTGTTCAAACGAATAAAGATGATAATGGTGATTATTGAACAAATGAAAGACGATTAATACATACCCGGCAACAACAATGAAAAAATCTAATCGATTCCAAGTGTCCGATAGGTATGAATTGGGTGCATTCATTATGCCCATGGCCAGCATTTTAATGACCATTTCAAGGGCAAAAAAACCAAATATTATGTCATCGAATGTTTGCAATATTTTACATCGTGATGTTGTACAGGTCTCATCATCTGCACACGGTTGATACATGCCCAATGTAACACAATTCAATAGTATGGCCATCATACTTATGCGCTCGAACCATGTGTTGTTTGTTGAGAAAGGGAAATTCATTTTCCAGCAAAAAAAGGAAAAAAAAAAAAAAAGGAAAGGAACCCAAGGTTTAAGTTGAGGAAAAAAGTGTCATCGTTTTGAATTTGGAAATTTGAGAATTACTGCAAGCAATTCAATTTCAATCAAAAACATTGTTCCATTCAATTTCAATCATTCATCATTTATGACAGTGACAATGGCCAAAGAAAATTGAAAAAAATTCTTAATCGAACTTTCATTATTTCACACATGGAACTTTTTTTGTCACATCAATAAACATCGATCAATCGAGAATCCAGGGATAATGGAAATTCCATCACACCAAATGGAATGTTCATTCATTTCAATGAAGAAAAACACACAATAATTATAAAGTGATTCAATTTCAGATAGTTTCTAATCAGTTCAATTGCTCAGTGCAACAAAACATGTAACACAGGTGAACATAGGTGAAGCAATGATTGATTGAATCATCGATCAAATTATTTATAAACATCAACATAAAATGCATGCATATGAAGAATATAAAGACCATCCACTGATTGAAAAGTTTAAAGGACAAAAATGTCAATCATGCCAAACTTAATGGAATAACCTAATCAATATCGATGAATAAATCCTCATCAGATTCGAGTCATTGATTCTTGGCCTATTCAACCAGATTGAATGGAGAGAAAAATTTGTCAATTTTCAAACAAAAACACGAAATGAAACCACATCATCATCAGAATGCATCCATTCACCAGCACTAACAGAACAGATTCGATTTCCTGTCTATTTATTTCAAAGCCAAACACAAACAGTTGGTAAAGAAGACTTGCCCTAAACCTAATGGACCTTATCGACCTACAGGAAAAAAAACTTTTCCTTTACACACACACAAACATTCGAAAAAAAAGTCATACAACTCACACATCCACCAGTGGTGTAAAACTAGTCCGGTAGTGAGATATTATACAGAGACAGACAATGAAATGAAAATAAATTGCCAAAGAAAAACCATAAGAAAAAAAAATGGAAAAATTTTTTCATCTTCCAAACTTTACACTCACACATCCTGCTCCACAAACACAGAGATAAAATGTCCACATTTCCACATGTCTAACATGAAAAATTTTTGAAAAAAGTAAAATGAATTGATCAACTAAACATCATCATCATCATCAATATTTGGTTGATGGATTTTTTGTTCATTTCAGTCATAATAATAATGATGATAATAATGTCTTTGGTTCGGTTATTGGTATCAATATTATATTACACACACACACAGAGAGAGAGAGATCATCATCAATGGCCGGAAATTTTCTGACCGAATTTTCCATCATCATTATCATTATGATATGTGACACTGAAAATTCATCGTCATTTCAAGGAAAAAATTGAAAAAGCCAGACCATTTGAACTCTTTTTTTTTAATGACATCGACAAATCTGAAGATGAAATAAAATCGTTTATCTCGGTTGAAACACGTAGAAATGTGGAGAAATATAAAAAGCCCAATAGCAATAGCAATAAATATAGATGAAAGAAAAAGAAAAATATTCATTCTAATTTATGGCAAATGTTTGAATAAAATTAAATGTCAAATGAAAATAGACATATAGACGTATAGACGTATAGACATTAATTCATTCATTTTGTTCAACAACTAGTGAAAAAATGGCCGGTCACGCCTATAACAAGCATATTGCATATATTGCCAGAATGGTCCAGAATGGCCCAGAATTCACAATTCAAAATCTGCAACCAAAAACTAATGACGATGAATTTGTTCGATCAACTTTTTCTCATCCACTCGATCCGTAATTATAAATTAATTACTGTTTTTCTGGTCAAAGTAAACGAGTTGCTTTTTCTTCACTCTTTGATCGTACAAAATCTACATATGTAGTAAATATACTCAGAAAAGGAAAAAAACGAACAAACCGTTGACAACAACTAATACATGTCACTAAAGAAAAAACCGTCATCATGAACATGTTAAAAGCTTTAATTAAACACATGGTGATGGCAGTGACACAAACAAACAATAGGTGATTGTGGCCACTGTAAAGTAACAGTAGCTAGGACAGAATTGAATAAAAAAAAGTCTACAAGGCAAAGAAAGGAGAATAATAATAAATTCATTCATTCAGCAATATTTCTAGCGTACCGAAACCGTTGTATGGTAGATAAAATATTGAAATTTTCACCTGAACAACAACATTTGTTGGAATCGGGAATTAGAAGGAAAAAAACAGCAAGATATAAGGTTAGAAACAACAAAATAAGCTCCAATTCTCATACGAGAGAGATTTATGAAAGTGAAGCTCACATTCTAGCTATAGGTGAAAATTCATTTTTTGCCAAACAAAATTGAGATGAATATCATGCAATGACATTGAAGACAATTGAATTCTGTGTGTTACAAATGAAAACAAAACAAATCAAATCTCCGGCACATTTAAACAAAAGTACATTGGCTAAGTAGGGCCATTCACAGTTTGGTCTAGATTAGCGCTCATCTGCTGTACGATTGTAGTGAAACCACCACCACCACCACCACCAGCAGCACCATGATAATAATGAAACAACAAACGTGGAAATTGATAAGAAATGTTCAAACAAGCGAAACAAAACAAATATGCGAAATGAGAAATGAAAATCATTTGGACGTCGACGTTAACAAAATAAATATTTCATCAAACATTAACAACAAACAAACGCTAACTTTTTACCAGTATAAATGTTGCAAATAGAAATTAACAAGATTTTCACTTGTACACACAGAGTTCAAGGCTTGTGTTGTTTATATATTATACATTTAAACAAAACAAAACAAAAGAGTTGTCAGTAGTGATGATGATGATGGAACTAAAGTTTAATTGAATTTTATTTTATTTTTGTTTAATTATTATTCCCGAACAACAACAATCATAATGACAGATAGTTCAATGCAACACCAGGTGTGTGTGCAGATGCTAACTACACAGCACACTATTGGGCCACCATAATCAAAATGTTTAGAAAAGGAAAAACCGATATTGATAACTGATGATTGAATAACTGCAGGACAAGAAAAAATTCAGAATTCATGGAATTCTTTTCGTGAGTGTCGGATGAAATTCACAATCGATACAAAATGACAATAGAAATGACAATCATCACTACCGAACCATTGCAGAAACATTGCAACATTAAATGGTTTTTCCATCAAACTCTTATGACAATAAAAAATTTTCAAACCAACTGAAATAGAAACGATTGTTCATATGCCAGACACGCCGTTTTGTATCAAATGATCCAAATGATGATAGTTTGGATATTCAGACTTTTATTTTTTTTTTTTTTTGAAATTCGAAATTCCGACACAATTGAAAGTAGAAAAGGAATGCAGAAATTAAACTTGAATGAATGGAAATTTTCACTTTGAAAAATCCATGCCAGAATGTCGAGAAATGAAACAACTTTTGTTATTATCACCATCATTGCATTGTAATATAAATTAACCAGCAACATAAAACCAGCAATAATAATAATAATAAAGCACACTAAACTAAACTAATACAAACACAACAATCAGCAATGAAAAAACAAGCAACCACAAAATAACGACCATCATAACATCTCAATTTCATGAATTATGGACAGAAAAATTTCTTTTTTCCAGGATTTAGTCCCATCGGAAATATAAGATAGTTGACTCGCACACACACACACATTTTGGTTCTGTTTTTATATCATTTCATTAATAAATATCCATGTCCATGAATGTATGATGATGGTGATGGTGATGGTGATGATGGAAACATTAACATTAAAAATCAATTTTCACTATGATGATGGACAAATCATACACATGCATATGATTCACATAAATCACACATGAACATGAGACAAAAACTGAAACAAAAACCAAACAAACGACAATGATAATGACATTTTTTACTCGTTAAAATCAAAATAACATGGCATGTCAACAAATGCATGGCAATGTTTGTTTCTATTATTCAAGTGATGATGTGATCATCGTCATCAAGATGAGTATGGCTAATTTTGCAACAAAAAACAAAACAAAACAAATTCTCAGGCTACGGAAAATGAAATGAACAAGTGAATATTGTCATCATTCACTTTATCAAATTCAAATCACCCGTTATAGAAATCTCTAGAGTGCAACTTACACTGGCATGATGATGACAACGAAAAACAGAAAAAAGAGAAAAAAAGAGAGAAGAAGAGAGAAGACAAATTTTTTTTGAAAGTAAAATTTCAAGTAATTTGAGCAATAGATGATTGTATGTTCCTGTTCATTCATTAGTGGCATTTGAATTTGAAGAAAAACCTGAACAAGAATTTCAACAAGGAAAAAATTAGTTACATTCATGCAAACATTGAATGAAGAACCGACTCGAATAAAGAGAATCATCAACAGTATGAATCGAACAATTGAAAAAGAATGATCATGAAGAACATGGTTCTTTTTCACAGAAATAATAATGAATTCGATGCCTGGCACCAGAATGTAGAGTGATAAGCTCAATATCAATATCAATCCTATGCTTTGATTAAACTATTTCAATTCACAGGCCTAATGATAATGCGGTGTCAGCTTGCATAGATTTTGTCATTCGCACTTTTCTTCTTTTGCACTCATTTTTTCCGAAGCTAAATTCTTTACAAATGATCAAGAACTTGGACCAATTGAATAAGTGTAGGCGAAAGAAAAATGAACAAAGTTCAAGTCATAAATCACTTGAAAAAGTGACCGAATAGAATAACATCAACAAGATAATTAGTAGCAGATTTTTTCACTCTCTCTCTCTTTCTCTAAGAAAAAATGGTGGCAAATGAATGTTTTCACATCTAAACAAATGCAAGTATAATATATTTATCATTATAATACCTGATCACTGATGGCTGGTTTATTCAACCAAATGGACTTGCCAATCATCATCAAATGAATTAATCAAACTAAAATGTTGATGAAAAATAGATGAGTGAAGAGCACTCTATGTCAATCATTATACATTCACATTGAATCTATTAATATATCTACATGTATATGTCATTTTATCATTATCATCATTCACTATTGCAATGTTAAGAGGTTTATTATTCCAAACACTTTGTTTCATTTGTCATCATCACCATATAGAAATATCAGGTGACCATAATGATATTCGAAAAAAGCTACCAGAATCAACAACAACAACAACAACAAATAGCATATCGTAATCGTAATTCAAATAGTCCAAGTGAATAGGGGTTCAGATCATCATCGTCATTATTAAGAATTATTCGAATGTGTATGAAGCCAGAACATTAAATTGTTGTTACTTACTATGCCAATCATGTCCATTCATTCATATACATACAAACTAATACAGACTAGGACTTTTTCTCTCTCTCACTCTATTTATCATTATTGTTATTATTGCCCAATAGAGTTTCAAATGGATCTCTGTCCACAGGAACCATAAGAATCTGATCATACACAAAAATCAACTGATATTACAATGAACAGAGAGAGAGAGAAAAAAGGTAAATTTCGGACCAATTTTGTTGCTTATGGCCACTACCTTATCTTGTTGTGTTTCCGATTCGAATTCGATGAACAACAACATCAACTGTATATATGCAGCAATCTCACTTAATCATCACTCTATACATATATTATATATATGGATGAACAACGGTAATGATCCCAATTCACTTACAGTGAAGAGATAAGAAAAATTTAAATTTAAACTATGCCATTTAATGGTGATGCAAAAAGAGCACCAGATCTCCCTATGGAGTAAATAAAATTTTTGTTCAATCGTCTATGATTCGAATATTGGAAAAAAGTGATAATTATACATTTGTCAATGACTGAAATCATGATCAAATGAACAATCAAACAACGGCAATCGAAAAAAGATTTTTAGGAAATCGAATCGAATAGAATCCATGTTTTATGATACAACATGTAAATTACACTTACACACACACACACACAGACCCACAGACACACAGACACTTTGAATAAACTAGAGACGCAATGACTCTCAATTCTTATTTATCGAAAATAGCCTGTCATCAAAATAGCAACAACAAGAGAAAAGTCTGGATCTGTCTAAACTTGCAAAATTCAAACAATTTCACTCTCATCGTCAATATCTGTCTGTGGTGATGGTGATGAGTGGAAAAAAGTTTTCTGTTACATTCACTTGCCACACATTCAGAACAATAAAAAAAATGTAGCCGATTAAACTATGAAATAAGTACTTTGGTGAATTCACCTCACTATGATAATAATGGCCCAATGATTGGGACAATAAATAAATGAATAAAATAAAATGACTCAACATCAGGACGAAGAAGGTTTCTGGGGATAACCAATCGGAAAGAAAATTCCATCCACCATACACACATGCCATAGCTTGGATTCTTTTTATTCTAATTCAATTGTAGGGTAGTAACAGAAAAAACTGACTACAGCAATGAAAAGGTAATTTGTTCATTTTTTCTTGGATCTAAAAATAAAAAATATAAAGAAGTAAAAACTGTGCAACACACACACACACACACCTGTATAAATTGAAATAATAAAATCGAAATTAAATCGAATTATCTTTTGTAGCCAAGCAAAATTTAAATTTTTTCTGTGGTCTATATCGAATGAACTGGGGCTCACAAAAGAATTCTATTCGATGCAGACCAAATTCTTGTCATCCAAATTGTTGTCATTGCAAACAGGAGAACATGGTCTCAGGTATACATCAAGAAACAAAGAGAAAAGGAAAAATCAATAATCAAAAAACATGGACCGTTGCTATCTACCAGTCTAGGGAACATACTCTTTTCACCAGGTTAGTTCATTACTGAAAATCAAGCAGCAAAAATGTTTAGAAAAAAAAGTCAATTTATTATATGCCACACACACACATCTAAAGTGAAGAATGGTCCACCTGGAATTTAAGTTTCACTTGAATGACAAAAAAAGGGGAAACACCATGAAAACAAAGAAGGGAACCAGAAAAAGGGAAAAATAAAAAAAAATTCTACCAAACTGAAAGCCATATCGTGGATGACAACAACAACATAAAAGAAAAATGTTATCCACCCAAATCAAGTTCATCTTTTTCGGCCAAAAAACATCGTCATCATCATCATCATAAACTCGATTGATAATGTCATCATGCTCATCATCAACACATCATCATGAATAATTGTCAGTAATGTCAAACGGAAAAGAATGACAAGTCAACCATAGTGGAATTATCATTCATTCACAATAAATGCGTGTGAATTGGACCAGCAACAAACAAAACAAAAATTTGTACAGCCCAACATGCAGTTGTTGTTGTTGTTGTTGGTCTTGACAAGTTGGTCTTATAATCTGAAAGAAAAATCCAAATCGGATCAAGTGCATGCATAAAAGAATCTTTACATACAAAACATAATCAAGTATACTGCAAACGCGATAATTCAAGAATCTTGTGTTTACCAAGAACCTAAATCTTTCAATCTGTGGCTTTTATTATAATGCAGTTGTTGATTTGTTTAAATTTACAAAAAACATTTTTGAAAGAAAATCAAAAAAAAAAAAACAGAATCGAATGCATTTGATGACAACAATGAAAAAATGAATCAAAATCGATTTGGATAAATTATTTGCACATATCATCATCTCATTTCATTAGATTCCTTATCAGAGAAAATTTTACATGATTCAATGTTTGCCCACACCAAAGGAAACAGAAAACGTAAAACTTCAATTCTAATTCAACATACACACACAAACACAGGAATACAAAACAACTTGCAATGTTTTGAAGCAAATAATGTGAAAATACTTTATGCAAACACCAATACCAACACCATACACATACAGAGGCATGTTGGACACAAATTAAGATATGTGAATCAAATTCAGTTCAATCAAAGTCCGACTAACAAAAATGAAATGCGAAAAAAACGTCAGGGTCAAAGTCGTCTGGTTTTGAGGTTTCTTTCCAACTTTCACCATTTCTTTTCCATCATCATCCTGGTCTAAGAGGAGAAAAAACTTTTTAATTGATGCAATAAAGTTTCTAAGAAACAGAAACATGGATGCAAAAAAACCCCATTCAAGTACTTTTTATTTGAATATGGGAAAAAATTCTAAACAAAACCAGCATGTCAAACCGAGAAAGGAACAAATTGCTCTCAATTCAGAAAAGAATGGATTATCAGAGATTTATCACGACTATATAAAAGAAAAAGAATGCACAAGACTAATGCAATCTAATTTGATTTGCATTCAGCAAAACACGCAACCCAATTTAACATGAACAATTTGAATCAAGTTAAGCATCAATCAAACCGGAAATTCATTCAAATGAAAAGGATATGGATTCGATATCATACGAAGGCAAATATTTCTTGGAAATGTATCCTGTTTAAATATATAGAGGCAAACCGGTGTATATTGGCCAAATGGTTGATCAGTCGATGTTTGTTGTTGTTGCTGTTGCTGATTATTGCCATTCTGATTATGATGTTGATGTTGATAATGTGATGAGGAATTATCGGAAGATTGCTGTGAACATCGGCCATGATGATGATGATGATGATAATGGTGATGGCGTCGTTGGTGATGATAATTTGGACTACTTGTATTACTGCTACCTGTCGTACGATGATAATGATGATGTATAATTGATTGTGGCGATGATAGTTGTGGTTGAGTATTAGCTGTTGCTATTGCACAACAACTACTATTATCATTATTATGGTTATGATCGACAAATATTGATGCTGAAATCGATGGTGTTGATATTGGAGACATTTCATGATCATCATTTCCAGTATCGATTGATACTATAGATATACATGGCTGTGGATGTGATGATGACGATGATGTCTGGATTTGGTGATCATCCAATTTACACAAATAATCGGAGGATGATTGTGATCGTTGTTGGTCAGCATGGCTACTAAATCTATTTCGAACATTTTGATCATAATAATGGCCGGTCTTTGTTGTCGTGGTTGTGGTTGTTGTTGATGGTGTTGAAGAAGCGGCCGGCGGCTCACAACAACCATTGCTGTTGCTCATACTGATGATTATGATGATGAGGATGATGGAGATGGTGGTGATGAAGATGATGAATGAATAATTTCATTTATGAATTGGACATTTTCATTGATATTACCAATCGAAACCAATAATAAAACACAAACACCATGAGAGAAAAAATGTACACTAGAACACATTCACAGTCACACCTAGATGTGCACTAAAACTGAGAAAATATAACCAAGACACGCCATCAAAAAATAAACTAAAACAGGAAGCATGTACGATTCAAAGAAATCCATTTTCATGATCATCATGATTCGGTTTCAGTAGGAGAATTTCTTTTTAGCGATCAAAATCTATTTCTCTGTATAAAAACCAACAAACAAACAATGGAGATGAATATTTTATAAAGAAAAATGAATTCACCATGCACACAAAATCGAGTAGAAAAAATCGAATTGAATCGGGGAAAAAAACATACCGAAAACTTGACTTGAAATGACGACGACAAAGTGATCATTATGATCATCGTCATCGTTGTTGTTTGTGTGATGTGAACCCGAATACCATGCTGTGATCATCATAATCGTTTTATTGTGCGGGGCATCAGCTGAATCCGTGGACCGGTTTTTTGCAAATTTGTTTCTCGTTCGAGTTTTGGCTATGGCTGTTGTTAGGAAAAGAAAAAATGCAACAATAGGAAAAAATATATATCCATTAAACAGAATATTCTTCAATTTTGTGCGCTAGATTGATTATCGTATTGCTATATTTTTATACAAAAACTGTAACAAGGAAAATTTTGAATGGATAAAAAATCTAAAGATATGGCTCGAGCCGAAACAAGAAAAAACGAAAAAAAGAATCTGGATTGATGAAAAATGACCATCGTACACCATCATCATCTTTGGGAACATCTTGAGAACCGAAAATGTTCTTTGTTCTTTTCACTTTTTCACTCAGGATGATATATACACACACACACAAGAAAAAGGAAAAAATCATTTTGAAACAGAACAAAATTGAAAGAGAAACTTCATGTTTCTATTTGAAAACATACAAAAAACATCGATAGATATCGATATATTGACACACTGCCACCAAATGTGACCAGGAACTACTAGAACAGGGATGGAATCACTTCTAGAAACAACAAATAATGATGATGATGATGATGATGATGAAAATGGCTTTCATTTTTCATTTTCATTTTTTCCTCTTCATTCACATAGAGATTCTTTTCATATTAACAAATAGGTGGCAAATATCCAGTTGACAGTTCATTTTTCACATTTACACACAGACACGCTGTCGATTATTCGTTCAGTAATAAACAACAAAGGCATTCAATATGACAATATGATATGATCAATGTCACAATGTTTGTGGACATTTTCTACAACATAACAAACACTCATCTATGGACAATGTTAACATATCTGGGTGTGTTGATGGTGCTTTTCAGAATTGGCCTCTCAACATTTCAATGATTCTATAGACATGGGAATTAACTTGAAAACCAATTGAATGATTTGGATCAAAACAACAACAAAAAAATTAATTCCTACTCATCGAATTCGAGATTCTCTCATTCATCTTATTATAATCGAATAGACAAAGGTCTTCGAAAGGATAAATAAACAAAAAACAAAATTTTCGGTTCGATTAACAAACAAAATTAGACCAATATATCAATGATCAACGATCAACGATGAACGCTGTCATCATTGTGGAACAAATTCGATGACAAAACAATGAAGTTAATTAGCAAAACAAATGAATCGACAACGAAATTGTCATCCTCAACAATGATGATGATAAAAGCCAGAAAAAATCACAGAATTCAGCAATAAGGAAGTAGCAAAAAACAACTGAGAACAAAAGAATTTGTTTTCCTCAGAATTGGATTGGCGTTTCTTGTTGTTGTTGTTTAGTGTTGAATTTGAAATTTGAAATTCAAAATTTAAATGTCTATAATAATGGCACATACGCATAGTGATGTTTGGAATTTAAATTTTCATTCGCATCATCCATTTTCTACACACACACAGACACACACATACGGAGGCATTGTAAATTTTCAGAAGCCGATGAACGGATTGTTGAATCAAAAATGAAAGGAAAATCGAATACAACCATGCATTCATGGTGGCCACTTTCTCTTAGAATCTATTCTTCATTACCTACGATTGGCAAAATATTTCTACAACAAATAAACAACTGAAAATGAAAAATTTCAAAGAAAAAAAAAAAACAGAAGAATCTGCACAATCACAATCAAGAATCGAGGTTCTTTTTCTCCATCATCAAAACATTTTCAATCCACCACCACCACCACCACCAACAGAAAATTCAATGTTATGAAAACTTGAAAACAAACAAATAAATGGAATTGAACCCAAATTATAAGTTCTCTGTTGTGTACCACGAACAAAGGGAGGTGGTAAACATTTTCTTTTCCCTAAAAACTTGTACTTAAAATTCGATTTGAATGTTCGATTCTTTGGCTTATGCTGCTGCTAATGCAGATTGTTTAGGGCGTGCAATCATGCGTTTCATCATCGCCATCCATTCGCATTTGTGGCATTTTGTCGTCGTCGTCGTTGTCGTTGTTGTTGTTGTTGTTGTTGTTGTTGTTGTTGTTGTTATTGTATTTAAATACATTTCATTTCATTTCAAATTCTCAATCATCATCGCCTTTGTGATGTTCATCTTCGTAGTCATCGTGGTGGTTTTCTTCAAAGTGAATGGATGGAGAACGGAAAAATTTTCATTTGAATTCAATTGAATTTCAACAAAAACTCTTGTGTCTGCCATCACACACTTTATCGAATACATTTCACACACACACACACGAAAACCGAGACAGCAAGAATAAATCAGATTTTGTTTCTTAAATGAAATCCCTCTCTATGTCTATGCACTTGTGTTATTTGTGTTGATTATTGTCGTTGTTGTTATTGAAGATTCTCATTATAATACACACAGAAAGAATATGGATACACACACACACACAAATAGAATTTTAGAATTTCTATGATTAAAACACAATGAAATGAAAATAATTATAAAATAAAATTTGAGATGATGATAAAAAGGTGGGTGTAGAAACAAGAACAGTCCAAAACATAATTGAATTGAGATTCATATGAATAGCTTACCCAGAAAATTCACATTACTCACCATGTTTTAGAATCAATCGTCGATACCACATGTAAATGATGAAAAGTTGTCGAAGAAAGGATTATGTTCCTGTGTTGAATTTTCTCAGGAGGGAACCAAAAACAAACAGAAACAAAAAATCGGATTGTGTTCTGGCACAGCAACTTTTGTTGCTGTTTTTCGGATCTGGTATCTGGTTATAATGATGATGATGATGATGGAACGTGTTGGAATTTGCTTCGTTTTTTTCTGGTTAATCAAAGAGTCAATTTCACCCACAAACATACGCACAGATACATCCGGTGAATGATTACAGGGAAAAATGACAAAATAACCTGGAAATTTTCGAGCTGGGATTGTGCATTATAATATTCATGCCAACCACAATAAAAGATAATAACCACAACAACCAAGAGGTCCATCAAACAACAACAACAAAGAAATATAGATGGAAACCAGAACTATCACTGGAGACACAGAATTGTTTGAATGTTAGTTAAGTTAGTTTATGGCCGATTTGATCTGATCCAAACGTCTGTGTGTGTGTGTGTGTGTTTGTATGTTCATGTAGAACTAAATTATTAATGATTCAAATGTTTGGTTACTGTTGTCTCTGTTGTTGTTGTTGTTGTTTTGCAGTTATGAAGACGATGTTTGATGCGAACGAGTGTTGGTGGTGGCGGCTAATTTTCAATAGTGGTTATTAGGTGTATTATCTTTGTAACACTAAAACTTGAAAACAATGATGATGATGAAAGAAAAATGAACTTTACATTCATCATTTCATCTTCAAATGTGACTTTTGCAGGATTCAATTTGTTTTTAGGTTATTTCGTTGATCACAAACACATCAGAGGAAAATGATTGAATGTTTTTTTCGGTGTCGTTTCGTTGTTGTTGAATTACGGAATCGAACAAAGACAAAACAAAAAACAATTCGATTCAAAATTGACACTAACAAATTCACTTGGGTGTAAATAGAATCGGATGATCTCTTGTTGTTGATGTTTCGATTTGTTTGTTCGGCCGGAATTTGAATATCATTATTCTATCGAGTTTTTTTCTATTGAATCGATAATTGAGAAAATTTCATTATACAATCAATAGTGCCATTGATTGGTTTTTTATATTCGATAAAAGCTGTTTGAATGATTTGATTTTCGTTCGGATGAATCAATGATCAACGAATGAAATGAAACGTTCTAATCAATCGTGGAAAAATGAATCGGTGATGGAAAAACGCCGAACAATCGACAGACATCATAACTGACTGAACTTGAATAGTAAAGCTGGCTAGCCAAACGAAAATCCTGCCAGAAAAAAAAGTATCTAGCGCCGGACCAAAGAAGAAGAAGCGAAAATTTCAAACCAGCCACATACGACGCACGTGTGTCTGTACCATCGTATAACGCCCACACACACACACAATGTATCCAATGTTCAAAAAAGAAATTCTGACTGTTAAAACATATGCGTATGTTATATAGACGACGTCCCGATTTCGATCGAAACCCCGATGATGATGATGATGATGATGATGGCCCTATGGACCGAATATACTCGTATTACAAAGAAAAGATAGATAGTGAGAAAACCGAAAAAAATGGACAACTGCAACAAACCTGGACCCGTGAAAGAATTTCGGTCACGAAAAAAAGAATGATTTGCCTGTGATCGATACTTTTGATTTTAGCATTTAACACAATGAAACAAGTAAACAAAAATGAAATGAAATGAAATGGTCCAATTTTTTTTATTAACCAAATATCGAAACACTTTATATCGGTACTGTCGATATCAAAAAGCAATGGACGAAAATTTTTCAAACAAAAAAAGAAAAGATATGATGAACATCTATCTATAATTACTACATTACTACATTACTACATTACTACACACGCATACACGCCATCATCGAGTTTTGCACGCACATTTCCATTTTTTGTAAAGTTACCATTTATTCCATTTATTATTATCATCATCATCATCTTTATTTATATTTATTACAAAAAGACAACATCACCATTATGATCATGACGATGATGATTGTTGTCGTCAAAAATAAACAGATAGACATAAACATAAAATTCGTGTTTTCATTCATTCAATAATTGCCGTCACTGTTTGAACCGAGAATCGGGAAATTCTCCATTTTCCATTTGGTCGTTATGGTCGTTAAATAAATAAAGCTGTGTCAAAATTAAATGATGAACAACAACGATTGAAAGAAATTGACGTATAAATTGTCGAAATTTTATTACAATTCATTGACAAATTGCGAGTGACAATTTTTTTCGATTTATATATGCGATACTAATAATAGATAATATGAGTTGATTATTTCCATGTTGATGGCTTTTTAATCGAATTTCGTCATTGGCTTTGATCATTAGTTATTACAAGTGTGCGTTATAATTACCCGTTTATTTCGGATTTTCGGGTTAGCTGGTTGGTTGGTCAACTTGAAACGTGCCAACGATGACGGTGATGATGATGATGATGATGATAGCCAAATATTCAAATCTACATTGATTGTTCACTTGGAATGAATGGAAAACCAGCACAATGCGGACATCTATCGTTGTATCTTGGTGATAAAAGGCAAAATTTTTCAAGCAGCAAAAATGACAAAAAGCAAATTTGATTTCCATATAGATATGGCCAATTTATATACATTTAAATGCTTGATGATTTATAGAACATGCTCTTTATTTGTATGTGATGCATTTAATAATATTGTTGCAAATTGAATTCAACAACAACAACAGTCATGACCTCTAAACTTTTTGGCTGTCACGAGAGATAGCCAAATGGGGATTCAACTTTTTCTAAAATCAGCTGATCACCACTGTTTTCATTCGTCGTTGTTTTATTGGACCAAGCAAAGAGACAAAGCAGAGAAAACAAAAACAGTACGTTTGTACCCGTAATATTTACGGGATCAAGGTAACTATTCATTCTTTGTTGCTATATTTACTCTCACACATCTCATTTGTTTTCCATTTCCATAAGGTAACTTGTAAAAAACCAGTTATATCATCTAGTTTTCACTTGTGGATAGGAAAAATCTAGTCCATCATCGATAGCATCTCATAAGTTTGTGTCTTTTAACTTGAACAAATTTTCAAATTATGCAATCATCTTCAAATTATCCATTTATCGTCATGATCCACATTATTCAATAGTTGAACAAATTTTCTTTGCCTCGCGATTATTTTTCCTGTAAGGATGACAGGCAAAAAACAAAACAGAAAAAATTGAATTTCGAATTTCTCGAATGAATGAATGAATGAATGGATATCACAGCATAAAACACCATTTCATTTCATTTTTGTCCACTAATTTATCGTCATCATTTACAATTTCTCACCTTTTATAATCATCATCATCATCGTCATCAGCATCAGCATTATTATTAACGAATTCAGGTAATTAATTCGGGTGACTAATGAACCGTATATAACATTGGTTTTTTCTAATTTTTTTTTGTTGCAGTAGAGAATGGTATTGGGTGAAACATACAAACCGGTGACACCGACACGTGATCCATTGGTGATACAAGACACACCACCAGCAAAGACAATCAAAAATGTAAACGACTCATTTTTCATCAAATATACATTCTCATTTTTGGCTGCCAGCTGTGCAGAGACGAGTTTAGTATTTGGAAGTTTTTTTCAAAAATTCTAAAAAATTACCTCTTCTTCAATTCAGTAACCTATCCATTGGATCTAATCAAAGGGCGACTGCAAATACAGGGTGAATTGGCATTCGAACAGCATGCTAAAACTAAGCGACATATTCCGAAACGTGGAATGTTTGGCACTGCCGTCGGTATTGGTAAGATTTTTGTTTTTGCACACATTTCTTTTGCTAATAAATTATTCATCGTTTGAATAAAGTACAAGAAGAAGGTTTCCTACGATTATGGCAAGGTCTATCACCTGCAATTTATCGTCATGTTGGTAAGTTGAATAATGAATATATGCACATGAATGATGCATTTTCTTCTCTCATTCCTTATCTGCTTGACCAATTACCATTGTTGTGTTGAAACCTTGGCCCAATGTTGTTACTTGCGACAGTGGTGGTGCCATGTGTTTAACCGCGTTCTGTCCCATTCTCTTTCTCTCTTTCTTTTTCTTTGTTTTTAATTTGATTTTGACGATAATCATGATATTCTTCATTCATTGCATTGATCACTATAGTTTATTCCGGTGTACGAATGACATTCTATGAATATATACGAGAAGAATTATTGGGTAAAAATGACGATGGTACCATACCGTTGTGGAAAGCATTAATCGGTGGCACTGTAGCCGGTGTTACAGCACAATTTTTGGCCAGTCCAGCCGATCTGGTTAAAGTTCAGGTACAAATGGAAGGCCGACGACGATTACAGGGACTGGAACCACGTGTTCGTAATGCAAGACATGCATTCATGAAAATTTACTACGAAGGTGGTATACGTGGCCTATGGAAAGGTTGGATGCCAAATTGTCAACGTGCTGCATTCGTCAATCTGGGTGATCTAACCACATATGATACGGCCAAACATCTCATATTGAAACATACAAATATGAAAGACAATATCTACCTGCATGCATTATCAAGTGTATGTTCTGGTCTGATTGCTGCATTATTGGGCACACCAGCCGATGTAATCAAAACACGTGTTATGAATCAACCAACCGATAGTAATGGTCGTGGCCTTTTATATCGTTCATCGATGGATTGCCTAATCAAATCGGTGAAAGGTGAAGGTTTCTTGTCCCTATACAAAGGTTTTATACCATGTTGGATTCGTATGGGACCATGGTCATTATTATTCTGGCTAAGTTATGAAAAATTACGCAAATTATGGGGTGTAACGTCATTCTAAAGCCAAAGTAAAATGAAAATCGACATAATCTCCACTCACCATATATTGTATCTTGCCAATGCTAAAAACCAAAAATGCCCTCGTCTTGAATTTACTTTTCTTGTTGAAACAATCTCTGATCAGAACAATCAAATCGCATATATCCATTAGTTGCAGAACATTATCTCATGTATCTGTGCTATAAAGAGAATAAATTTTCAATTTTTTTTAGAAAACCAAATTCATTTCCCTCATTTTACAACAAATAGTGCTTTCCGTTCTCGGAAGTTGACATTTCTTCAACATGTATCCATAAAACTAATTCATCTTGCAAGATCGTTACCGTAATAATGAAGTAAAGAAAAAAGAATGAATGATGAAATTTTTTTATTTTTCGTGTCAATATTTTTGTAACTCTATTTCAACTGTATTGGTATAGACTCAAATGACTTTGGTTAAAATAGACTTTAAAAGAATTTTTTTGTGTTTCATTTTGGTTCTTTGGGTCGGAACCATCGTTATGGCTGAATTTTTTCATTTAAATTAATCATTAATCAATCGTACACGATGATCTCTACCGGTGGCACCCTTTTGGTGGCCACATTTTCCCTATTATTAATCGGTTTTATTGATTTATTCATTAATGAACCGAATCGTTGCGAAATGACCTATATGTACCAGATTCCAGAATATGTGGTATGCTAATCGTAATGGAAATAAATATGATTCTTCTCACATTCTTGAACATGTTAGGAAATCGACATGGAACGTAATGTTCGGAAAATGTTCTCAAACTATCATCTATATGTCTATGGTGAAGGGTAAGCAGCTCCATTAAAACAAAATGATGATATTCGATGATGATGATTTTCATTTCATTTTCACTCATATCAGTCAATATGCTGAAACACTACGACTGAATGAATTCAATGGTCAACCCATCATATTCGTACCGGGTAATGCCGGCAGTCATAAACAAGTTCGATCACTAGCATCTGTCGCATTGCTAATGTCAGCCAAAAAAGCATCGCATTTAAATTATTTTACCATCGATTATAATGAAGAACTATCGGCATTTATTGGTGATAAGCTTGAACGTCAAACCAGATTTCTTTATCATTCGATTCGTCGCGTTCTAGAACTGTATAAACATGTTGCAAATATTCGAATCATTTTGATTGGACATTCGATTGTAAGTTCTGCCAAATGAATTTGGTTTCTCTATAATAAATTTGATTCTCTTCTCAAATGAAGGGTGGCCTTCTTATTCGATCTTTGTTGACCAAGGATCCATTTCGCCAATTCTTACCTCGAATATCGATGGTGTTAACATTATCCACGCCAAATCGACATCCAGCCATCGGTTACAATTATCAAACGATTCGATTCTATGAGCGAATTCATCACTACTATCAAAGCCATCGAAATACAAAACTTTCTGATTTAAATTTTGTTTCAATCGGTGGTTCATATCAGGATATGATTGTTCGACCTGATCTGATCCGATTAAATTCATCAAATCCAAATGATTTGTCCATATTGACAACAGCCATACCCGACGTAAGTGTTGAATCAAAATCCAAATTCATCTTGTTTATTCGTATTCAATTAGGTATGGGTATCAGCTGATCATCTGTGTATCGTTTGGTGTCGACAATTGATGATCAAATTGAATCGAATGTTTTTCGATCTTATTGACCATGATACATTGGTATTTATAGAATCAACTGATCTTCGTCAAAGGATCATTGATTATCATCTTTTAGATAGACATTACACAAAAGAATATCCACCCAATTTGCCCTCAACAAACGTGTCAACTTTATTCATGATGAAATCAGCAAAGATCGAATGGATTGAACTCAAAGATCGGCTGGTCCGTTTATCTTTTGTCAAAATCATTCGACCAATCAATTATCTAATCAGTCTAAAAGAACGTGAAATGACTGCGATTTATCTGGAAGGAAATCTTACACCGGACACCATTATGATCGGTAATTGTGAACCAAAATCAGAACCAAACGTCACGAAAACGGCATTCGAATGTAATGGCAACATCTATACGCTTTCATTGATGACACGATTAGCGCCGAGATTGAATTCCAAATGGGATCGTCATGTTGGTCAATTTGATGCCGATGAATGGTTGGCTCAAGGTTTCACACATTTGATCATCAATCTAAGTCCATCACAATCATCACGATATGCATTGATCATTGATCGATTCACAAAACCGATACGTCAACGAACGATTGAAATGCCCAATCCATTGTATAAATTGATCGCATCGAGTCCATTCGATTCGAAATTAGTGTTTGCCAAACTAATTTCACAAGAACAATTGTACTATGAATTGACTATTGAAAATTTCAACAATGTATGGGATTCATATTGGATGGTCGTGCAGACCACTTCTTGTTATCAGAATGATTCTACATTCAATGGATTTATGCATCTAACTTATCCCTCGAATCCTGAACTTGATGAATTTATATGGCCATTACAGCCACATAAAAATTCGCAATATCAATTTTCCTTTTCAAGACATACAAACAATGTTCAGCTGATTGGAAATAGTCGGCCCAAAATCTACTTATTTCTTGAACCAAATTGTGGTTTTGATTTTCTTGTCAAATTCTCATTCACCGGTTCGATTGCTCAACTACTTCGTCATTATTTTGCATTAATCGTTCCAATGGCCATTTCGGTCATGATCTTAGTATTGTCCATCCAATTCTCAAACCTTTGCAATAGATATACATTTTCAAATGCCGATTTAGAACGATACAAGACATTTGTAAAACGAGATGAATTTGCTGGAAAATGTTATCAATTCCAAACGGCATCCGAATTGATGGTTCAAAGACATTATTTTGCATTTTGTTTCATACAAATTGTACCTGCTTCTATGTTGGCCTTGTTCATAATCAAACAGTAAGTATGAACAATGTAATGAGCCAAAATTACCAATTTCAATGGTTACATTTTTTTTCTTCTTGATCCTAACACAGAATGTATCCGACGCATGATCTAGTCAATTTGGCCAATGTTTCGATTGAATATCGCACAATTATTTGTATCATTTTATTTCTATTTGCATATTCGATAATTTACATGTCGACCATTTTAGTCACTCATTTGGCCAATAATTTTTCCAATGGTCTCATATTCTTTAGGATTCGATTTTTTCAGAATTTTTCCCTTCTTCCAGGCCGCTTTGGTCATTTCATACGATTGGAAAAACTAACACCAATAATCGATATCGGCGCTGTATTGATGTTTATCAATACGGCCACCTATTTCTTGCCTTTGGTAAGTTGTGTTTGATTCATTTTCAATGTGGTGATTAATTTGATTCACATCTTTTTTTTTTTTTGGTCACATAGACATATTGTTTGATACATTTCTTTTTCACCATTTCAATGTTATATTGGTTTTATCAGGCTAAAAGTCTGGAATTACGAATTGGCAAGACGACATCGACATCATTAGTATTTGCGATATATCCAATGTTGTTTCTATTGCTATTAGCCATCACTTTATTGCATTTACCATATTGTATTGATTGGATATTTGGACATGCTACGATAGCCGTCAATGATAAGGCCAATATATTGAATATTGCAATCAAAAATATTTCTACCGTTTATCTGGAAGATTGTCTTTTGCTTCTATTCTTGACTATACTTATGGCCATGTTTCATTCGAATCCATTGGATCTGCAGACGCGTCTCCGTTCTTATCATTCAAATCGGTTTGTTTTGTTTTTTATTATCATTTTTTCTCAGATTTCTAATCATTTTCAACCATACAAAACAGAACACAAGAAATTTTCAACATTTTATTGTTGATAATGGCATTCATCAATATGATCATTGGCGGTCTAATATGGGAATCAATACGTATGGTGATTACGATGGTCATCACATTGATTACAATTGGCCATTTTCGTAATCACTTGTGGAACAAAATCAATAGTAACACCATCAATCATGATAATCATGCAGATGATGATCAGCAACAAAAAAATGTCAATATCAACCACGAAAAATTATTCAAATCGGAATAATAGAAAAATTGATCAAGAAATGTGGGAAAAGCAAAATTCCAATTGAAAGCCAGTGGTAGATGTGTTCTTGTGTGTGTGTGTGTGTGAGTGTGCTTGTAATGATGAATTGTTGTGGGCGTTTTTATTTTGGATTTGTATTTTGTTGGTGTGCACATTTGTTTCATTAATCGTGTTTGATTTGAATAAAAATTGATGATGATGTTTTGAATAATTATGATAGATTTGTGTTCGGAGAGAGGTGGGATTGGTTGGGCGTTTCAATGAGAATTATTCGGTACAAAACACCGATGTATGTAGGGCATAGATGAATTGTGTGGGCACTTGGACCACTTGTTTAGTGTAACAACGTTTCAATGAATAATCTTGTTTGACAAATCCCAATTCTTTTAGTATGCGACATGCATGATGATTATTGCTAGGCGCTTTCAACACAACACTTGGTGTGATTGTATTGTTGCTGAAAAGATTTGTCGATGATTGACTGATTAAGATTAGATCGCTAATCAAATCGATCATCAACATACGTGCAACATATTCATTGTCAGCATACAATGGACACATTATCCACATGTTCTGCAGTGATGGCTTCACACAACCATAACCAACAACGGCGTGACCAAGCATAGCGATACGACTGATACAGTTCTTTTCCATCAATGTTAATGCTACGATTCGTGATCGATCATATTGATGTAAACGTTGATCATATTCAACCACTTTTCAATCAAGTTGTTCATCTTGGGCGTTCAATATGACTGTACGCATTTTGCCACCATGACAACGAATACATTTGCAGAAACGAATTTTGAATAAAAATTCCAGCGATTCTAACTGTATAGAATCGGCAAAGCCAAAATTATTTGATTTTTTCAATTTCGCCGGTGTAGTTGCTGTCGATGGATCAATCACATTTTCTTTGGCCACCGAATCATTACCGTTGCCGTCATTGCCATTATCAGTTTCACCATCGCCAAAGAATAGCGATGAGAATCCATACGATTCATCATCACTGAATTCAACATTCGATTTACTATTCATGCTGACCATCATACGTTTTTGGCGTAAATACTTTCGTTCTTTACTTTTGTATTGATGTCCTAGACAGCAGAATACACATTCTTTGGTTGTCAACGATGATATGATTTCAGCATATTCATGTCGTCGACGTTTATCTTCATCATCGAATTGATATTTAGTAGTCGTTGTAGTAGTAGTCGACGTTGTTGTTGTTGTTGTTGTTGTTGTCGAACCATCACCGTTACCGTCATCATGAACAGTGACCGTCGTCATCAGATTATTACCGGCTTTTTGTCGTTTTTCATATTTTCTTCTTTTAATTTGTTGATGTTTATTACAATGGATCAAAATCATTCGTTCCATATAATCCAAACGATAAAGGTCAACAGTCCAATCTGCAACCTGCGAAAAGCCAGCCTTATCCCGGTACAGTGTGAACAGGTGAGAAACAGCACTTAGACCTTGATTTCTTGTTCCTAGGTGATTGATTGCAGCTGACCATACTTGTTTGCCGATACCTAGGCCACGATATTCTTTGCTCACCACATACATTCCTACATAGCCATGAGTTTTCGATAAACACATTCCACAGCAGCTGCCAATTATTCGATGATCTAGACACCATTGAGCAGAACAAAAAAAAATGGGAAGAATAACAAAATGATAATGTTTTCGGTTATTATAATCAATATAGAGATTTCAAAAACTTGTCATATCATAGAATACTAAAATATTAACAATTTTTTTCTCGCTTGCATGACAACCGTAAAACCAAAGTGATTATCGTTACTAATAATACGGCTAATTTACCTAGTGGGTTTGCGATAATGATCAACATTTCAAATTCAAATTCTATCTGACAGAATCGGGGAGGGTCTATGGTTTTTGTTTTGACATTGAAATAAATACAAAAAACTCGAATCTTTCATTGCACAAATGTCCTTGAATTTAGGTCACGTATTCAATTCCTGAACCTACAGAGTATAATGTTTACAGAGATATGTGATCCCAATCATAAATGATCTTAATGTCCGGGATGATGATGATAAGAGACAGAGAAAACAAATTGTTTTCCATGCATAACATACCTTTTTCGTTGACAGCCACAAAAAACCCATTTGGATCGATTTGCATCCAGGATTCTACTTCGGCCACTGTACCCATATGACGTCCTTCGGCTTTGCATAGTTGCAATAGCTGTTCAATTTCGTGTCGTTTAAGATGACGAATTTTATATTGTATCGCTTGAATGGGCATAGCACAAACGCTATGCGCTATGTATTTTATCCGATAAACAAGTAATGATTAGGACAAAAATAAAAATAAAATGCTTTCACGACTGGAAGATTAATACTGATGATGATGATGTGATATAGCAATGATGAGCAATCAACAAATTATTCCATCAACAAAAATATGGAATCGAAAACGATTTTTATGCAATGTTCAAGTGGAAATAGATTTAGATTTTAGAGTTGAAAGTTCTAAGTTAGTGGAAAATAGTGGTCGATTGATGAAAAATAATACAAAAACACATGATTCAAGAATCGATCAAAAATGCACAACATACAGTTTCGGAGAATTCTCGTTAAAAACTTACCTGTTTGTCATGTAAGCCAAAGTTGACCCAAAATTGGATGTCTTTTTCTTGTTGTTGCTGCTATTGCTGAGAAAATTTTGATCAAATTGATGAAACACATAAACAAACAAACAAAATGGGAAATATATTTTTCTCACTCAAATATGGCTGCTATTGTCGTAGTCGAAATCCCGTTCAACCGATTCCCGTTCAAACTTTGGAGCGATACGACCGAAATGGCTGCTGCTTCTTCTACGAATGATGATGGTGGATATCATCGAATGAAATTGAATGAATGAATGAATGAATGAATGCCACAACAAACAAACACACAAACACACACACAGCAAAGAAACTTTCTACCACCTCTTTGGAATTTGAATCGAATCCAAACTGTCCGACTCGTGTCCGATGCGGAGGAAGAAGAATAGACGATAATGGATGAATGGATAAATGTTGATCATCATCATATATCAATGTGGTCGGTCGGCTGGTTAGTGTTGGTTCGGTATATAAACGTTCAACTTGAAGAAATTCATCTATTCATTCATTGAAGATGATGGTGATGATGAAAGCATCGAAGTGGTTGGTCTGATATTGTGGTCCATTCATTATGGTGGTCATCTCATCTCGTATAATGTACTTCTGCCGTTTGAAAAATAGCCGTGATTCAATACTACTACCATTCACTGATACGATTTTTTTCTTGTCACTATTTTCTACATTTGCTCTACTTCATATACACTACCCTCATTGAAAAAAGAAGAAGAATCGGGAATGCGTGTTGATGGATCTTATCCGCAAATCAAGTACCCAATAAAAGAGCATGACCATATCATGGAGCCTTTTTTGTTTGTTTGTTTGTTTGTTGCTGCAAAGAGTATGGCATACCGGACACGCGCACCGGTTAAACAATTGGTTACCAATATTTAATGGCGATATTTATGGATAGACAAACGATTCGATTATATTACTGCTGCTACCACCATCACCAGAGATGACCAAACAATCATCATTATAACAAGTTCGGGCGCCGACTCTAAGAAATTTTTTATTGATTTGATGATAAAATAGAAACATATTGTCATTATGGATGTGTATGAGTTCTCAGATAGAACAAAGGCCGGTTATGGATGGATCATGCAGTCTTGTGACTTGCCACCACCATCACCGTGAACACGAACGAATGAGAAAATCGAGTTTTTTTTAAATTCATAATTCATTCAATGCAAAATCAGTGATCACATATAGACCGGAGGGTAATCAATCAATTCAATTCATCGATGGGTTGGGCTCACAGAGAGATTCTCCCTTTTTGAATAATACATTATGACAAAACGCGAGTTCGAAGTTTAAGGCAATTCGCTGGAATTAGTGATGAAAATCAAACATGTACAGGTACAGTGATCGGATACGATACAATGCGACGCCTTCACAAAAATTTCAAATCAAATGATAAGAAATTCTGCATACGTGACGGGAAAACGTCGGTTCCTGGTGCCCCTCATTATTTTGTTGTTCTCATCCCACCCTGGCAATGGAATCATCATTTGAGATATATTTAGCCAATTCCAAATTATTATGTGAGTGGGCGTTTGGGCATTTTGTGATCACCATAAATTAGTAGCATTAGTAGTCACTTTTCCAATATCGACTGGGTTTTTAGAATTTACTTTTCCAAAGAAATTTTTATAAATGAAAAAAATTGTCCAATTTTTATTGTGATGCTGATGATAATGATGATGATGATAATTGATGAAATGCACCAATCGATAGCAACAGATTACGACGTGTGAAATGATTCAATAGTATATAGGTGGATTTTGTTGGATATTTCGCCAATAAATAGGTTTCACTTTTTGATCTATCAAACAATCAAACAAAATTATTGGCAATTGAGTAAAAATATAAATCAAACATACTTAATCGTAGGCATGGATGTTGGAGTCAATTCCTGGAAATCTAAATCATCCACTAATGCTTTCATGTTCCAGAGAATGACACGATTATCAAGACCACCAGATGCCAATATTATTGATTCGGGACCACGATTAAATGCCAGCGTATAAATGGAATTCGTATGGATACCGGAAAAATCGGCTACCAAATGACCAGAAGCCAGATCCCAGATCAAAATTCGTTTATCTGCGCCGGCCGATGCTAAAAATCGACCGGAATTTTCGAATGCCAAAACATGGACATTATCTTTATGACCGGTCATCAATCGAACACATTGACCATTCAGACAATCCCACAGACGAATTGAACGATCAGATGATGAGGTAGCCACATAATTGGAATTTGGATGAAATTGTACACACTATGGCATAAAGAAATGCAAAAAATTCACATATCACAATTAGGAAAACAACAAAACAAATCCAACTTACATCAACATCGGCAAAATGACCAGTAAAATAACGCAAAGGATTGTGATTATCGGTAGCCCAAAGTCTAGCTGTGCGATCATGTGAACAGGATGCAAAATAATAACCGTGTGGGCTGAATTTGACATTCCAAACGGGAAAACAATGACCCTTAAAGACGACAACATTGGTCCATGTTAAAAGGCTCCAAAGACGAATGGTTGTATCCTCTGAACACGATAATAACATATCACGACATGGACTGAAACTGAGACCATAAACAGGGCCACTATGGCCAAATAATATCTTTAAATCACCGCCCATGTCCATCATTATACGCAATATAACATCGTCAGATTCTTTATCCAAATGTTCTAATTCGTTGGCCGGTTTGAGGCCACGAAGTTTGCCCGGTGTTAATGGCCATATCCGTATGAATGAATCTGAAAATCCAACAGCCAACAGCGTAGAATCATCTGATATTTCAGCGCAAATGGCACTCGTTTCATTCGTCGTTTGTTGAGCATTCAACAATGTATACAAACATATGGATGGAAGAAGATCATTTTCTAATTTCAATGCCTTAGTAGCTTCTTTTTTCGCTCTTCGTTTCTCCAGCTGTTCAGTATCACGTAATTCGGGTATCGGTATCCTTGTCAACGGCGGTGCGTTCGGATCGTTTCGAGCTTTTTTCGAATGACTGGAATCTTTTTTCATTTTTTTCTTCTTCATCGAAAATGATGCATGACCAGTGGTGGTTGTCGATGATCCACCAGTTGCATCGTTCATCGAAACATCATTCGAATTGACATTATGTTGACTTGAACAATCGAGATCGATATCCAAATCAAACATATCGATTTTAAGATCCGGTTCTTTGAATAGGCCATAATAGACACGTTTTTTATTTATATCTCGACTCGCTTCACCAAACATTGCGCCCGATAATGCTTCGACATTCATCTTACTACGAGTCAATCCTTCATAAACATCGATGAACAAATGTTCCTGAATAATGTTTACCAAAATGGTCGCTTTACCACTGGATGTTTGTGATTTATCCTGGAGAAATCGTTTGAGATAATTATACGAATCTCTTGACAGCCGTATTGTATATAATTGTTGTGAATTTCGAAAACTTTCCAATACTTCGTTGTACATGGATAAATGATCACGTTTCGTAATCAATGATAATCGATTGATATCATCGGTGTAACAAAATTCCTGTTGTTTACCGAATAATCGCATGAATGAAATGGCCTGTTCTTCATGACCACTGCAAACCAATTCCAGATACATATGCACGAATACTGGATACAACAATTTCGATAATTCGTGTCGATATGAATCCAATGAACTATCGACGAAACGTTGTAACTGTTTATAGTTATCTTCATAAATGTTTGGATTTTCTTCCGTCTGATATACCAGTGATGAGAAATTCGTCTCCTTCAACGGGTCTACATTGGCCAAATTTTTAATATCATCATCATTGATAAAATTCGCCGTTTCTTTCAATAGAATTTTTTCCGTTGCATTAAAATTATATTTTTTCAACAAATGGATCATGGTTAAAATTTGTGATTTATCAACATTTGCCAATTGTGTTGCCGGTATGGCTGTTGCTACCGGCGATGATTGTCGTTGTTCTGGATGTTCGTTTGACATTACAATCGTCAACATTCGATGATCATTTTCATTATCACTGTTGGATGGTTTTTCATCACCACAATTGTGGCCATTGTTATTATGATTATTCGCAGAACGATATGATTGCTCTTGTTGTTGTTGATGATGGTGATGGGCAAATAATGAATTATTGTTATTTACATTGGTTAATAAATCCGTATTATTTGTTGTTGTCTGTTCATGGTTCAGTGAAATACCATCATCATGATCGGATGGTTGAAGATTTTCCAGTAAATCTTGTGCATCGCTGAATGAATCCATTTTAAACTATTTTTTTTTATATAAGCGAATTGTTTATTTTCAAATATTTTGCTCAGATCATGAATGCAAGCATATGGTGCTGGACATAACCACCAATCAATGATCCGAAAACAAAAAAAAAATTAATTTAGAACTCGGTACCCTCTACCGCTCATAAATGACGTAAAATTCATTTTAATTTTTTAATCAAATGAATACCAAGATTTTTTTTGTTGGTTTGTTTAGAATTTTTTAAAATTTTAAAATAATAAGAAAATAAGAAAATAATAACTAGATCATCTAATCAAACACACACAAACGAAACGCTATAATCTTTTAATTTTTGCTTAAGCGGCTAACAATGATTTTCCTGTCATATCAGCGGTAGGAATTGGCAAACCAAGTAGATCGAGTACGGTTGGTGCAACATCACATAATGCTGCATTATGACCCCCACCATTGAATTTCATGGTTGTATTTGACATAGAGAATGGCACCCTATTTGTCGTATGTGATGTTAATGGGCCACCATTATCATCGTACATTTTTTCAGCATTACCATGATCTGCTGTGATCAATAAAACATAGCCATTTTCTTCGCAACCTTTTTTCACAACACCGATTGCTTTATCCGTAGCCATACAAGCTTTTACAGCCGGTTCATATTTACCCGTATGGCCGACCATATCGGGTGGTGCAAAATTGCACATAACAAATGGATATTTTTTCAAAGCCATTGCTTTGACCATTTCATCCGCTACGCCAGCACAATTCATTTCTGGTTGTAAATCATATGTAGCTACTTTAGGAGATGGAACCATAACACGATCTTCACCGGGAAATTCTTTCTCTTGGCCACCATTGAAAAAGAATGTTACATGCGCATATTTTTCCGTTTCTGCCGTATGAAATTGTGGCCATTGTGCCGAGCTAACTACTTCTGCCAAAACATTTTTCGGTATTCCAGGTGGATAAAGTTGTTTGAATGGAAATTCTTTCTTATATTCAGTCATCGTTATGATTTCAATGTTTTTCGGCATATTTTCTTTTGGTGTATCGAAATTCTGTCGTATGCCTAATGTTTCGGTGATTTGACGAACACGATCGGCCCGATAATTGATAAATATTAACGTATCATTGTTTTGGATAAGACCTTCACGATCAACAATGATTGGTTTAAGAAATTCATCGGTTACATCTAAATGGGAGAGTTTAATTAATTTCTGAAAAATGGTGTCAAACACAAGATCCACTTACTGTTTTTATAATTATTTTCAATACATTCTATTACATTATCGACAGTGGCCGTTTCACCGACACCATCGATAAGACCATCGACAGCAACACGAATACGTTCCCATCGTTTATCGCGATCCATTGCATAATAACGTCCCATTATTGTTGATAATGATCCATATGATAATTGTTTCGTACGGTCTAATACGGAACGAACATAACCAACACCGGAGGTCGGACTAGTATCACGGCCATCAGAGAAAAAGTGAACAAATGTTTTCGGTACACCATTGCTTTTGGCCGCTTCAATCAATGCAAAAAGATGATCAATATGAGCATGAACACCACCATCGCTGACCAAACCGAGGAGTAAAAGTCGACCATTCTGTGATTTAGCTCGTTCACAAGCTCCAACAAAATTTGCATTCTGACCAATCATCTGCAAACACATAAAAAAATGATCATCAAAATTACATCAAATTACATTGAATGACATGACAAACATACTTTTTTCTCTACATCCAAATTAATACGAACAATGTCCTGATATATGACACGACCGGCGCCAATATTTAAATGGCCAACTTCTGAATTACCCATAAGACCAGCGGGTAAACCAACAGCTAAGCCGGATGCATCCAATGTAACATATTGATCAGTGTTTTTAGCCAATGAATCCATTACTGGTGTATCAGCATTGGCAATAGCATTACCATGTTGAATATCCGATATTCCCCAGCCATCGATAACGATAAGACATACATTGTTTTTCGGTTTTGTCGTCATCATATTATTATTATTGTTATGATTATGATTATGATTATTATTCAATATCGATGGATTAGATGGATTATTCTGACACACAGTATTCGATGTCAATGCTGATGTGATTGCTGTTTGTGATTGAGGTTGCTGATGAAGGACACATTGAAAACGTTGAGGCAAACGAATACGATATTGTTTGCGCATGGTTAAAACTATGTTTCTTTAGAAATGAAAATGAAAACCAACCAAAATACGATCAAAAAGCCAGGAGGATATAACGGAAAGAAAATGGAAAATTTTTAATTTATAAAATTTATTACAATTAAAAATTTTACCTAAACAATAATATATTCATTTCATGCAATTTTTCAGCTTTTACAATAAAGTTCCTATTAATTAAAGCCATAATTTGATATAATCCAAATTGAATTATTCAATGGTAATAATAGTTTTCAAACGTTTTGTTTGCGTTTGATTGTCATCATCATTTGTTTGTTGTTGTTGTTGTTGTTGTATAGCATTGAATTGATTGAATGAATCTTTCAATGTTGGCCAATGATCACTTACGACAATGTACGTTATAATACAATATCTTGACGCACTATAATTAATATCCAGGTAATTATTCACCAATAAATGTAGTATTAATCTTTCAGCATGTTCACGTTTATAACTAGTTCGTTTCAAATTGATGGGTCGTAATTTTTTCTCGCCATTGCCCATCCATAATTCCAATAGTTTTGCTGGGGTTAATCGTTTTTCCGCTTTTTCAAATGCATTCACAATAATCTGTTCCAATTCCATCATGGCTTTGTAAAGATCTTTTTGTTGTATATTATCAGTAGTAGTAGATTTGTTTTTACAATTATCACATCGATTTTGGCATTCATGACACCATTCATCATTGAAATGATGTGCCAATAATTTCTTTCGACATTCCTGACCATTCAGGCAATATGATAACATTTTTAGAACATTATCCATTCCATGATATTCATCGCTAACAATTGACAACGTATTGAATACATCGATATATCTCATGAATAATATACAATCAGCTGGCCGACCATCACGTCCTGCACGACCAGTTTCTTGATAATAATTTTCCAGTGATTTTGGTATTTGATAGTGGATTACAAATCGAACATTATTCTTATTGATGCCCATACCGAATGCAATCGTGGCGACAATCACCTGCAAATGGCCATTAAACCATTTTTCATAGGTTTGATTTTTCGTTTCGATTGGCAAATCTGCATAATATCTTGAAGCTTTAATTCCTTTCAAACAAAGTTGTTTGACAACAGTATCGACATCATGTGTTTTCAGACAATATATCAAACCACTTTGGCCAGAATATTTTGTATTCAATAAGTGAGCTAGCTTCTTAAATTCCGGATCATCGTGCCATTCTATTGAGTAATTAAGATTGGAACGATAAAATGAATCTTTGAATATACAACAACCAGGTATTTCTAGAATATTAATCACATCACTAATAGTTTTAGTAGTTGCCGTAGCTGTGAGTCCGAGAATCGGTGTTTTTGAAAATTGACGATGTACATTGTTCAAGAATTGATAATCGCGGCGAAAATTGTGACCCCAAGTTGAACAACAATGAACTTCATCGATAACTATGAGTTTAAGATTATCGTTTCGATAGCACTTATCCAATTGTTTCATAAGCATAGTATTATGTTTCAATTTTTCCGGTGTTACATACAATATTCGAAATGATATGGACGGTTGTTCCAAACTTTTTAAAATCTGATTCGATTCTTCTTTGTAATCCTTGTTCAATATCTTGGCCGGTATATTCAATGCTTTCAGTGAGCTTAATTGATCTTCTATCAACGATATCAATGGTGAAACGACAACGGTGAGGCCACCGGTAATCAAAGCGGCTATTTGAAAACAAAGCGATTTACCACCACCGGTTGGCATTATTAACAAGACATCCAAGCCGGATAATACTGCATTTATAGCGGCTAATTGGTGGGAACGAAATTCTTTCAAACCAAATACCGATTCTAATAACGATTGAGCCTTCTGAGACCATTCATATGTTTCGTTGGAAAATTTTTCACGAATGTCTCGATGATTCGTTTGACTTTGTATGGTTTCAATTTCCAATTTAATTTCGTCAATTTTTTCTGACAATTTTCGTCGCTGTTGTTGTAAGCGACCAATTTCTTCTACGATTAAGGATTTTTCATTTTTAACTCTACTCAGATCATTTTGTAAAGTTCGTAAACGTTCCATTCTGGTACACAAAAGAGTCAAACCTAAGACAGACCGACGATTCAAATAATCTCGACGATTCAGTCTGAGTTGAAAAAAGAAAACTATTTCGACACTATTCGGTCAAATTGGTTAAATTGGTTCCAAATTCAAATCAATGTTGAAGAAAAAAAAAATTTTAAATTTTTCAAAAAGCCTAAGATATTTTATTTTGCATTATCGATTTTTTTTTGTTTGATTGATATATTTCAAAAATGATGCAGGTATATAGAGAAAGAGAGAATGAGTGAGAAAAAGCACGAGAAATGATCCGTGTGTCCAAGTTTTTCATTCTGCGTTTTTATAAATATTTACAAAAGAAAAGAAAAAATTCATTCATCAATTATTAATTATTGTCGTGGTCGTTTCATCTTATCATATATTTCTGTCTGTGTTATTGTTATTTTTGTCGTTGCCGGTAACTAAATTATCCATATCAAAAGAGAAAACTTGTGGAATATTTTTTTCTCTTTTGATCGAATTGAAATTAATCAAACGTGTGTGGATATATAATATGTATAGAGAGAAAGCAAGGTGATGATGAAGATAATTTTAATCAATATTGGTTGTTGTTTGCAAATAAAAAGATAGTGTGTCGATAACATGGAACATATGATAATGATAATAATGGATAGGACAAAATAAAAACGAATATGGAAATAGGGAAACATGATACAGGGACGGGTAGAAAAGGGTTAAACATACAGGAAATAAGGTGTAAAATGTGCATGTGTGTGATGTGTATGTTCCATATAAATCGACTGGGAATTTTGGTTGATCGTCGTCATCATTGATGGTCGAACTCGGTCATTTTGTTATAGCTGATGATAGTTTTGAATTAATAATCACACAAACACAGACACGGAGAGAGATGTTTATGATTGAATTTATGGGTGATGGTTGCCGCTGAAAAAACATCGTGGACAAGAGATTATCATCAGGTGAAAGACGGATAAACAGAATTGAAAAATAATTGAAGCGGACTTGGTTGAAATATATTCGAATTTGGAACGAATTTTTGTTGTTGAACACAACACATGTTTATCCTAATAATATCGATCGATGTGAATCATTTTTTGTTTCGTTAGATGATTGATTTGAAGCTCGTGATTCGGGGTAAAATGTATGTATACTGTTTGTGAGTGAAAACGCAACAATATCGAATATAATCATTGTGTTTGTACTGGACTGTGTGTATCATCAATTGCCAATTGTTAATTGATAACGATGATGATCAAACTTGAATCATGTAAAAATGTGCTTGTGTTTACAGGAGCGGTATGGTTGGTGGAAAAAAAAACAAAAAAAAACAAAATTGACGAATGTTTTTTGTAATGATGATAATATATGTGAATATATTTTTAGTAATGGTAATGTTAAAAATTGAAATCCTAAAGTGTAAATGACCGTATGTATATTGTATTTTTTTGTAGCAGAAACAAAAGCAAAGTTGGAAATTTCATTTACAATCGATTTCGTAATGGAAAAAATACCTAAAATGAAAACATTAGAAATATTAATTGAAAAAAATTTCATCGAAAAAACTTACCTGTCGAACGATGTATGACATTCAGCCACTTACCCACCCACATTTAAAGACGAAAAAGCAAAAAACAATCCATTCAAGAATATTGGTTATTTTAATGTCTCAAAGAATGGAAAGCAAAAAAATTTTGTTTTGTAAAAGATGAATATGTCTGTATAATATATGCATGAGTGGGTGTGGGTATGTTTGTGATGATGATGTAATTCAAATTTCATTGCCTAGACTATTTTTTATTTTAAAATTTCAAGTTCAATTTGAAAGAGGATCGGTATAATAAAATGAGTGTTATGGGGTCGGTTTGAAGAAAGAAAGTGAAATTGCGATTCCATATTCATAAATGAGTGAATATGAATGATAGGCACGCAAATGTATCATGAACTTGAAACCGAGATGATCATGAAAAAGCAAACGACCAAAATCCTTATGGACGCACACAAACACACACACACACACACAGATATACATGATGAGAGATTATGGTGATTGAAGCTCACATTTGAAGATTGTAAAATAAAAATGTAGAGCTGTGACCACCAATTAAATTGCTTAATAATGATAATGATGATGAGGATGAGGATGACGACCGATCACTGTTAAGATATTTGGTAGAAATGATAAAGATCAAAAACATGACATTTTACGTTATCATGAAAATAATAACATGATGATGAAGGTAGGTATTCGTGTGTGTGTGTGTGTCGAGTTGATATCGCCGTATATATATTTTCATTAATTAGTTTGAGGATCGATGAAAGTGTTCAATATTGATTGGTGAATGTGGATTGATGAAATGAAATTTGAAAAATTATTGCTTCGTTTGTAGCGCTCCATTCGATTGGAAAGCGGCCGCCGCTGCTGCTGCCGTTGTACAATGATTGTTTTTGTTCGACATCTGATAGATGGTCAAGTTTCGAATCGATGAATGTGTCGGTGGCATTATATGGACATTGTGTGGTTTACGATATAATGAATGTTGTCCATTCGATGATCCGGCAACCGTGGAGTTTGTACAATGTAATGGATCACCACCAGGACCACCACCAGCCCCTCCTACAGCACCAGCAGATTGCATACCACTTGATGATGCTTGTGCTGCCAATGGTGTTTGACGTGCAGCGGCCATATTCATTGCCGCTGATGACTGTATGACGCTTTTCAACGTTAAATTCAATGGTACCGATGGATGCATATGTGAGGAACTAGGGCCACCAACTAGGCCACTATGATTACCGGGTCCAATACCTGCACCGGCTGGTACAGTACCAGACGGACCGCTTGTCGTTGCTTTGATTTGTAATGAATTTGAGTTCAATGGAGTAACATTAGGCGATAATGTCGTGTTAGAATTGTTGCCAATCACCTGGGTGGTCATATTACAACAATTACCACTTGACATGAGATGATTATTCGATGCTTGTGTTCGTTGTGGACCGGCTTGTCGATTATTTTGGTAATTGTTACCATTTCCCTGCAAATAGTAATAGTAATAGTAATAGTAATAGTAACCAGTATTATTATGGACAATCATTATCAATCAACGCCACTTACGTATTTGAGAACGTTCCAATCGAAAACATAATCATAGCTAAATCCTTGCCGATGAAATAATACGCGTAATAATGATCGAAGATAAACATAATCAGGGTCTTCATCGAAACGTAATTCACGGCAGTAAGTAAGATAGGCTATGAATTCGGCCGGATAACCACGACATAATTCTTCTAATGTGGTCGATATTTTCTTCTCTGAAATGCGTTCATATTTTTGACGTTTCGTATTGGCTTTTAGACCTTGCCAGGGAAGTGAACCACGATTGAAATACATGAGAACATAGCCTAGAGATTCTAGATCATCACGACGGCTTTGTTCTGTGTTGATAATTCATTAACAATAAAATGATGATTAAACATGAGATCACATTGCACTTACCGATTCCTAGATGAGTGTTGAGACTGGCATAACGTGCTGTACCAGTGAGATTTTTCCCAGTTCTATATCGAATATGTTGGCGAGATTTTGGATCACGATAACGTTTGGCAAGACCAAAGTCGATTATGTATACGAGATTGCCTCGATCACCAAGGCCCATCAAAAAATTATCCGGTTTGATATCTCGATGTATATAATCACGACTGTGTATGAATTCAATACGACTAATCTGTTTTGTTGTGTTTTGTTTATTCGTTTGATTGTAATTGTAATGATCATCATCATTGATAGATGCGAGGGGGATGAAACATTCAACCATAAAACAATTTGTTGAGAAAGGAAAAAGAAAAAACAAGGAAATAAACCATTAGAGTGATATCACATAATTATCATCCAACAATTTTTTAATCCAAACAATGACAACATGAAGAGAAAATACATACCAATTGATCGGCTAATAGTAATACAGTCTTCAATGTAAATTTGCGATTACAAAAATTGAATAAATCTTCTAGGCTTGGACCCAATAAATCCATCACAATGATGTTATAATCGCCTTCGGTACCGAACCATTTTAGCTGTGGAATTCCAACTACGACAACATTATTTATCGGTATGATTCAAAACTATAAACAAAAAAAACTTACTTCCACCAGCCATAACACGATAGAATTTACTTTCGATATGAAGTTGTGGATGTTTCGAAGTGACATCTTCTAATTTGATGGCTACATCTTCTTTGGTCGTTATATTTGTTCCTGTTTTATTTTCCAAATAATCATACCATTGGGTTATTTCATGTGAAACGAACCAATTCAACACTTACCAATATAGATGACACCGAATGAACCCGAACCAATTTTATGGCCGAGCCGATATTTCTTGGCCACATGTACTTCCATCTTTATTTAGTGAGAATGATCTAAGATATTTGATGATGAAAAACAAAAAATAAAAATAAAATTACAAAAACATTTAAATGGCACCAGACATACGGTTTTTAATTGGATTATTATGAGAATGAGATTCAAGAGAATGATGATGATGATGACTTCACAAGAGAGGGTTAGTTTATATATTCGATTAAATTTATATAGATCGTCTGATCAGATTGTTCAATTCAATCAATATGTTAATCGTTATAACCGATGATGATGACGACACACACTAGTTGTTGTTTTGACAATGACTATTTACTTGTTAATTGTGTGTTTGTTGTGATGGTGGTGGTTGTTGATTTTGGTTTATGGATGATGACGATGAAAACGACAAAAATTTGGTTTCAAAAGGTTGACTATGCGTGTGTGTGTTGATGATTCGATTGTGATGGCGTCAATAGTATAAGCCAAATTATGACAATGAAATAGCAATCAAATGACTGTTTTCGCGATTTTGACTTGACCTATGGTCTTATGCTGGTGGTAGTGCATTTCATCATCATCATATCTAAGAACAAAAGAATTCAAAATCAAAATCAATATCATTTTAATTAATTTGAGGTTTTTAAAAAAATTTGTTTCAAGAACAACAAACAAACAAGGGAACAAGACATACAACAAAAAACGCACTTGAACACACACACACAATTTGGATGGTGAACAGAAGGAATGAAAAAAAACTAACATTGATCATCAACTAAATTTGAAAAAAAAATTGCATCCATTTCACACAATTGGCTAAATATGGGTACAGCAATTTGATTCGATGGCAAATGTGTGTTTACTGTCTTTCTATTCTTTTCCTCACCATCACCATCACCATCACCATTACCACCATCAACACCATCATCATGGCCATTGCCTGCTGCTACTGCTGTTATGTGCTGGCTTTCTTGCTTCTGTTTGTTCCTGGAACACCTTCAACTTGCGGAAATCAATTCATTATTCCATCTTGAGAATGGAAATAAAAAACATTGACCTAGCAGCTGGTATGATGATCAGGTGTTCATCGATGAACATCATCATCACAACGAATCGATTCAATTCAATTCAATTCATTTATATGTTCAATAAAATGTTTCAATCAACTTACCATTATTATAAATTTATGAAAATATATTCATCTGGTTGAATTTCAATAATGTTTGTTTATATGACCAACAATCGACAAATGGACAAATAATCAAGACGATTGAGCCTCAAATAAAATTTATCCAAACAAAATCAATAATTTCATCATCATCATCATTATATGTTGAGGTTTACCGATCAATTACTTGTCCCGTAGGGACCCAATAACAAGAGCAAAATAGATATTATTCAGTAAACAATGAGAATGATAATAATGGTAGTTAATGAACAAGAAAGAATGGAACCAAAAAACGTAAAAAACAAGATAGATAGATTCGAAGGTAAAAGACCCAACTAAATAATGAAGAAAAAAGAACACACACTCAATATACAAGCACATAGGCCAGAGCCAAAAGAAAAAAAGCTATCGTTTCCACCATCCAAATTCATTTTAGAAACAGAAACAGAAAAATCATACAATCATCATCATCATCATCAATCCAACTCACACGCTCGCTAGCTCACTCGCTCATTCACTCATTCTCACACAAAAAAGAAAAAGCCAACAAAAGCAGTGTGTGTGTGTGTGTGTGTGTGTATTTCGTTGTCGTCGACGACGATTTTATTCTCCACATACACAACAATAGAATTTCCACACAGAGAAGGATATACGTATGAAGCATTGAAATGAATGTAAAAATGAGCACTACGACGACGACGACAACAACACCAAACAGACAAAGGACCCAAGACGACGACGACGTTGATGATGTTGATGGCCAAAAAGAAATTTTTTTTTATTGTATCTTTGTGAAATCATTCATGTATCATATTGGTATGCTACTTCTATTGATGGGAATGGCACACACACATACAAAGTTAAGGGGAAAAATGATGATTTTAAACAATGATGATTGCTACATTAAATGCTGCTACCTTTTTTGTTTAGCTTTTGTGATTTTTTTTTTGGTCGATGTACAGGCATTTGCTTTAATTTGAATTGTAAAATGAATACCGCTACTATATTAAAGTTGTAGCAGCTGTATTCATTTTTTGTGACTCATAAATTACATCCGTTCATAAATGACGTGTATTTGTAATATATGTTGACTTTTTTGTGTGCAATTTTTTCGATCGATTGAAAAAGCGATACACACATGATAATGCTGGTTTAGGGTTAGCAATTTAACAATGTCAGCAACATAAAGCAATCGGCAATCATTAAAAAATTAATAAATGAGATATATAAGATATATCCATCATCATCATCATTACAATTTCATATTTGAAATTCATCGTTTGGTGCAATATATTCACAACTGCACACATTCTTACACATTTGTATTGTAACAAAATCAGGTTCTCAACCTAGACGCGCACACCACAATATCGGGGCTGGTGAATCCTGAAAGAAAGAAAGAAAAAGTTGACCCGATGTTATCATGACACACCTGGTGCACGAGTTTCATCTATGACCTTTTTTTGTTTGTCCAGGTCGATATGGAGAATTCATAAAATCATAGTAAAAGAAAAACTTTCACTCAATTCACACCACTACTTGACCTTTTACATTTGACCATACGCAAAAACCGGTCTCGATTTTGTATTTTGTTATTATCCAAACAATGATATTATCGATGTTTGAATTATTTCGGCGATTCTTAGAATAAAATATAATATCAATTATGCTAAACGCGAGCATAAATATTCGATTTGCAGGAATCACCATTTTTTTGAAATGATGGAATCCAATTCGAAAGATATCTAAAGACAAATAAACAATCGAAAACAGTATAGTCACTATCGATTCGACGTCCATCATTTTAATCACATGATGAGTTAGTAGTTAGTATATTTTCTTTGCTTCCAACCGTGAAAAATGGAGTAACTTTATCTCAACTATTTTATATGCTTCTCCTCGTCTCTAGATTTTTTCAAGTGAGAAAAAATTGCACACACACAGTTTACCAGTGCAGAATTTGATATTGTCGAATTGTGAATTTGTGGAAAAAAATTGGAATTTTTTTTCGAATTTGATTCTTTCCGATTCGAAAATTCGAACAAAATCATGAAATTAGATCCAAGTACAATTGCAGCCAATCTATCGGCTGCAGCGGCTGCTGAAGCTGAAGCTGCAGCTGCTGCATCACAAAATAATTCATCAAACATGCCAATGTTGTTAACATCATCATCTTCATCAACAGTATCGACATCATCATCAATGGCAATGGCATCGATAGCGGCTACTACTGGTGGTGGTGCCATATCCAATCAATCCAGTATAAATTCATCGTCATTATTGTCCAATTCAAATCCATCATCATCAATTACGAATTCATCACAACAATCGGCCACTATAGTGACAAATATGGCCCAACATCATCATCATAATCATAATAATCATCATCATCATCATCATTCAACACAACAGCCAACATCAACATCACAATTAAATCAAACAACAGGAACCAATTCAATGACCAATAATAGCTCAGGGTCATCATCGATGGCTAATAAAATAACACCAAAGGATTCACAAGTTGTCGCTGCCATTCTAAAAGAGATGGGCATTAATGAATTTGAACCACGTGTATTACCACAATTAGTCGAATTTGCTTATCGTTATGTTGCACGTGTTTTGGAAGATGCACAATTATTTTCATCATATGCACGTAAAAAAGTAATCGATACCGATGATGTAAGTCTCGCTATTCAGATGCAAATCGATCGATCATTTGTTGGTCCACCATCTCGTGATATTCTGCTGGAAATTTCACGTAACAAAAATACTCAACCATTACCACCGATTAAATCACATAATGGTATGCGTTTACCGGCTGATCGGTATAGTCTTGTGGCACCGAATTTTCGTCTAATTTCCAAACCGATCAATACAACCACAATAGTTAATAATAATCAAAATCAAAACAATAATAATAATGCTAAATCAATCAATAAAACGGTTGTTCGTACAGTATCATCATCATTATTATCCAATACTTCTACTGGTGCTGGTAGTTCATCGTCGTCATTTATGAATTCAAAAATTTCTCTTCACTCTCCAGTTATGGCTAGTCCAACGGCGGCTGGTGCCAATCAAAATATTCAACAGCAGCAGCATCAGACAAAGAATTCGATTATGGAATCTGTTTTTGGCAAACGAAAATTGGATGATATTTAATTGATAAATTTTACTCACATTTTTTGTATCTCGAATCATTGATTAATTTTTTTTTTTTTGTAAATAAAACAAACCTATTACAATTACAATATATATGACTGATGACTGATTAGGATATTTACATTTTACATATTACGAATAGGATTTGGATGTTGTTTGTGGGTGACATTACGTAAATCGATTCGATTTAGATTGAATAACAATCGTTGTTCAATAGTACGTATGGCATCGATTGTCAATACAAGTGTTTCATGTTTAAGCATTGAATATACATTAAGACCATACACTGGCATGACATTCATATGATTAATTGATTCACAAGCTTGTTGAAAATGTTGTGCACTGGTTGCCATTGGATATTGACTGACATCAATTTGATCCACGAACAAAACGGAAGGACCCCAGCCACGCGTTTCACACAATTCTTCCAAATGTTCAACAGTTCCATCCAATGGAAATGTTTCAAATGTATCGACTATATGTAGATCATTTTGTGCCAATTTTGAGGTCAATGTTGAAATTAGACCGGCTAAACGTTTATGAAATGGTAACATATAAAAATAGGTTTTCGGCCCACGAGGACCAGTTGCCCAACCACCACCAATCCACATTGGTGCGCGACGACTACCGTGACGAGCACGTCCAGTACCTTTTTGTGGCCACGGTTTACGATTTGATCCTCTCAATTCGGATCGTGTTTTCATACATGTCCAATCAACGTGTTTATACAATGTTTGCCATTTATGATTCTCTTGAATGACATCAGGTCGTGGATGTATGGAAAAAATATTTGGATGTAATTCCATTAAGCCTAATTTGATTGAATTTGGCGTTGACATATTTTCAATCCATGCCTGCCGAATTGGTGTGACCGCTATATTCGTATCGGTCAAAGTGGTTCGAGCAATATTCACTAATATCGGATCAATCACTTGCGATTGTGAAATTATCTGCGTTTGTGTTGGTTCCATTGCCGATTCGACATCATTCAAGTTACCACCGGTAGCAGTTGACATAATACGAAATGCATGATGATTGCAAGTTGATCGTCGTAAATAATTACCAATGAATCGACGTAATGGAATAGATTGCATAATTAAATTGAGTGATAATCTCGATATATAATATTTTTATTCAAATGAAAAAAATCACCAAACACATGTGTTCGAAAATATAGAAAAAAATTCAATTCAATTAACATGTAGTTTTTCCGGCAATTTTTTTGATTATTTAAAAAAATTTTATTCCGAAAACATTTCTTTCAATTCTTTTTTACGCGGTTTCAAAACTTTTTCGACAAAATAATTAACATTATCCCGCAGTTCCTGTATGAATACATCGCACATTTCTGGATCATTTTTCATCATATAATCATATTGTTCATAATTTCGTAACAAGTCCTCATAACGATTGATTAGATTATCATCCTGTACGCCTTTTTCTCGATTTTCTTCGATTAGCTTTTGTGCCTCGGATTTAGCAAGCAAATATTCCATTTCAATCGATTGTAATTGTGCGTATCGTTTTTCCGTCAAATTTTTATCACCATCAACCTTACAATCATCGAGAATTGTTCCTTTATTTGTGGACAAATCAATAATCAAACCAAAAAAAACTTCAAACACTTACCATCAATGGTCAGAAGATGAACAGCCACAACAATTATCATTGGGATGACTGTCGATAAAATGAATTTTCGTGGTTGGATCAACATTTTTAATCAAACAAAAAAAACTTACGACTCAATGATCAAACAATTGATTGGTTGGTCGCAATCCAAATGAGAAAATCAAATCAATAACAATTACCTCATTCATCATCATTAGCAACGACGATTTAATCACAATTCAAATTATCAGTGAAAAAAATAATTACGATAATGACATTCAATTTTAATTACACGAGAGATAAAGTTACTTGAAATGAAGATTGATCAAAACAAAAAAAAAATAATAATAAAGATGATAATTACACGCATACACAAACAGGAACAATATCCGTTTTCCAAAAAAAAGCAAACATCAAAACACACACTAAACAATCAAAATCAACAAAATAATTTGTAATTTGTAATTATTTTTTTGTGATTAATAATAAAAATTTGAAAAAATAACACCAAAAAGATCAAGGCACACTGTTTTCCACTCACAATTCATCTTTACGCCGTTTAATCAGTTTTGGAAGACGTGATGATTTCGTTGTATTCGAACGTTTCATAGTCAATGTTCGATGTGATGTTTCCTTATGATGATGACTTGATGTTGTTGTGTTTGACCGATGTTTAGTAGTAGATACTGTTGCCATTAATAACGATTGTAGTTGCCTATTTAAATGTTCAAAATCGAAATTATATCGTTGAATGTGATCGATTTTCATTAGAATAAATTGATTCAAAAGAATTTGTTTCCATTGTATACGACGGTGACGGTGAATACGACGTAGAATACATTGTAATTCAAATCGTTTCCAAACATTTCGTTTTTCTTGCAAACGTTTTCTTTCTCGTAAATCTTTTGCCGTTTTTAATCTTGCATCAATTTTACGCAATTCATCATGAATAAAACTTAATTCATTCAATGTTGATGATATCCATCTCTCAGTTTTTTGTCGTTGCCAATAATTTGTCTGATAACTTCGTTTTAAACAGGATTTTTGACATAAAGCTATCGACATACGAAGTCTGACTGATTGTTGAGCATTATCGAGAATAAATTTAAACAGTCCAGAACGATCAACAGCTTTCGATGGCGGATATGTTACAGAGTTTGAACGTCTATTTCAGAAAAAGAAAAACAATGAAAAACAGCAAAAACAGCAATTATTATTAAATTCATCTTTATATGGAAAAACTACCAACTTTCGAGCTGGAAAAAATATTATCGTCGGATATCGATCCACCGTATATTCCCACGGCAGGTCATTAGAATCGCCATTAATTCTATGTGTATAAAAATTGTAACAATTAAAAACTTTGAATAAAACAAAAATAGAGATTGCACCTTGAAAAAATGATATCATCGGAAAAATCGAAAATCCTTGCCACATCCAGATAGACATGTGCAATCGAACTACAGAATCCACACCAAGGTGCATAATACATGACAACAATGTCTTTGTCAAGAAATTTTCGATCATTCCGCTGATGTTGTTGTGTGGCAGCATGTTGTGAAAATTTTTGATTCTCCAAAGGTTTGCCCACAATCAGATTCAAAAATGTCATTGTATTCAATTCAGGTACGCATACAATATTCGATCCATTACGTTCGATAATCATTTGCTGTTGTTCATAATCATTACAAAAACCGGATGAACGTGGCCGATGATTACGATAAAAACGTGGTAATTTTCCATCGGTAAAATTACGTATAAATTCAATAAATGCAATTTTTGAATATGAATTTCTTGGTACAGTGACAGCTGATTTTGAATCAACATTACGTATTTCGATTTCATCGAATAAAATTTCATGATCAAGAAGATGAACAGATTCTCGTTCAGGATCAATAATCAATGCTATAGTTGAATGAGGAACATTGAATACATCCACACCAAGTGATTCGGCAAATGCACCGTAAATTAATGAATCGAATGCCATAAATTTCAATGTTCGATTTGTATGACATGCAAGTCCAGTAAAATTTGCCATTCTTTGCCGTTGATTTATCGTCGATTTCTGTTGTTGCTGATCGAATGTTTCTGGAAAATTTAGATCCGTATAATTCATACCAAGTTTTAATTTACGACAATGTTGTATTTCAAATTCTTTGATCATACGATTAATTTTCTCATCCGCCGCCCATTGTTTTCCAAGTTGATGATTATTATCACTATCGGAATGTTGTAATGATTCCTGAAGATTTCCACTACAAGTTGTCACAATTTTATAATATGGTGTATATTTTGGCTGATAAACATCTTTGATTTGATTACAATAAACCGCTGAATTATTCACATAATTTGGATCAAATTCATCTAGATAACGAGAAGCGGTTGAAAAACAATCAAAATTCTGGCAACGAGCCGGACATTTTGGCAGATAAATATGAACGCATGAAGTACAAAGACATTTTTTACGCATTCCATGTCGAGCACCACCAAATGATCGCCATTTGACCGTCTGTGTATGGCAACATGTATCTACACTATCCTGAAATTTATTCCTGCTTGTTTTCATTGATGAATCGGTGCCGGATGATTGGTCATCATTATCATCTCTTGAATCAAGTAATTCATGGCAACGTTCTTCTAGTTCGGCCAAACGTTCCTCTAACAATCGTCTTCGTAGAATATTTCGGTGGATCAATGAACGTATCACGGGAGAATTATCACAATTGTTATAATCAAGAACAATTTCTCTGAGCTATTAGAAAAATATAATGAAAATGAAACTAAAATTAAAATCAAGATCAATGGATGGATAAAACCATACCAGATCATAATAGGGTGATATACCCAATAGGAAACTTCGTGGTGTAAACAATACAAATGTAGGAGTTTTACGTATGAAATCAGATAATAGAGTGCTTTTAACACCGGATGGATTCATCCAACGAATAGTACGAGCCAATTCTGCACGGCTTTGTATCCAACTGAGCAATGTAAATGGTTTGGAAAATTTGGCAGTAAAATGTTCAGTACTATTGCCAACAAATATAATCAATGAGGATTGTTCACGTTGAGGATCGATTTTTAGTTTCATAGCAACACGAGAATTTGTTACCACAGTGAAAACGACTGAACGCCATGGATCATTCGATAGTGCTTTGATCGATGTTGTTAAATAGGCACGATAACCACTTGGAATTTGGCCACCACCACCTGGTGATTGATTAAAATCAAAATAACCCAATACAACAGCCTATGTTTGATGGTGAACAAAAACGATTGATTTTTCACAGTCGTCATTATCATTATCATTATTAAATTATAAATTATACCACTTACATCGTGTTGCGCACGAAGATCCAATAGTTCACCTTCATTTTGTACCGGTATCAATGGATTCATTACATTATCCAAAAATGGTATTATATAACTTGCCAATATCGGACCTTTATATTCAATTTCGCCTTCACTACGAATATGTGCTACAAAATGTGGATAACGACGAAGATTGTGATATTTTCGACATTCACCATCGGGCCACCAGCAATTAATGGCGGCGAAAAATATCTGTTGACCATAATGGTTAGCAACTATTTCTATTTCACTACGTGCTCGAATTGAATCTGAATCCCATGGTGCATAGAACATGATGAATGCTATTTCCGTCTGTAAGATACGGGCCCATAGTTCTTTAATCTGACCAAATTCAAATTCAGTTATGAACGGATTATTTATCGAAAAAATTTTCTTTGGTGTCGGCGTTTTACGTGTATTAAGTGATCTGAAAAATTAAAATCATCAAAACAAAAAATTCTTTTGAAATCCAAAATTCAACTCACCCATTGTGTAACAATACCAATGCAAGAATCGATAGCAACAGAATTAAAGGAAAAAGAATTTTTTTACTAAATACATTTTTCACTAATGAAACAATCATTGAAGATGATGATGATGATGACGAGATTGGCAACTTTGTAGATACCATTTTGTTCATTCCATTCGTTGGCGACTGTTTCTTCCGAATTCGAATATTTACTTGTAAATCAATTTTATTCTCTTGTACAATGCTGTTGGCCAGTCCAGATTCCTGTTGTTGTTCTACGTTTTCATTCGAATTTTCTTTTTCGTTATTATTGTTATTATTGTCCATGGACATTTGATCATCGCTTTCAGATTCATCAATGTCATTGTCGGTGGTCATAACCGTCATTGATGATGATGACGATGATGATGATTCAAATTCATGCTTATCATCATGGATCGAATTATTATTGTTGGCAGCAATGGTGGTAAATGATGATGAATGTGGGATCACAGATGAATTACCGATATTATTACAAATGCTAACCAATCCTTGTAATTCACTTTCGTCGCTAATTCTTGTCGATGTTGTGGTAGTTTTAAGATCAGAATTCTGTTGTTGTTGTTGATGATGATGATGATGATGACGATGCAATGAAAATGAACATGAAAAAAATGCCGGTTCTCCATTGCCATCTAGTGTTTCGATGGAGAATATTTCATACTCATCATCATCTTCAATGGCCGAATTTGAATAATCCTCATTTGTCGCCGTTTGATCCATTCATTTTTTGGTTGTATTCTTGATGTGAAAAAATCACGCAAAAATAATTTTGTCTCTTCATCACAAAAAAAAACAAACGCTTCGCTTGAACTAATGCCGAATTTCGGTTCTGGCAACCGAAGAAATGGCAAAAAACATTGGTCGTCTGAATGAAAGAATGTCTAGATTGTATTCTAAAAATAGAACAGAATAAAGCATTGTGCTCTATATTTACTGATCATAATTCTTGTGAATTTTATTTATTGCCAATTTTTCTTTAAACATTGTATTGCAATGATCTAACCAAAATTTTCAAAATTTTTAATTAAATTTGATCCATCAATCATTGATGATTTTTTTTGCTGGAAACTAACATACACAATCACAATGGAAAAAATGTACAATTTGAATTCAAAAGTACAACTGAAGAGGATGATGAGTAGCAAGGGGGTAATTCCCTTTTCTATTTATTTATCTCATTACATTACATTAATCATTTGCAATTGTTTTGTACATGGCATTCGAATTGGCGAATTGGCAAATTTCAAGTGCCATTTGTACCTGATGTTCATCTTTTTATCATTTCTTGTTCGATGCACGTGTGTGGATTGATATTTATTTTGATTGCAATTTATCATGATAATGATCATCATTAACATCGATTCGAATGGTTAATGATGATCATTACAACAAAGATATTCATGGAAAATTTGACGATAATGTTCTAATGAAAATGGCCATCTATCAAAAACCCAACAACCAATCTAAATCAAAATCAAAACCAATCTACCAAAACAACATTATTCATGGATACATTGAATTAATTATTATCACGATATCCTTCCATCCATCCATCCATCCATCGATCATTTCGTGGCCATCGTTTTTTTTCTTTCATTGAAAAAAAACTCAACTCTTTTTTTTGTTGGAGGTATATCAATCAATCAATCTATTAATAAATTGGTTATCAATGATGATGATAATGAACAAGGAAAGTGAAAAATTTCGATAATCAAAAGTGTCTGCCTACTTGTGAACTTATATATTGGGAAAATGTTCGACGACCACGACCACCAGCAACAGCAGCCATAGAAAGAAAAAAACAATTTCCAACGACGTATGCGATCACATCGATGATAATGATAATGAAAAAAAATGGCACACAATCCTATCGAAAGGGAAAATTTCATTAAAAGGATGGCCAAAACAAAAAAATCCGGTTTTACATTCGAAACTTGTTAACGTCTGGCCATCATGATCGATGCTGATATTTTTGTCATTATAAATTTATATGTCGATTGCAATTTGTTGATCATTCTTCTACATTCATGATTTCGTTTGATTGATTTCATCATCTTCATCATTATTGAATCAAAAAAGTAGTGAGAAGTTTGTTCGAGAATTTTTTCTCTCATTTCTCAACAATCATGAAATTGACAAATTCCAGTGCGATTATTATCGCACTCATGATTTCCGTTTCTGAATGTTCAATTCTACGCGATATGTTTCTAAATCGACGTAGTCGTGATGCCGATAGTGATGACGATCATCATACAGGTGGTGGTGGTATGTTGACTTGACTTTAAAATTTTTTTAAAATTTCAAAATTTCTTTTTTCTACATTCGTGCCATAGTGATGGATGTGTTTGGTTCGTTTGTCGAGGATGTTGGTCTCAAAAGCGTATTCCGTGATATGCAAATGCGAATGTTGGGAGCATCCGAGGCATTATTGGAACAATCAACAAATATTTATGATAATTTTCAGGATACATTAGCCAAAACACGTAATGGCCACGATGAACGTGCATCGGAATTTCGTAAAGCACTACGTTATCTGCAGACCGAAGCACGAAGACGTCGTGAAGACCTAGAAGATGAAATTGAAGTGGAAAAAGAAAAAGCAGCCGAAGCTAAAACGGCTGATGAAAAGAAAGAATCGACCAATAAGTTGAATAAATTGAATGCAGCATTAAAACAGATGGATGAAGTTGCGAAAACCAGAATTAGTTCGCTCCGAGATAGAATCCAGAAAAGACGTTCGAATCGAAAATCGATTCTGAAAAGTTTGAAAAAACCAGCAGAAAATGAGAAAGAAGAGGAAGTCGCCGATGATGAAACTAGCAGAACTAAACGTGATGCTAATGGCAAAAAGAAGAAAAAGAATTCCAACACACAAACATCACCGACGACAGCAAAACCGGTGAGCAAGAAAAAGAAAAAACAGCCAAAAAATATAGATGCTCCTAATGTAGAAAGTGCTGGCGATGGATTCGGTGACCATTAGAAACAATCATCACAATCATGACTCCATTTAATCATTGGGTTTTCTTTTTCTGGGTTATAATCGAAATTTAAATTTTTCAACAAAACCAACACTTTGTGGCCAACATCTCCAATAAGTTTCCAAATTGCAACATCTTTTTTAATATATTTAGCTACAATGATCATAAAAATCGAATAAAAATTCAATACAATCAATTATTGTTTTCTTTTTTGCTTAACAAACACTTTCAGAATAATGTGGACAATAAATGATTGGTGCCAATATTTTTGGATCTGTAGCGGTGGTGGTGGTGGTGGTTAATGGTGTCTGTGGTGATTGTGTATGATGATGATGATGATGACTTTGATATACTGGACTTGAATCAACTGGGTTTATTCCGCCAGAATAATTTTGATTCAGTGTTGATGATGGCGATCTTCTTTGATGTTGATGTTGTGCATTTTGATTATGGCTAATTGCTGAATAATGATTTTGATTGTGATGATGTGGATGATGAGGATGGTGACCTACTGCTGTTTTGATCTGTTTCAACATGATCGTATATAAAATTGTCAACAATATAACAACCATTAACAATAAAAACAAATTTGTTTTTACAAAGTTGACCGAAATACAAAATATCAACACATTTGTGATCAATGTGAAAACCAATACGCATAAATGACGACGTATGATCGAAACGATTGCAATCAGTTGATTAAATATTGCTGTTATGTATAATATCAGTGCTGCAAATATAAATTCGCCGGATGGTCGATTGATGACAATATAGGCTACTTCCGTTATCGTTACATTATCACGGGCCATCGGATGACTTGTTGGTGGATTTATCAATGTTTTACTCAATTGTATGACCGAATTTAGATCGAATACAGTCAATAAGAACATAATTGGATTGATACCATGCAATACAACAGATGTTATAATCGAAATGACTAAAATCATAATAAACACTAGATAAACCACTAATAAAGTATGTTTTATCGATGATAATCGAAACAATCGATGTTCAAATGTATCGATCATTGTCTTTGTCTTTGTTGTGGTTGTTGTTTTAGCAATGAATGAAAAAGAGAAATCGATATGATATTTCTTGACCATCGATGGTCAAACGTTCGAATTCGAATGAATTCCAATTTTTTCCAACAACAACAACAGTGTTTAATGCTTGGGCGTGCCTGGATAACAAATCTTACAAACCGTGATTCTTTCACGAATAATAACGTTAATTATGATTAAAATGGCATGGAATAAACAAGAAGAAAAGAAAATGTTACTGAACCTCGACCTCGATATATGCAGCAAATATTTTCCATTGCATTCATTATCTCCAATATGTTTGTGTTTGTGTTGTTATTGTAAAAATTGCGTGATTAATCCTATTAGTTGTAAACAAAAACAAAAACATTATTCAATCGTTTTTAATTATTCATTGATTCATTGAATGGACTTTTTGGGTTATTTGGTTTGTTTATTTGTTTGTTTTCTGTTCATCTTTTTTGATTAAACTTTTTTCCTTTTTATATAAAATCATCCGAGACAGAAGAATCAACTATATAATAAACATATCATCACTAAAATGTCAACATCATTGATTTTTTGATAATCTAATCAGAAAACAAACACAAAATATTGATGTCTGATTGACAAGTTTGAAATCCAAAGTTAAATTTGATAGTGGTAAACATTACCACAGATCTAAAAACAGAAAAAACAGGTTGGTTGAAACTAAGATAATAAAACGTGTCAATTCTATATGATAATTTGTTTTGTTTTCTCCATCCATCCATTATATTTAAAATCAACTTGTTGTTGTTGTTGCTGTTGGATGTGTTTTGGTTTAAATGCAATCACAGTGTCATCCTGATTATCACTATCGCTCATACAAAATCATCATCATTGAGCGACAAAAATTTTTTATTTATCATTTCATTTTGATTGCCGTCAATCAAATCTATTTTTTCTGACAAAATGATATTAAATCAGAAAAAGAGAGAAAAATTTATCAAAAAATGGCTCTATGGATTTGATTCATCCGTGATCTTTTAATGATGATGATAATCACAATAATGTGTGTGTGTGTTAATTGGCTACCAGTGTTTGCACTGTCAATCAATCCGGAAGATTTGAATTTTTTTGTTTGATTTCATCACTCAAACAAATGATGATCATACCAAGATGTTGTCGACGAAAATATCGTCGTTGTTATAAATCCTGTATTGGTGATTATAATAACAACAATAATGACGATGGTGATGATAGTGATGATGACCATTCTGATTATTGTGATGAAATGAAAGAAAATCGTCGCATCGAAAAATGGTTGAAACAAGAAAAACATCGTCTCAAACGACAGATACGAATACTTTTATTAGGAACTGGTGAATCTGGCAAAAGTACCGTACTGAAACAGATGAAAATAATACACGGCCAAAATTTGGGTGAAGGACAACAACTGGAAGAGTTACGACATGTAATCTACTTCAATATACTTAAAGGTATCAAAGTATTGATTGATGCAAGAGCCAAATTATCGATACCATGGTCGGATAAAACGGCCGATATACAATCGAAAGCTGATCTAGTATTTCGTGCCGAAACAAATAATTTGATTACTTTTGAATATTTTTCCCGTTATACGGCATTAATCGATCTAATTTGGAATGACGATGGTATTCAGACAACATTTCAGAAACGGAATGAATATCAATTGGTAAGTGTCTACAGTTTATAGTGTATAAAATGAGTGAATTGATTAATTAATCCAAAACAAATCATAGAGCGATGGTCTACCATATCTATTTCGTAATCTAAAAAGGATCTCATCACATACTTATGTGCCGAATAATCAAGATTTGTTACATGCACGTGTGCCAACACGTACTGTACTTGAATATACAGTCGATTATAAAAGTGTCGCATTTCATTTTATCGATGTTGGTGGTCAACGTAAACAGCGAAAAAAATGGCTTCAATGTTTTGATAATATGCTCACATCGATACTATTCATTGTATCATCGATTGAATATGATCAATATCTTGTTGAAGATACTTCGGTAAATCGTTTGGATGAAACATTAGCTGTATTTGAATTGATCATAAATTCAGATTACTTTCATCATGCATCAATCATATTGTTTTTGAATAAAACTGATCTTCTAGCTGAAAAACTTAAACAAACAAAAAAAATAAAACGGTCCATAACAACAATGGACAATATTCTTTACAATTATCATCGGCCGCAATTATTGAATGAATTATATCCCCAATACAGTGGTGATCCATTCAACCTTCAACAGGTGCAACAATTTCTTCAAACACTTTTCGAACAACGACGATCATATCGACCATTATATACGCATTTCACAACGGCTGTCGACACGGAAAACATTAAACGTGTATTCAATGATGTGCGAGAAACCGTATTACACGAGAATATCAAATCGATCATTAATCTACAATAATAATTTTTATTTTATGTTGATCGATTTGAATTTTGATTTTCAAGTTTCACTACTTCTACAAATTATTTTTGGTTATAATAAAATAATTTTTGATTTTTGATTTTGATTTTCATGTACACATTCTTAATCCTCAACTTCGTTCCAATCAAGGAATGAAACTTTTTGTATGCCACTAGTTTGTTCAGCGAATTTTCTTTGATTTCGTTTTGATGATCGATTCATCGAATCATTACTACTCATATGGTGTAACAATCGAACATTTTTCCGTGATAATCGATGACGATTATCTAATCCACGTACATCCAATACGATTGGTTCATTTTGTTTCTTTGTTGTTTCTTTGTGTTTATGATCGTCATTTTGTTGTTACCGTTAGCCAAGAGATGTTGTTTAAGTTGTTGAAATTTGCCCGGTAATGATTCGATACGTTCTTCGATCAATTTCATTTGTCGTTCTTTTTCATCCATTTGTTCTTCAAATAAATCCGATGAAAATGAATAAAGACCAAGCATACTTTTGAATTTTTTCATCATAAAATCAATAATTTCGTATTCATTATCCTGTTTCATAACATCTCTTTTGACTGTTTCAAATGCGCTAATAATTAACGTGAGGAAAATGTTGACCAAAATGATACTCGTGCAAAGAACGAATATGAAAAATACTAATGGTCCCAATAATGGTGATGCAATTACCATGGATTCGAAATTGAATTTACCAGTCACCATACCGAATGTGGTTTCGGCTGCATTCTGCAAATAAAAAATGAAAAGTATTTTAGTGAAATAATCAATAGATCGAAAGGGAAACTTACAATAAATGATGAATATTCTTTCATGGTTACGCCGAACAGAACGTAAAACATTTGCACGAATGCAAAGAATACCGTACAGAATACAATGGAAAATGATTTCAAATCTTTTGAACATTGTGCCAATGTTGCATACAAGATTCCCATACGTTTGTTGAATCGCAACAATTTTATAAATTTCAGTATAGCAACAAAAACGATGAATGCCAAAATGTAACCAAATAGTTCATCAACCAAGCTAACATATTGCAGTTTAACATAGCCATTTCCATGACTTTGATGAAATATCGATAAAATTTGATTGGTCAATATGATACGATAAATGTATAGGCCGATGGCCACATATGACATGATTATGATGAATATCTCGGCCCAATTCCAATAGCTACGGAGATAAGCTGAACCTTGTTGACGCCAGAATTTCAATTCACGTACAGTGAAATAAATGATGAAAATCAAATAGATTATTTCACACAAAATGACAAACATTCCTGATCCTTGATGATGACGCATCAATCGAACCACATCGATACGATATGTTGGAATGATACCACCACCAGGTTGAAATTCTGAAACACAAGTTACGATACCAAACAAGTTAGCCTGTGCATTGTAGACAGAAAATTCAGCAATCAATGCTCTTGTACGTTCATCGATCCAATTCTGTGCTAGTAAGTGTCCAATTCGTGCTTTTAATTCATCACGTGATCCTTTCAATGGTATCACATAACCACTACCGCTATAGATATCTAGTTTACCAAGAAAAGAAAAACCATCCAATTCTCTTGATGTACGATAATTCCATTCATCTTTAAGACTTTTCGATGGATTAAGTAGACCTGATTTACTTCGTGGTATCGATTCATTAACATATGACCATTCGGATGGTTGTTGCCATCCTGGTAGATAGCTCATCTGATCTTCATGTATGACACTGGAATATGCACGACAACGATCAATTACATGACGGAGATAGATTTCTGGTTCGCATGTATTCGGTTTAATACGTATTTGTCGTAGAATGCCATAGCCCATCATGCGATTAACACGATCATTCATGAAACCACGTAAGCCAAGTGGTTTATAACCATTATACCATTGACCAATCAATAGATTGGTAATCAATGTATTGTCCACCCAATTCCACATATCATCAGCCGTACGAATATTCATAAAATTAATCTTATTGATCGAATCCTCGATAACTGTTTTAACTAATGTTTCTTTCATCAGATATGCTGATGGATCACGATTAGCATAGCCAATAACGGTCAATATCCACAAGAAACAAAGATAAGAGAATATATCTTTCAAGATCAATATGATTTTAATCTCTTTCAATCGTTGAGCTTTCATCCTTGATAACAATGTTGCATTCGGTGATCGATACATTTGTGATCGATGCGAATAATTATCGGATTGTCGCAACCATTGTCCATTATTATTGGTGGCTTCCAATAATGACAGATCGATATCATCTTCATCTTCTTCACTGTCATCAATGTCAACTTCTGGTGATTTGAACAGTGTTGCCAATATTAATGCCGTAAGAAATACTTTGATTGGTTGTGTAACCAGTATGGATGCAAAAAATGAAATTATCAATGATGTAATCCATTTTCTTGTTTTTTCATCACCAAATTGTATTCCATATGCCCATAGAAAAAATATTGATACACCAATTGATAGGAAACATAATGACCAACCCACATAACGAAAATAGAATGGCAATGTAAATCGTTTCGATTCTTTTCGAATGATTCTTCTTTGTTGTTGTTGTTGTTGTTGTTGCTGCTGCTGCTGATTCTGATTCAAATTGGTATAATCTTCACCTTTCGCTTTATTCATTGATGATTGATCCAATGACGATGTTTTTGTTTTCATCTGTTCAATATAAATTTTTTGTTTTTTCAATGCTTCCGTAATACGTGATGGACGCAATCGACGTAGACGAGCTTTGCGGAAACAAATGATGATCAAGAATGTCACAGGAAATACAATCAAATTAGACAAGAAACCAACACCAATTTGTTCGGGTGAAAGTGAAAATGGACCAACTTCAATGGATGATCCAGTTGGTTTCGACGGAACGCGTTGATACCACATTGCATTGACCAGCATGGATAGATAAAGTAAAGCCATACAACAAGAAACACGTTGTACCCGAGTGAAACGGCTACGTGGTGGACGCATAAAAATTGAAAACCATAAATGTCCATCAGCTAGATTTTTCTGTGTTGTCTGATGGAATAAATGTGTAAATTGTGTGGCTTCTTCTTGACTCGCAACCGGAAGCAATCGATCAATAGAACCGTCATCTTTCTCTACAGCTAGCCATTTATTGCAGATAAATTCATATTTTTCACCGGTTTGAATATCTTTAACGACAATAAAACTCAGGAACCAGGATTTGAATTTTCCTTCACCACTATTATCATGCCAAATACGAATATAATTCAATCGGCCCAAACGTTTCGTTGTGGCCATTACAAATGAATTTGTTTCACCTTTCTGGAATGCTTTACGAAATGGATCGACCAATGTACGTACACCGGTTTCTTCATCTTCACCAGACAGTATGAATTGAATCTTTGAATCGGTTGCTGCTTCATCTTTATCACCAGTGTAGACAATAACTTCATATAGATATTTTGCCATTGAATTATTATCTGGCAATGGTGTCGATCCAAGTTTCATTAGGTCTTCATCATCATTTTTCCTGGCCCATGTCAATAGGATAGCATAAATAGTCAATGTTATGGCAATTGTCATATAAATGGTAACATTATCGGAGAAACCAGCGTTTGCAAATACATAGGAGAAATCAATCGAATTTGGCATGACGAAAAATCCTGAACCAAATGATGTCAAATGATTACAACGGCAATGTGTCATTGCATAATTTGCCGATTCTACTGTACAACCTTCAGCTGTCCATATTTTACGATGATAATCGAAAAAATAACAACCAGATGTGAAGATTTTCATCGAATAATTCGTACTATATTCACGTAATGCACCAGGTAATGTATAATTGGTGATGCTATAATTTCGATCCGATTGTTGTTGTTGATCAATAACCAATACTTCATCCAGTATATATGATTCACTTGATTGGCCAACTTTGACGCGATCAATCTCGACGACACCAACGTAGAAGAATCCCGTACGATTGCGTATAACCTGATTGGATAGGAATACGTTGTATGAACCATCTTTTGATTTTTTAGCCATTTTTATCGGTATGATAAGATCCCAATAATCAAACAATGGTTTCTCCCGATATTTCACATAGAGCAATAGATCTGAATCAGGATTTGTTGGTCGAATTTCAATACTCATGGCTGAATCAGCTTTTTCCACCATTACCTGATGATATACCATTGATTCATAGAATTTCAATTTTGGTACCACATATGATAGATCAGTTTCTTCTGTATCCAGTTGCTGTGCTGATTTTCTTGGCACAATTATACTAAACGGTTCGGTTGTATTATGAACATTCAATATGTCCAATGTTTCATTTATTACCAATAATTGTAATGTTTTCGTATCTTCAGACAACAAATCAACACTATTACCATATGATTCAAGTATTGATGGCCATGATACAGCAAGAATACCCAGTGTTTCATTTCCAAAACAATTTTGTCCAGTTAATATATCACAAACATGTGGAAAAATATATGTTGAATCTTCATGTTTGATCACTTTATTCGATATCGATCCTTTCGGATACATAGCAATAGTGAGAACTAGTCCACTTGGTGCAACAAATTGAATCGGTTCTTCACCGACAACAATATTTTTCAATATTGACAACACCAAATTGATTGTCAGCTCAATCATCTGACGAATTTGTAATTCCGCAATTTGGCGTTCAGCACGAATTACAGCTTTTTTCAACGCATCTTCCACCGAGGTTTGTGCATCCATTATATAATCTGGTTCATCATCAACATCAGGTACTTCCACACTATAATCAAGATTCCATCCTTTTGATCTATCGGTAGGCAATACAACGCCGGAAACGATTTGTTCAGACATTCGATTCACAATACCGCCCATTGTACCGACAGCAAATCGACAGAAATCCAATAATTGTTGTGGTGATTCAACTTGAATATCTGAAGCAATCGATATGGTTTTATTCAACAGATGAATGATCATCTCTTTAGCATCATTATCGACACCTTTTCCTTTGCCGGCCAATGCAGTGAGAGCACTGCCAATTTGTTCCAAACTAAACAATGTATCTGCATTCATCATTGTACTGATTGATTTGACAATTTTCGCTTTTGTTTGTGCTTCACGTTCACTATCATTTTCATCAATATAATCATATGACGCTGTTGTTGTGGTTGTCGTTGTCGTTGTGGTTGTCGTCGTCGTTGTTGAGGTTGAATTTAATTTTTTTTGTTGTCCAAAATTAATATTTAATAAGGATGATAATGCTTGTGCCATCATATTCATTGATGCTTGATCACCTGATGCATCGGTTTTTTCCAATGTTTTGGAATTCATGAATTTATCATATTCTTCAATGGTCGGTAATGTTGTTGTTATGTTTGCCATTTCAACTTTGGTCAATGCACCTTCTTTATCACGAATATCAACACCGATAGTGAAATTACCATATGGTAATATTAATTGAACACGCCTATCTGGACCGTACATTAGATAACTGACGACACCATCATGTACATTACGAATCCAGAATCCATAATAGTCAATAGGTCGATCTTCTGGATCTATCCACATTGAACATCGTGCTATAATACGATCCAATAATGCACGTGTTTTTGTATATTTTAATTGACATTCACCACCTTCCGGTGGTTGATTGATATGCAGAAATATATCAGATTCACCTTTTAAGCGGCGTTCATTCATGATGCTTAAACGAACAAAGAAATCTTTGAATCGAGGATAATATTCTTGAAAAAAGGCTATGCCCAGTGCCATTTTTGGTTCATCAATACCGACAACATATTTATCGGCTTGTGAAAGATGTACTTCTGTACTATTATCAACACCATAAACATTCCAACGATATATTAGTTCACCATCACAAGTTTCAGTACAACGGCCTTCAAGACCTACACGAACTGGATTGATTTTCTGCCCAATAGGATAATGAGGATAACATAAAGCTTTTGTTTGACATTCAACTACAACTGATGGTGGTTTCGGTTTCAATATATTCAATTGTATTGCACCCCATGACGGATCACGATCTTCAGGTATGATTTGTATGACAATTTCATAGGTTTCTTCCGCCTTGCGAAACACTGTGGTATTCCATTCCACTTCGTCGTTTGTTAAATTGATACGACCAGGTCCTTGTCCAAAACATCCACCAGCATCATCATCACCCCATTCTTCATCCAAATTTGAACGATCGAAAATTGGTTCAGAAAAATTTTGTCTTTCATCTGGCAATAGATTATTAATACTTTCATCTGGTAGCCGGCGACAATACCATTTGATTTCAAAATTTTTATTATTCACATCATCTGGATCTATTGAACTTTTTCTTGGTGAAAATTTAATCATCTGACCCCAACCACGTACGATACGTGATTGTGCACCTTCCACTAATAATGCCATTATTGGTGATGGCACCACTTGAACATATGTTGAACTAACAGTTGTCATTGGTAATACTGGATGTGGATATGGACATGTCATATTGATGCCAAATTCAAATCGATAATAACCAGGTGGAATATGAAAAGCAGAAACATAAAGAAAACTTTTATCATAAGAATCTAAATCGGATAGATCGATCGATGAAATGGTTGATCCAGTTTTTGCATCCAAACGATAAGCGTTCCAAAAACGTTTCGATTCAAATGTGGCATTACAATCGATGAATGTTTTTGAATAAAGCTGAATCGGTTTTGAACGCCATACTTGTAGGGCAGATTTCCAATATGTAACCTGATTCTTAATCTTTATAATCGGTGGTTTACAATCAATTTCAATGACAACCACTTTGAATTTTTGCTGTTCACGTGAAATTGTGTTTGCCAATATTACCGACGCAAAATAATCTTTAGGTTTCGAATATTTGCGTTGTACATATAGCACATCTTCCAATGTATCATTGTGTATGACACTTGTGTGATTTGGAAACAATAGTTGACAATGATGATAATCGCCATATGTATAGAAATCTTCAGCTTTTGATCTTTCACCATAATCGATCAAAAGACAGGAATTTGTACCAATATTTTCAATGTTAATAATAAAATATTTTGTCTCGACATCGAGTGTATCATTACTGATATCGATAACATCCAAACCTTTCACCGGTGAAAATACATGGATCATTTGACTATATGGTGTGGATAGATTTTGTATGTGATTATAGCCATAAACCGTAAGATTATAAATTCCAGCTTCTTCAAATGTTATATTCATTGAATTATCCGGGGTTTTTGCATAGATGTCATCATTCATTTTGATCAGATAATGTTCAATATCACCAGTATCAATGGATATATTGAAATTCAATGTCGCATTCAATGATGTATATTTAATCATATCTTGATCCATAAAAATCTGATCGGATCGAATACTTTTTGTTGCCACTCGTAGCCCAACAATACGACGCATCACTTCGACTTGAAATCGTTTTTTCAATCGCGAAACCACGTTGGAAATATCTACATCAATATTGTAAAGGCCAGATTTGTCATACAAGTGTGTTATTTCATGTTCACCATCCCATTTTTCATTATCTTCAGGTATTCGCCATAAATGTCGATGACCATCGCCGAATATCATGAAAAATGTAGCATTAGTTGGCAGAATTTTCTCTTCTGGATAAATGAGAGTGAAATTTACCAGATCGGGTAGTAGTACCGGTGAATTAGTGGTCATTTTCCATAATTTTAATACCGGGTGTTCAACAATTATTTCATGTGTAGCCGAAGTATTGCCTTGTAGATTAGCTGCCATTATATTGATATGATAGATACCGGGTGAATGATAATAATGGGAACGTATGAATTTTCGATTTGTTTTGATTACTTGAAAAAAGGCAGGAAGAAAAATTTAAAATGAATTGAAAGACAAAGACATTGATAACAGGTACATACTTGCTATATGTTCAGTGGTTTGATTACCATCTCCAAAATCCCATTCAAGTTGAATATTCGATCCTTTACTTAATTGTACGACAATATCAACTTTTTTGCCCACTGCCGAATTCGGTGGTTTAACAGTCAAACGCATCTTTGAAATTGTACTCTGTACACTAACGAAATTCGTGCGTGTTATCATTTCGTTATTATCATTGTCGAATTCATTGCGTAATTCAAATTTGATTGGATATCGACCACTATGGCTATAGACATGTGGCATCGTAAATGTAAGTGGTTCACTAACGATTAATCGTAGATAATATTTACGATCCACTATTCGTTTGAATTTTGTTGAATCAAAAATCGTTGCCGTTTGATCATCGGTCATTGTGAATTTGAAATCCGGTTCATCCAAGCCAGGTATATATTCACGATATGCAAGTTGTGCATCACGCATACGGAATGCAATCAAATCATCGGATAATAGCCGAAATGATGTCAATGATTTCAGATGGAATGGTCCATCTGTGATGGCCAAATCGAATGTTTTAATCAATTGATATTGAGTGGATTTCTTATGAAATGGTTGACAATCGCCATTACATTTTTTTGATGCCGAACACAGAGCGCTAGGCTCGAAACATGAAATAACGGATCCAAGGCAATCTTGTTCATCATGACAAATTTTTCGTAATACCTAAAAAAATTGTTTAGAAAAACACTCACTTGATAACAAATATTAGAAACATACATGAACAACGAAATGACCAATTTTAGCTCCATAACCTTCGATTGCCAGAATGGTACCATGTAAACTCAGCGTATCTTCGGGTATGGGAAAAACAACCAAATCCGATTGTTGTAATGTTTCATCCCACATGATTTGACTGTTATTTTCTTTCGGTATATTCACACCGATATATTTCATTGGAACATCCGGTAAATTAATCATATCACTTTGTTCACCATCACCATAACCGATTTTCATTTGCATCTGTGTACCGCTTTTGATGAGAACTTTACAATCAACTTTATCATCTGGTTCAACAACTTTGGGGCATTCAATTTTCAGATGATCATTATTCACTTTACTTTCAATACGAATATGACGAATTTGTTTGATCATTACATCGGGTCGAGTGATTAATCTTGCTTCAACTGTAACCACATATGTTCCAGAAAGATAATAAGAATGCCGCAATGTATTGGCTGGCGTCCAATCAATTAAATCACTATTGTCACCAAAGTCAATTTTATATTCCAGTGGGCCAGTTGCATCGGATACAAGATCAAAATAGATATCATCTTCAACCAAAAAAATATCTTTACGTAATCGTATCTTCAGTGAATGAATCGCACCACGAGGTTCCCCACGATAATAACGTATATAATAATCATTTTGATCACAAAGATCACTTGTAACTTTGGGTATGACACGAATCGAATCAGCTTCCATATCCGAAGCACAAAGACAATAACGACGATCAATTAAACCGGCATGTGGTAATGAACTTTCACTACATATTCGTGCGCATTCCACGCCATCAATACCCGAAACAGGATTATAATGAGCATTTGGTGAATATCGGAAATGTTCATATGATTGAAAATCCAGACAATCACCGTCTGAGAAAGGCCACGACTGTTCGATACTGATATCGATTGTATCGAATGTAATCACAGCAGCCACTAATAATATTCGAATCGAATACATTTTTGTTACATTTGATGATTTGAATAAACACGAATAACATACACACCAAATAATGAGAAAAAAAGGACTAAATGAAAAAATGAAAAAAAATGTCGACCCTATTTATACCTGATGATGATGATGATCAATCTACATTTCGAACCTAGACCTTGAAACCATGGAGATATCCCCAAAATAATGATGAAAAAACAAAATGAAAAACAAACAAACGATGATTTTCGCATAATTAGGTGATAATTGTGAACATTTGCGTCAATCATAAATGTTTTAAAAAGCCAACTACATCAAAATCAAAATTGTCCATTGTTTTTTTGTGGTCGTTGTTATTGATATGATAATTTTCCCATTTAATTAGCCGAAAAACATAAAAGTCTTTCTGTGCGTGTGTGATTTGTGTAAAATATTCATCAAGTAATCAGTATAATCGGTCAATTAATGAATTATAAATGATATAATAATGTTGCAATGGTCATCATCATTTATATTTGGATCAATTTAGAGAAATTATTATTATTCTAAAAGAATCATATGACTTTATGTGTTTGTTTAGACTCTAGAGATAAAATGTCAAGCCTATGAAGATCATTTTGAATCGATTACCAATGATTTAGGAAAAAATCTTTTCGGTCACAAGATGGCGATATATGCAAGATTTATTTGTTTTGTTTTGTGCGTTTTGAACTTGAAAACATTGTATCTGGCGATACAAATGTATGCAGACATGAGAGAGAGAGAGAGGAATACGTGCTCATTTTCACGGTATGTTTGTATCATTAAAATGATACACAGTTGTATTGGATACATGCGTGTGCGTGTGTCTACATGTATCATATACGGCGTTTTCATTATTTTGTCGTAATTCCAACTAATCATTTCGTCGTTCAAGTCAGATTGTTGAGCAATTTTTGTTCCATACACAAGATTTCGATGACGACAACAACAATGTTGTTGATCATTGATCACTGATGTATTTCAAGATTTTTCCGTCATCATCATTTAGCCATGAGGATGCTATTCAATTGAATCATCATCATCATCATGTTATCAACTTGTTGTTCCTGAACATTAGTTTTTACAACTAATCTGTACAGCATATCCATTGATCCGATATCATTATCATAAATCAAAAACCAAAAACCAAAACAAAGAAGAAAAAACAAAACTTTTTGTTGTTGTTTGTTGTTATCATTTTATTATTTTTGGATTAATTTGAGCTTATTCTCTATATCTCTCTCTGTGTGTGTGTATTTGTTGTTGTGTTACCCCAAAACAAACACAAATCCCAGAACGAAATCGAACGTAAAGAAAAAATCAATGATGAAATTGTGGTGGTAGACGTTACAATAATTATAAATGCCAACAACTTTTTTTATTGCGTGCCTTTTTCTCTTGTAATAATTTCTTATGAAATAATCTTTACAAAACAACAACAAAGGCTCCAGAAAATTGTACGAATCAATTTTTCATTTTGGACCAACAAATGATTGAAAATTAATTGAAAAATTTTCGTAAACAACAAAAACAACAACCAAGTGTTAATGTTTTATTATTCGAATTGTGATTAAATTTTTTCTTTCCTTCTTAATTTGGAATGTAACCCGATACATTCTGGTTTCGTCGTCGTCGTCGTCATAGCAATCATTTCTTTGTTGTTTTCTTAATTTGTACATTTCATGAGTCCCTATTTTTGGCAATGATTTGATCTATTTTTCAATTTTTATCTTTATTTTTCAGTCATAAACAATTTTTGATTTGAAATTTTTACAAAAAGAAAAAGACAACAGCAGCAACAAAATGGCTATCGAAGACACATTTGGCTATCGTTTCGTGAGAATGTCACTAATGTTATTGAATTGTTTAGTATTGATACGATTAATATCATTACTATTGCAATATTCACACATATTCGATCCAACATTTGTTTTGTTCATATTATTGATTGGTTTGTATAAAAAAAAACTTTCGTTTATTCAGTTCATTAATAAATTTTTTTCATCAATAAATTTAGGCTCTAATTTTATGGCAGCAATCATTGGTTCATTTCGTGAACATCGAATTACCGTGCTGATAACCGGTAGCCTGACATTGATAATGTTTTTGTCACTATTATTTACGAATAAAGAGAATAAAAATCTCAATGTATCATTATTCACCCTTTTGGCTATCGCTGCTCAATCGTTAATATTTTCCGAAATGCTTAAAGAACGACAAATATTTGCTCAAAGACAAAATTTGGATCTATGGAGTGCAGCAACAACATCATCATCACGTCGACAACATACATCAACAACAACCAATGGTCCATTAACCGCTGTTGTTGTATATCAACCTCCGGGTAGTACAAATCGTAGCCAAACCGGTGGTATATTTATGGTCGATCCAATATTGGGTACAGAATTACCGAAAGATCCACCACCGTCATATTTTGCAGCTAGCTGTCCACCACCGAAATACGAAGATGCGATCAAATTGAATGCCTCAAACATTGTTCTACCACAACTAGTACAACAACAAGCAGCAGCACCAAACGCTGTTACTTCTCCGGAGGAAGTACTTCCCACCAATTCATCTACAACAGCAACAACAACAACAACGACCTCATCATCGTCATCATCATCATCACCATCCATTCCAGAGGATAATACTAATACTAACAATAATGAAACAAATGTGACAACCTCATCGAACAATACGACCAACAATAATAATCAAATACGAACAACGGAAACAATATCAGCAGCTGTAGCTGCAGCGGCTGCCATAGCTCAGCAACAACAAAAAGAAGATAATGATCCTAAACAAGAGCAGAAAGTGGATTGATTTATGCCCAATGTATCAAATGAACTCTTTTATCATCATCATCATCATCATTGAGTAGCATCTGCATTTATGGAAGGACAGAATCTCATCATTTGTTTGTTATACCTGATAATTTGTTTTTTGTTTTCTTCAATTCTCTCTTTCATTCATCTATCTTATTACTTAGTATTTTCAATTTGGTTCGTTATTTTTTGTATTTGTAAATATTTTTGTTTTGGTTATCAATTATCATCCAATTCTATCGATTTAATCTATCTTTCATCATCAATTGGTGGTTGCATATGGTGTTGATTGACCTTTTTTCCTCTTTCACAGTAATCTTTGTACTTGGAATTATTTTAAATCACTTCCCATTCAATGGTGACGATTCAAGCTTTTTCTTTCATCTTTTACTTTGCCTGATCATTTCATTTTCTCAATTGGGATGGGAAAGGGAGAAAGTGGTATTTTCGAATTCTCAAAATTGAAAAACTGCAGAAAGCAAAGCGGTGATACACATATTCAAGCACATCAAAAAACGCCTTACTATAATTATTGTCGATTGTTAATTATCACTTTGTAAAACACTCATTACTATATGATGTGTGACATTCATTTTATTAGTCAATAAAAAAAATTTTTATAAAAATAAAATAAAAAAGTTTTTATTTAATTCATAAAAATTCTGGTCAATTTTTGAATAATCGATTATCACAATCGATAGTTTGATATAAATTTATCATTTCCTTTCGAACGAGTTGTGAGCATAAATTCTGCAGTTATTCTCTTGAAATTAACCGACAATGAATTCCGAGGATAATCCAAGTTTTTCATTGAATAATTCATCGCCATCATCATCAGTTGGAATGGCTCGAGAATTTCGTTCATACGCACAAGATGCTGCTCAATTTAAATTTGCCCATTCAATGCCATTCAATAATAATAATTCAATGAAACTGACAACTACGATTACGGCGGTCACATCATCATCATCATCAATGGCTGTAGCAAATGTTTTGGAAAATCATAATTGCCATCTTGATAATGATGATGGTCCAAGTTGTGGCCATCATTCTAACGATAATGACATTGATCGATTTTCTTTACCCTCTCCATTGGTTGAATCGATATCATCGATCTATTCAGAAGAATCTCGACAAACATTAAAATCGCCACCGTCATTCGCATCGAATGATTGGATGAGAAATAATCTTCCATTATCCTCACAATCTTCGTCAAGAGGCACTTTGTTTGACATTTCCAATCGAATAAACATTACCAATCCAAATCAAAGTTTTGTTCCGAAACATAATCGTTCGTACGGTCAAAATAATGCATCGTATAATCGTTCGAAAACATTAAATACATCGACCGTCTCAAATGTTGGTATGAATGCATCGATTCATTTTCAATCGGAAATTGTCATGTCGATTGTGGAAGGCCGTGGTAAAGCTAAAGGCGAAATCGGAATCGCATTCATTGATCTAAAGTCGATACCCATTCTTCATGTATCACAATTTGTCGATAATTATTCATCAGAATCATTACGTTCAAAATGTCAGGTTCATATGCCCGTAGAAGTGATATTCCCTCATACAATGTCCTCGAATAATCGAATGATGTCCACATTGATCGAATCATTTCCCGATATTGTGTATCGGCCATTTAATAGGAAATTTTTCAACGAAAAACGTGGATTCGATATCATCCAAACGTTGTCGTATGATGATTGCCAATGGATCGATTTACAATTGGAAAACAAATATTACTGTTTGGCCGCTTGTTCGGCACTATTCCATTACCTTATTGTGGTCCGTCAAGTAAGTTTGTTTTAGAGCAAAAACATTTGATTCAAAGTTAATTTTTCTCAACAATATTTGTGTCGGTTTGCTCATTTCACATTTCGTTCGTTTGGTTGATTTTCGATTTGATGGAAAATGTTTGTTGCTGCTTCTCCCCTAAGATTCAATATGCACCAAAATCGATAAAAATAATTTATCAAAGTTCATTAAACACGATGATTATCGATCCGCTTACAGCCAAAATTCTCGAATTAATCATCAATCTGGCCGATCCAAAAAGTTGGCATACTTTATTCGGTACGATTAATCGAACTCGAACAAAATCCGGCTACATTTTGCTTCGATCCAATATCCTGCAAGTATGTGTTGTTTTCCTTATTATTTTTTTTCATCATTAAGTTGTTCTTATTTTTCAGCCAACTACTAACTTGGAATTGATTAGCAAACGTTTGGATATGATAGAAGCCATCTCTAGCTCTATGGAAATATTCAATAGTTTTGAAAATCTTCTCGATAGTTTTGGTATGGTTGATCTTGATCAGCTACTTGTCAATATGGTACTGGTTCCCGTCAATTCTCATCATCAATCCTATGATAACAATCGTTCCAATGATTCCGATTTAAGTCAATCAGCTGAAGTGTCAACGTCTACAATGTCATCAAATACAACAGCCGGCGTCAAATCTGTGTCGGCCGTTGTCATACGTCTAATTGAAAAAAAGATTGACTATGTCATTAATATGAAACACGTTGTAGCATTAGTTGATCATCTACGAAATTTACTTACAAAATGCAATCCAGAACTTTTTGCTGAATATATCCAACTTTTGGGTGATCCTGGTTATGAGCAGATTAAATCAATGATTGATCAGGTTATCAATAGTGAAGCTAAATGTGTGAAATCAGCTTTTGGTCTTAGTGTTGCATCAGGAAAAAGTAATACCTTCAACAGTAGCGGCTCAGCAGCAATGAAATTGGAACGTTGTTATGCAATCAAAGATCGATTCAATCCTATGTTGGACATTGCTCGTAGTATGTATTCGGAAACAATCGACGATATTGTGGCATTAACACAAGCTTATGGCAAGTAATTATCATTCTATTTCAAAATAATTTACCTATTATTTCTATCATAGAGGTCAAATACAGTTTACCTGGTATTCGGCTTAATTTTAACACATCAAAAGGATTTCATATGCAAATTAAACCGATGAAGAGTAATGATAAAAACAAAGATAAACATAACATCAATCGTGGCCCCATTTTATGTCAACAAAAACGATTGCCATCAATATTTAAAGATGTTCATGTGACCAAAAATTGTATTTCATTCACATCAGATGATTTGACGCGTCTCAATAATCGTATTCGACAATCGATAGAAGAAATCTACCTACAAAGTGATAACATCATTACTGGATTAATTGAACAAATACGGACAAAAATTTCTTGCCTCTATAATCTGACTGATATTGTGGCCAACATTGACCTCGTTTATTCGTTTGCTTATCAAAGTTTATGTGCAAATTGGGTACGACCCCAATTCAGTTCTCATTATACAGAAATTATTCAGGTAACTATACGCCTTGAGCATTTTCTCTTAAAACTTGTTTTTTATTTTCGTGTTTTGTTTTTTATCGGAAAAAAAGGGAACACATCCGGTACTTGATAATATATCCGGCGGCATTTCCGTACCTAATTCCATATTCCTAAGCAATGATCTCAATTTCCATATCATAACCGGACCAAATATGAGCGGAAAGACGACTTTTCTGAAACAGATTGGTCTCATACAGATACTGGCACAGATTGGTTCATTTGTGCCGGCACAAATAGATACAACATTTCGTTTATGTGACAAAATTTTCACTCGAATGGCGATGAATGATAATCTACAGATGAATAGTTCATCGTTTATGGTTGAAATCAAAGAATTACATTATATACTCAATGTAAGTGCATCCATTCTATTCTTTATGATTGTAACCCTTTTCTAATTTATGCCATCTGCTGCATTTTCACTTGGCCATGAACAAAAATCAATCTATAAAAAGCACATTTCACCAAACTGTTTAATACTGATCGACGAACTTGGTCGTGATTCTAGTTCTACTCCTGATGCTTATGATGAGAATGCTGCTGTTGTCAATAATAAGATTATGGAATCGACTTTTCCAACATATTGGTCGTTTTGTGAATCATTACTAATGTCCCAATCATCCTTCACCATTTTCGCCACACATTTTCCTCAGCTAACATCATTGTCAAAATATTATTTCAACGTAAGCAATCATCATTTTAGTTCAGAAGAACGATTAGAAAGTAAGTTACAGTTTTCGTATTCTTGGATTCGAATGATTTACAACTTTGAAAAAAAGTAAAAAGGAATGATTGATTTGTGTTTCATTTTGAATTCCACTTTTTACTTGATCTAATTTTTCTTTTTTTACTTTCTTCACCATTTTAATTCATAGACAATCTGATCTGCAAATATCCACACATATTACGTTCGGGCCGAACGCGAGAACAATTCTATGGAATACTTTTGGCCGAACAATCTGGCCTTGATGAAAAAATCGTTTCATATGCCAAAATGATCGCTCAAAGATTTCGGCCATCATCATCAATGTTTCATTCACCATCTTTACGATCATTGTTTGATATAACCGATGCTACTGTCGACAATGAAATCGTCGACATTTTGGATGAAGAATTACAAGCCAAATATCGAATCGCAGCACGTTTGTTACATTTTATGATGACAAATCCACAGGCTGAAATTAATGCCATCATGGTACGAGATTTACAGATAATGTATGAAGAATTACGACAAGAATTTTTGGATCAATCAAAATAGTAAGACATGATCAAATTGAATCTAAATACTATAATCTGCCATTTATCATACTCATTTCATTTCCTATTCTTTAATCATTGATTCGCTAGTTTAGTTAGCTTTTTAGATTAGTGAAATACCCTTATTTTAATCAATCAATGAATAGATAAAACTTTTTTCAAATTGTTTATTTGCTTTCGTCCTTCAATTCATTATTGTTTGTCTGTTTGTTTGTTAATGTCATTTTTTGTGTGCATGTCACATTCATTTGATTTTAATCATCCATAACAGGAAACGGAAATTAAATGAATATGAGCACATAACATACATATCGCATCACATAATGGACATATTGTCCATCAAGTTTGATGGTTTCTTTAACTTGGCAAATTCTTTACAATACAGAGTTTTTTTTTATTTTCTCATTTTTACCACCATCACCAACAACATTAATGTTGATTATTTACAAACCGCACACAATGTTCTTTTGATATTTATTAATTTTTGATGAGACAGGTTAAGTGAAATTTTCCACTTTTTTTATTATACAGCGAAAGAATTTTTTTTTTAGTTTTCCAATTTTATTTTTTCTATTTTCTGTTGTTTTTTGATGTTCGATGTTGATGGTGTTTGATGGTGATAGTGATGAGCAAAGCCGAAAGCAAGAGAGAAAAAAATGTTAATTTATTCCATTGTGGGAGAGAGAGTGAATGGTAGTTAAGGCAATTTAATTGAATTATTCTTTTGAAACACACACACACATAGTATCACATCATAGAAAATGGATTCTTTGAAAGTAGAGTAGTGAAAAAAATTTTATTCTAGCGAATTGTTGTTTTAGCATTAGATTTTTTTTATTGCAATCCTCTCCTGTAGCCGCAATTTTTTCTTTTCGAATTCATCCAAATTCCAAGTGAAATTCTTGAATATCTCCTTATTCTAGTTTACAATTTTACTTTTTCTACAAAAAATCGTATGATTTCATTGATTTTTTTTTCATCGATATCCATCCATTTGATGGATTTTCTTTTCATTTTTTTCGTGTCTTTCCTATCATTTATTTCACAACAAAAAAATTGTCTTTGAAAATGAAATTGCAAAAAAGTCTGAAACTGAACAACTGATTCTTTGCTGCTGTATAGACATGAAAAATGTATTCAATTTTTTTGATAAATCCATCACCACCACCACCACCAACAACAACAAGAGACTGTTTATTAAATTCGAATCCATATGATTCATAGTTTCACATGATTCCAAATTCATTGAATCACATACTTGCGAATTTGTTATTGCTGGCAAAAACGAAAACTGTACAGTGTACACAATGAAAAAAATAGATAGATAGATAGATATATTTTAAATATTTGATCAGTTTTTTTTCAAATTGAATTTTCTGTTTTTTTTCATCATCACCAATTTTTCTTTCTTTCTTTCTTTCTTTGTTGTTGTTGTCGTTGTTGTTTGTCATCAAAAATATTCACAATGTGTGATTCATTTCCTCCATCTCTCATTCTTTTTTCTCTTTTTTATTAAAAAAATTTGGCACCTAAAGTGTGTGTGTGTGTGTTTGATGAAACTTTACATTTGCCTTTGCATACATACCTAACCCATAATACACACACATGAGTTGATTCGATTCAAATTTACTTGTGCACAGTTGTGAACAACACCTCGTTCATCATTGGAGAAATGATGATGCACTGAACGTATTCATCGACCATGTATATATGAATAACATGTATAAAAAAGAATGAATTCCATTGATAAAGACAAGAAAAACAGAATTTTTCTCCTATTCTAATCATTTTTGTTTGCAGAATTTTTTTTAGTTTTTATCAATATATATTGTGTTTGTGTGTGTGTGTGTGTATGTTTTCTCCCTTTGTTTATTTATCGTCGTTTTGTATTTATTCATCATCATCATCATCATTTCTGAGAATAGATAAAAAAAACTTGAATAATGAAATGGATACGATCGTATACCTCGGCGGATATAGAAGAGATACCAACCAAAAAAAACGAAACAAAAGCGATATGACAAACATAAAACAAACAAACAGAAATGACTTGTTTTTATATATATAGAAAGAGAGAGAGAATAAAATCCAAATTCTGGCCATTTTTTCTCTATATAAATTGATTCATCTCGATGAAGATGATTTGGGCATATCGGCCAGAATCTAAGTGGGAAATCAATTGATGATCTAATAAGTGTGTGGTGGCAGTTGGATCTAAATTAAATTATTCATAATCAATTAACTTGTAATTTGACTTTGTGATAAATTGTTAGTGTTTGTTCAGCAATGGCCATTTGTCATGTTAACATCTTATGGTTACATTGTCAAAATTGTCGTTCAAAATCTATATCCTGAGGGCCATCTGGAACCCAAGTGATAAAAAAAAATTTTATAAGTTACAAACACCACCACCAGCCACAATAAGAGAATCGAGTGAATACTTGAGAATAATAAAATAATAATCAAGTCTATTTCGTTGATCCGAACCATGATTGACTGTGTGACAGCAACTTGGTGCTTTCTAAGCCCATCTCTCTTTGTCATCATCAGTTCCATTGAAGTAAAGTGACATGAAAAATGAAATGCGAATGAATTGGATCAATTTTTTTCAATTTTTCTGTATCTCAGACTTGATAGCATTTTTTTCTTTTATCATTATTCTCTCTTGAATAAACATTGACAGCGGTCAAGCGGAAATTCTTTTTTTGTTTTTGTTTTTATTCGTATGGAAGAAAAGAGAAAAGTTTGTATTTTATAACTTTTTGTTGTCTGAATATAAAAGTAAGAATCAAGTATCATCATCATCGTCATCATTGACAAATGAAAATGCATTGATTGTAGGAGATTGATGTTCATTTGATAATGACGATAAATCAATATAAAGAATGAGAAGAAATTGTCATTCTGAACGTGAATTTTTATGATGGATGCATGCATAGGTCAAATATCTGTGTGTGTTTTTCTTCCTCACAAAATTCATTCATCCACAATTGATAAGCCATTTTTTTGTTCATCTCATCATCACTGTCATCGCAGTCGTCGTTGTCGTCGTCGTCGTCTTAGTGATCAAACTTTTTCATTTTCAACATGCAGCAAAATTTTCCTTTTGACAATTTGTTTTTTATTTGTTTCCATAACTTTTTTCCCATTGCTTTATGTGTGTACGAGTATTTTCGTATGAACCAAATGCCGACTAATTCTACTTCCGTTGTCGCCAGTTTTTTCTTATCACATTTCCGGCGATAATTTTTTTTATCTCACTTTTCCACTTCTTAGTATAGCTTGGGTTGCCCATTTTCAACGAATGAAATTGCAAGTTTATGATAAAAAAATGTTATGATGTGATGAATTTTTTAAGAAAAAAAAGAAAAAGAAAATTTCGAGAACAATTTGAAAATAGGCGAAACGACGATGACAGAAAACGAAAATGATTGAGTACAACAGCAGTGTTGTGGTTGCTTCACTAGTTTTTTATTTTTCAAAAAAAATAAATGAAAATTCTCTATTCAAGTGTTTGTCATCATCATGGATTTTCATCATCGTCATCGGCCAAAGAGATTCTTTTTCGAAACGCCCCACTCACTCTCATATCCTCCCACCGGATTTGAATGGGCCATTATTATTATTATTATTACAAAGCACATTTTTCCATATCTCATCATCATCATCATCATTGCTGTTGTTTTTTGTTGGATCCAATTCTATTTTTCAACACTTCAACACCGCAACAACAAGAAAAAAAATTGATGAGGCTGCTGCTGGTGTTTGTGTGTCGTCAAGCGCATCTCGATTTTTGTTTCATTTCACATTTCGCTTAAATGAAAATTTATTTATTCGACCGACGTGACCAAACGATATTCCCTGTTTTATCCATTTCTTTATATTATTCTGTGATACCCCTTTTATCCTCTCATCTTAATCACATCGATGACGATGGCAATTTGATGGTGACCCAATCGATGGATGGATGGATGAATGAGCATAGAATCGATTTTGCAATTGGATTTTAGATTTGATTTCATTTTAACTAGGTTTTATTTAAGTACTCCCACATCCAGAAATACTGGGGTATGTGTAATTTCAAATCACGAATTGTCCGTTTTTTGATTGTCTAAAACGATTTAAAGTCCTGACCAGTAGCCGGCACTATCTAAAAACGGTCAAACCAAATAATGTGAATATATCGCGAGGTCTAGTCAGCCGAATAATGAATGAATGAAAATCATGAATGCTTAAAAAACAAAATCAAAATGATCCATTGCCCAAACAAACAAACGAACGAAAGAAAATTGTGTGAGAAAATGAAAAATTCCAAATATACCACCTTCCCAGTTCTCTATTCTCTTCACGATTCTCTATTGCTTTTAAAAGGATCGGCTTTTGCGGGCTCAATCTTTTATGAAATTTTTCGCTAAAAATCTCTCTCTCTCTCTCTCTCTCTCTCTCTCTCTATTGTAGTAATAAGATTTTTTTTCATTCATTCTTCTTAGCATCCAATGATCCATTCAACCATCTATTGGCCATTGTCAGTTTTATTCGTTGATAAAAAATGTAAAAATTCTATTTTTGAATCCAATTTTATTCTGCTCATTTGATGTGAATGGAAACAAAATCTAAAGCTGTCTAAAAACAGAAATCATCGTTTTATCAGATTTCAAATTGACAATTTTTTTTTGAGAAAAAATTCATTATAAACAAAATCAAAAACATTTCTTGTCTGATATTTCTTTGTTCAATTTTTGTTTGATTACAACCATCGAAAGGGCGAAAGAGAAAATGGAACTCACATTCGAAACACACATTATGTTAGATAAATAAATTTCAAGTATCGAAAAATTCAATCAAGTAAAACACAAACACAGCTTGAGCGTTGGCCAATTATAATGACTGAAATGAAATGAAATGCCATTAATCACATGTATGATCAACCAATGGTGTTCAATATAGCTAACCTTTAACTATTTTTTCCTACTTGGAACCATATTGGACATTGATCCATATTATTTCATTTTCCAGCAAAAAATCCAATTCATCCTCTCTCTCTCGAATCATATTTATATTATTAGCTAGCCATAAATACTTGATTGCTTCAATTCTTCTATATGATTTTCATATGTTTCAATGTGAATTTTCTGTTGCAAATACAATATAGTTTGACCAGTGAAAATATGGTAAAAAAGAGTGAAAACTGTGAACTGTACTACTGTACTGTAATAATAATAATGAAATAATGAAATAATGATAAACAACAACAGCCAAAAAAAATTCAATCTAATTTAATTAATGAATGTTTTCACTTTGGATCGATTTTTTGGTTCGCTGTTTGTTGGACGCTTGCTAGATTTAGATTTCTCTTTTTGTTTTGTTTTAGTTGTTCATTTATTTATTTATACACTGAAAGAGTCTATTCAAGTGTTTTGAACTGAATTGGTCATTTTTTCTATGTTTGATGGTAATTTGACTCAAACTTCAAAATAAACGAAAACGAAAAAAAAATCCGGAAGGAAAGCCAGAATGTTCAAATGAAAAGAGATGTTTGTCTGTGGTGAGAAAATGAAATACAAATGATTTGATTTTCAATTGATCACGACAGTTTTTGCGGAAAATTGTTTCGTTGCCTGTTTTTTCTGTTTCGAAAATTCAGATTCATTTTTGTTTTTTTTGTTCTTGGTAGTAAATTGACCAGAGAAACTATAGAAAATAAACATTTTTTCTGTCTGTGTGTGTGTGTGTTTTCCGGTCAATCCCCTTCTCTCCATCATTATCATCATCATCATCATAGTGAAAAACCAGAAGTTTTTTCATTATTTCTTTTCTTCTTTTTTCGCTCATTTGCCATGATCACTGATCACTGATCCCTGGTGGTGGTTTTTGAATCGGTTTGAGAATGAATTCTTTTTCTCCACTCTCAAGATCTAAAAGATGATATCCGCCCACGCATTATCAAAGTTTTTTTGTTGTTGTTCTCTTGATTTCAAAACGACATTGTAAATCATACATCTTGAATCGATTTGAATTTATCAATGATCCAACTGAATGAATCATTGATTCATGAAACAAACAAATAACAGACAGAGAGAGAGAGAGAGAGACATTTGTTTTTCTCTCTCCAAATACAATGGGAATAAATGAATAAATGATTGAATAACAAATAAAAACATTGAAAGAAAGAAAACAATCCAGGCCCATTGCTCGTTGATTTCAATACAGAAAATTATTCATAATCATTGCACACAACTAGATGTAGATGTTAGAATTTTTCGATTTTTTTTTCATCTGTTTGGCTCACGCTTGTGTAGTAGTAGAAGAAAAAAATTCCTGAAAATTGGACCTAGTTTCTAGTTTTTTTTTTTGGATCCAACGAATGGCCAATCCATGAAAGAGGAAGTAGAACCTTGATAAATAGGTAATAGTAGTGGCAGTATTACTACTAGTATTAGTGATGGTGGTGGTGGTTATCATGATTGTAACACCATAGTAGCATCTCTTTAGACGCCTGTGAATTTTGCCGCATCATTTTTTTCTCAAGACTGATTTGCAAACTGTGAACAATAACGAAATAACAAAAACTTTTTTCCTCTCTTTTCCCATATTTTTCACTTTAAACTTTGATCCACCACCACCATTTGGATGGATCAATAAATGAGTCAATGAATTGGGTCCCATCCATTGGTGATGATGTACACACACGCCCACTGAAATGTACGCTACCATCATCATTATTAGGAATGTTTCTACATCTAGGAGGCCTAGGTCTACAATAATCACAGGCCCTAGAAGTTGCAATAACATCAACAAAACAAAACAAAAAAAAACACAGACAGTTTTTTAGACGTCTGCAGATTCTTTCTCTCTCATTGATGGATTCTGTGCAATAAAATGAAATTTTTTGCATGTTATCGTTATTATTGAAAACACAGCAACAACAGCAATAACGAAAACTACATTTTTGGATGAAAAGTAAAAGAAATGAAAAAAATATTCAGACAGTCGACATAGACATAGTGTGTGTTAGAAGAAAAAAGTGTCGAGCCCGTATTTTTTATTTGGTTCACACACACAGACACTTATATCGAGATTGTGTGATTTGAAATTCGTTCATTTGGTTGTTTGATGTTTTTTTTCCATCTCCTCGATCGGATTCATATATTGGCATTATTTTTTTATTCGGGGCTTGTGTAATGTACGTGTGTGTGTTTTGAATGTGTCAAATGTCGAATGTCAACTCTGTGTTTGTGGTCGTCGATTTTAATTTAATTTAATTTTTATTATCACTTTTTATTGAATGAAAAAAACGACCTTATTTTTTTATTGATTTTAGTGTGTGGGGCTAATGTTTTTCTTTCTCTCTTTCCGTTTGTGATTCAAAATTTGTAATTTATTTATCTACATCATACAAAAAAGTAATTGCTCAATGCACGCACGAAAATTATCATCATCAACAATAATAATGAAACGAAACGAAAAATCAATTATTTGACACGCAGAGATGAACAACAACGAAATTGTGACATTTTCAACAATTGAAACAAGATAAAACTTTTCTGATAAGAAATTCTTCTGTAGAGCCAAGCCATATGTTGTTGAAATTGAAATCATTATGTTATTATTATTATTATCGACAACAAAAACGACAACGATGACAATGGGAAATATGTGAAATTCGAATGTGTCTCAATCATTACAATACACATTGATTGGTGGTCTCTGTCTCTATTGCTAATTTTCATTCAATTTCAAGTGGGTTGTCGACGACGACTACGACGATGATCATCATGATTGTTATTCAAGTGTTTGATGACTACCAATGTAAAGAAAAACACATCCACAAGATTCTTATTCGATTCTATTGAATCAATCAATATTTTTTTTCTAAAAAATCAAGTTGCGATAATACGACAAACAGACATTATTTAGACAGGCAAAATTTTACTGAAAATCTCTCATATCTCAGTTATGGTCATATGGATGGTCATCATCATCATCATCATCAATAACGACGTCAATGCTAAATTTGCTAAACAGTGTGAAAGAAAAATACAAAGAAAAACTAGTAAACAAGCCGTTAGCCCTTATTTTTTTGGCCAAAATGTCCAAAACATTATTCTGTATTCAAATGAGTCGTATTATGATTATATTGCTGACATTAATATTTATGATACTATCCCAGATGCAAATATTTCATATAACAATCATACCATGGCCATCATATCATCCAACTGTGGCCATTTTATTAGATTTAGTTCTGATTATTGGTTTGATTGCAAGCCTTATACAACATTTGAAAATGCTCATATTTTTTAGTTGGCTATCAGCATTAACATTTTTGCTCATATTTTTCGGCAACACTGTTTCATCTCAATATCAAAGTGATCTTATTGGTAAGTTTGGTTTCGTTTAGTTTTTTGTTTGTTTTCAAATAACAAACCCAATATGTCACAATACCATTAACTTTTTGGTTATGTTTGATTTTTATTTATTTGAAACAAACAAGGTATGTACTATTTGCTCGTAATCTGTATACTATCATTTACAGATGCAATATGCATAATAAAATACCGGATGCCTTGTGAAGAAGCTGCTCATCATCATCATCATCATCATCATTCGAATCCATACTATCATTCACCACATAATAATAATCCAACACTATCATCATCATTATTAATGATGACCACAAATAAATGCTCACAACAACAACAACAACAATTATTTGATCATCAATCGGCCATTGCTGATTCATCATTATTAGTACCATTACCATTACCAATAGCAGCATCATCGTCAACATCAACACAACATCATTTAATACATCAGCAACATCATGGTACACCACCACCACCTCCACCACCACCGCCTCAATCATCGCATCATTCTACTTCCGGATCTAATACTCATCATCATTATCATCATCATCATCAACGGACTAAATCATCATCATCAAATGTAGCATCACCATCATCGCCGTTGCCACCACCACAACAATCATCAACATCGGCACTTAATAATAATAGCCATTGTTATGTGCCTAAAAATGATCCACAATTTCATGCTGTTTAGCGTTTCTTTTTCAAAAATTTATACAAAACAAAACAAAAAAGATGATGGCGGAACTTGGTTGTTTCAAATATTTTATTCGTTGAATCATTTTTTCCTTTTCTTTTCTGTTTTGTTTCCATTTTTATTCGACACACATATGTTTACTTTATTTTATTTTTAATGATCATGATGATCAATCAATCAATCACCAGAACAATGAAACGAAGAATGTAAAAAATGAATAAATTCTTTATCCTTTCATATAATAAGAATGAGAGAATTTATAGCCAGATGACCAAATGACAAGCTGGTCCTATGATCCCTTGGACCGGAAACCACACACATGAGACCAACATTCAGAATGATAAGGAATACTGAATATAAAGTGAGAATCTAGAAAAAAACTGACTGGATCAGTAAAATAACATGAAAAGCTAGATGAATGGCTTACTGTTTTTTTCATTTCGCATTTCTTTTCCATCTATCCATCTGTTCTATACTTGGTTTCATTGTCGTATGTGTATGTTCGCTTTAATTTATTATCATCCACATCATCATCATGGCAGAATTGCCGAAATCGAAACATTTTACAACAACATGAAATACATGAATCAAGAGATAAATAATTCTTTGGAATTTTCGTTTTGTTTTGGCTTTGTTGTTGTTGTTTTTTCCTAATTAGAATTTGAATCGATATCTGAACTTTATTATCGAAACTACAAATGACGACAACAATGAAATTGACTTAATCGAATGTTTGCTTTTTGTTGTTGCTGTCGTGGCTGTGACATTGTATTCATAATCATTTCATGTGTGTAATACATGGATTTTCATTTCATTCGATTAGATTTCATATGATTATTTTCAATGTTGCAAATCCATACATGTCCGTTGAATGGATCGAATTCTGCCATCTAGTAATGATGGGTGTGAAAAATGTTTGCAACGTTTTTTTCTTTTGGGCTGGCTTATTTGTAAAACTATATTTTCTATTTGATTCATTAATAATCATCTAAAGAATGTCCAAATTCGTGCGTGGAACATATGGTATACCATATAGAGACACAGAGAGAGAGAGAGAATATGATTCCTGTAACAAGTTGTGAGCATGAAACATTCAAAGGAAAAAATCACACTATGCGTGTGGGTATGCTACCTCCACATTCCATGTGTGTTATATATATAGAGAGAGAATATGTTGGATGAGAAGAAAAAATTGGACCAAAAATGAGCCAAATGGATACCAATGATCGAATTGAATCAAATGGAATACATGCAATGGATAGATAATTGACGTTTGTGTTTATGTATAACACATCTGTTATGGACTAGAGACAAATTAGTGTGCAAAGATTTGCAGAATTTTTTTCTTTCTCTATTTGTTTGTTTGTCATTGACAAGTGAATTTTGATTTTGGTTAAGAAATATAGAAAAAAAAATGAAAAACCGTCAAAGACAAGAATTTGAAAATCAATCGATTGAATCATTTGATTCACATCGATTGATTCGTTATGCTTTATTAACATTGATCCTATTCATGTTGATCTGTTCAGTTTTGGCCATTATATTTGTAATGATTTTTATGCAAATTGATGACCATCGACAACAACAACAACAGTATTCGGATGGCAAACAAGGTAAGCGGTTCATTATTCACTTTAATTACATTGTTGATGTAAACATTTTTGGTTTATTGCTAGTTGGAGGATATATGCACAACCAACTAGTAGGAAAAGCATTGATTAAATTGGTCTTTATTTTTCTCTTTAGGAATCATTTTAATACTTGTATTCATTGCCGGCAATTATTTGATCGGTCTAATAGGTATTTGTCGCGTGAATCGTTTAGCGTTAATATTATTTGCTGCCATCAATATAACATTGGCCACAACATGTTTGGTTATGAATCATCATCGTCATTATCATAATGGCCATGATTTCCAACGATTTGGACAATGGCAACAACAATCAAATATGGCTGGCAATTGGGCAGCATTCATTGCATTCATATTGACTGCCGTATTGACCATTCTATTCATTATTCAACATTATCGCTGTAAATCGATTATACCATATCAACGATATACAACAAATATTTTAAGGCAAAAATCAAATCATAATTATTATCATCCTATTGGTGGTGGCCGTATCAATGAAAATAACGAATCCGATCATGATGATGATGAGAATTTGTTTGAATCAATTAAAAACCCTAAATCCTGTGCTATTATTGTCGATATAGTCGAATCGAATGATGATGATGATGATAAATCTCGTCGAACATCCATCAATTCAAATCATAGTAATTCATTGTCTGGAAATTTTCGTTCAGTTCTTTAAGCGAAGAAACTCAAATTAAAATCATAAATTTGTTTGTTTTTGAAAGTAATGAATTGTTTTGAAATAATAAAAATAAAAAATTTATTTATTTTTTCTATATAACCAATTATTCTGTATAATGGTTGTTTTTTGTGCATAGCCGAAACATTCCGGGAAACAACTTTGACAGTGAAACTTTCTTGGCAAACACATGTGCACATTGAATTCAATGTTGATATCCATGAATTTCAATGGAATTTTTTTTTTCCCAAAAGCTATTTGATCCAAACACCGTTGCACTGTTTCTTCTGGAATATTCACTTGCAGCTCTTTGGAGAAAAAATTTTCCTGAATAAAATAAATTTGCGCCTTTTCATCATCATCGTGTGATATGTGATACAAATGTACCGAATTATAACATCGATATACTAGCATTATCATCGTCATATTTTTAATAAACAAATTCGATGATTATGATGATGATGACATTGGTTCGACAATGACATGTTTTATTGTATGTACATTTGCATCTGCATAGTATAGTGATCACACATGTGGGCGTATGTGCGATGTTTGAAATGTTTAATGTAAATGTATGATGATGATCATCGTCTGCATCAAACACAGAAACAACAAGAAACAACACAACAATAAATAAGATTATCATCAGCAATCAGCAATCAGAAAGCCGCATTTGTGTAAACGTTTTTGGTTTCTCCTTAACTTTTTTCATCATCAGCTTTCAATCTTTGAGATCATCATCGTCGACAGTTGGTTAAACGAGTAAAACAAACGTTTTTACTTTGTTATCAAAATTTGTTTTCTGGATTCTTTCCAAACTCTTTCGTCATCGTTTGATTTCGCTGCCCTTTTGTTACGCTTACATCATCGTGTAAGATTTGATTTTAATAATTGTTTGCAAATTGTAATTTATCGTTTGATTTTTGCTTGTTTTAGATTCATTTTCATTATTTCATCTAATAATGCACGGTCAGATTTTTTGTTCACAATCATCATCATCTATACGTACATATCTACCATGGATTTGTACATCATTGGCCATTGGTTATGCAGCCTATCTACATTACCGTTCGCGTTGTAATCGAAAACGAATCCAAATGAATTTGGATAAAAAGCATGCTCGAAGCTGTGAAGTGAATATCGATGATATTGATCGAAGTAAGTTTAAATTTCATTAGTTTTCCATCATCAAACGTGTTCAGCTAGCTATAGTTAGTTTTTTACCATGCCACAACCAAGCCAATACAATCGATCATTCGTTCTTGCTTATTGACCTGTCCATATTTCACCAATCAAACGAATCTTTAAAAATGTTTTGTGTTCACACCATGAAACAAAAAAAAATCGATCCAATCTATATCACAATTAGATCCAATCGAATCATCGTTAAAACCAGATAATAATATCGAAGTGGTTCGAGGAGAAATCAATCTAGATGATTATGAAGAATATTTGATTGAAATCGATGAGGAATCCGATGCAGATAATGATGTTGATCAGAAAGAAGAAAAATTTGGAAAATCTCGAATTAAATGACAATGATGATCAGCTAGAAATGAAGCCCACTACTTGTCCGAATGACGATAACAACATTGTAAAAGAGGTTAAATTCGACGATGCAATCGTTACAATTTTACCAGAACCAGAAACGATAAAAGAACGTCGAGAATCGTTTGTATCTCAAATGAATGCCATTCATGAATCAAATATTGAACCGAATTCTTTCCGACAACAACAACAATTGGCACAGCCATTGATTAAACGTAAACGATATAGTTTAAAAGGAGATATAGATGATCTTGCATTCGATATATTTTGTTTTGATGAAATGCCAATCATTCGACAAGAATTTAATTCCAAAATCCATGTCGATGATGATGACGATGATTTGAATGAAGAAATTCTTGATGAACTATTGCGACGATGGCGTCATCTATCAGCCGATCTAAAGGATGAATATCATTCAAAAGCCGTGGCTGAATCTTCTATGCAATGAGAACGTTCCATTACATAACAGTTGTCAGTTTGACTAGTTTGTTTAGCTTAGCCATTTCAAAATTTCAAAATTTCAAAATTTTTCTTCTTTTTACATATAGACACTATTGATTATTTCTTTTGATTTTCTTCCCTTCAAAAAAGATACAACGGAAAAGAAAATATCCTATTGCCGTTGTTGGAAATCTAAAACATTTCCACTTTGTGATGGTGAACATAAATGCCATAATCGTGAAAATGATGATAGTGTTGGTCCATTAAATCTTGTATGGCGTGATAACGACGATCAATCTAATATTGGATCTACAGCTGCTACTGCTGCTGCTGCTATAGCTACAGATGCTGCACGTACAACATCACAATCACCAACAGCAATAATCAACGATCCAGATATGGATATTAAGTCCATTGATTCATTAGAAGAAAGTGATCAGCCAACTTTAGGCGGTAGTGGTGCTGGTGGTGGATCTAGTTCGGCCACCGGTTCCAATGGAAGTGATGATTTTGATGATCAATTGGTTAAAATTGATAGTAGCGCTGCTGGATCGTCTCTTTCATCTTCAAACAACAATAATACAACCACCACTCCAATTAGATCGTCGAATGTGAATGTTAATAACAATAATAATTTAAGTGATGAACAATTAAGCTCATTAGAGATGATTGATGATGATAATAATTTCACTACATTCAACAATGATAAACAACAACAACCCAAACAGTAAGACACTCTTCCCAAGTTCACAATTTCATCACACTGTATCAACTTTTCCAAGCAGGGAAGAATTAATTTTTTTGAGAAAAAATTATTTTTTTAATTCAAAATGAAAAAATGAAATAAAATAAAATGACGAAAAAATGAATTGAAAATTGATAGCAAACATGACATTTATATATCGGATCATCATCCCGTATGATCCGATGATCGCGTATGACTTGTAATCATCATCATCTTCTTTCTCTGCGAATGTGTGTGTGTGTGTGTGGGTGTGTGTGTTTCAAGATGTGAATTGAGTTTCAAAAAATAAATAGAAATAATCATGCGATTATCATCATCAAACTTGCATAGTTTCGAATGAAAAAAGAAATCATAATCATCATAATAAATAATTTGTTATCGTGTGATTCAAAAAAATGAATTTTGTCTATAAATTTTTCAAAAAAAAATTGAATTGAATTGAATTTTCTGTTTGAGATTGTTTAATCGGTTTTGTTTGTTTGTTTGTTTGTTTTCTAAAATGAATTATATTTGGTTTGATCTGGTGAATGTGGAATTGATTAATTAGGTTTGTCATCCGACAATCAATCAATCAATCAGATTCTTTGGTAGTTATCATTGAATCGGACATTTTTTTTTTTTTTTTTGTAATCGTTGATGGTTAACAGGAATATTTTTTACATTTACTCATATCTTTACTTAAGGCGCCATTCTTGAATACGGTCATCCTTTTCTCCATCCATTGTGGTGCTAAATTTTCTACGACCCTATTTTAAATGAATCAATCAATAAAAGTATAGTTTACATCAATAAACAACTTACATCAACAAGGCACTACGTCCACGTACATCACTTACAGCATCGCTAAATTTGTAAACAAAAAATAAATAAATTATTAGACGTTTTATGACATACGAATTTCATTAGATTAAAATTGCATGTGAAAAAGGGTCAATGTCTTTGATTAACTCTTGAACCTGATGATGATGATGATGATGGCGGAAGACATATAGTGTGTGTTGCCTATAGCATGTATGTGTGTGTGATGGATGATAAATCCAGTTTTTGTCAGCCTTACACACTTGAGCATTAACAATTTTTTACATTTACTCGAATGACCGGATACGATTAGTTGTTGTTTAAGCTATTTTTAGCTTTGGGAAAAAATCTTTAAATCAATTAATTAATCGGATCAGATGATGATCAAGCAGACTAATAATAATAGTATATTTGTCCAGTGTGTGTAAAGTGAGTTTGAACTAACTAATTTTTTTTTGTCCATTGAAAAAAAACTAGATCATGACCAATAATCCAACTATTTGAAAATTTGGTTATAATTAGGTAGAGGAAAACTTACCCGAGTTCACAGATCATACGATTCATGCATTCTTCTTTTTCCATTGCTTTATTATACATTTTATAATAGGCATCCATTTTTTCGATATATGATGAGAATGGTGAATCATCAATCGAACGTTTAGTTTTTGTTGTTGTTGTTCCCAAACTAGTGACCGTTGGTAATAAAAGGCTAAGTCCGGCAATAGCTAATACAGGCATTAATATTGAAGTAAGACCATATTTTTTAAGACCAGATGCAATTCCTGAAACTTCGCTTGATTGTGGTTGTATAGCTTGTCCTGCAGCACTACCTGGACCATAACCAGCAAATGCATGTTGTCCAGGACCATATGGTGATCCTTGTGCAAATGCTAAATGTCCTTGTGACATTGCATTCGAATAACCAGGATGAACTTGTTGAGCAATATGACCAGATGCTTCAGCCTGATTACCATATGCAGCTAAATTTGCAGCATTCGTTTCATATGAACCAGATGGATTATTGAAATATTGTTGTTGAAATTGCGATGCAAGATTACTTAATGTTTGGGCATCGAAACCTTGTGATTGTGATTGATAATCATGATTCAATTCTGGAGCACTATAGCTTATTTCCGAACCGGAAGCAGCAGCATCCATTGGACCGCCACCACCGCTATGGTCAACATTTTCATGAGCAGCAGCAGCAGCAGCTGAATTTTGATGGCCTGATGGAATGGCTTGTGCATGGCCATATGGACTTGATTCTTTTTGTTTTTGATCTTGTACCGGGTAATAATAATAATAAAGATTCGATTGAGATCCTTGTGATTGTTGTTGTTGTAGACTGCCACCATGTTCGTGGATTTGTTGATTAGCAGCTACATTACTGAGGCCACCACCACCACCACCACCGCCACCACCACCATATTGATTTGACAATGAATATTGACCATTTTGATTTGCCTGATATATTGGCTGATTACCACCACCACTACCAATCATCATTGATGAACCATCGTCAGATTTTTTCGTTATAGCATCAACGATTGTGATTGTTGTGGTTAATGAAATAGCAATCAATATGATTGTCGATGTATGATATTTAGTTTTCGTTTTTGTTGTCATTATTAGTATTTGAAATTGAAATAAAAATCACCAATTGAAAACAAATTTTTGTTGAACAAAAATGATTATTAATATGATGATGATCAATTATTTCGATTTTGAATTTTTTTTGATGAACAAGATGAAAAAAAATTTTTAAGTAATTTTTTCGACAATGTTTTGGCACTGAAGACGACAAAACAAAGACTGTGTATGTGTTTGTGTGTTGTTCACTGCCCAAAACTGAAAAATGAAGAAATTAAAAATCGTCCAGAAATTGAATTTTCATCATTTGAAAAATGAACAACAGTACCAAATGAATGAGACTCTTTTTTACTGATTGATCAGGTAAGAAACCAAATATTGAATTGACCAAATGATTGAAAAAAACGAGGCGGATCTTGTCGAATGTCGAATATCAGGTCGCCAAAGAAGAAAAAAAGTCAAACTTTTTTTAGAGAAAATAAGAAAAAAATCCGAACCGTTAAACGAAACCATATTTTGTTTTTCTTTTTTATTTTTAGCATCTTTCTCTCTCTTGCTCGTTTAGCATATCTCTGTGTTTTTCGATATAACCGACAGGTATAGCAAGAAGACCTTATCATCGATAAACTTGACCGGTCACAATGATGATGATGTTTACTGATTGTTGACCAACGATAATTACGTTACCAATGGAATCGAGTTTTCTTCCATCTTGATATATCTTGTTTTTTTTGTGATTTGATTTTTATTGTTATTGATCACATTGATTATGGTGGGAGAAGGAGCTATTCCGAAAGAGATTCCGATTTGAGATATAGAAAAATCCAACCTAAACGTATAGGAAAGAAAAGAGAAAATTAAAAAAATAAATTAATTCCCCACACTATTTTGCAAATCCTTATTACTGACATACATAGCATTGATTGATAATTTGGATTTTTTTCTTGGTCATCAAATCGGTTTATTTATTTATTTATTTTTTGGTAACGTTAAAACTAAAAACTAAATCCCCGTTGTGGTTGATAATTGATAAAAATAACTTTTGATGATATACACTTGACATAATTTTTTCTTTCGTTTGGCCATTATTTTTGTGAGTAGGAAATGCATCTTTCGGTCGATTGTTGGTCGGTCGTTCTAACCTTTTTTAAATTCAATCATCATTCATTCAATCGATTGATCGTCTTTGAAGATTATCGTCAAGTGTTTGACCGTTTTTTCTTCTTTTTTTCGACAGACAAGATCGACATCGATTTTTTACAGGTTTCCAAAAATAGCACCAATAAATAGATGTTGGTTATTTTTCACATTTTCATTTACAAGTTCTATCTTGTTGTTGCTGTTGTTATGGATGGCCCTGATAAATAATTTATTCGACGAAATTTCGATCGATCTATCGATATAGTAAATCTAAAAAACAGAAATGAAATGTTAATGTCTAGATTGAATAAATGAGATGAAAATAACTTGACCATCAAACCTTGACCTTAACAATGATCGATCGATCATCGAATGATTCGTTGTGTTGACTACTCACGCACACTTACAACGTTGATTTATTCCATTCGATATATCGACAAAAAAATTTGGGCCAAAATAACCTTTAAATGTCTAATAAATTGAGAAAAAAAAAGAAAATACCTGTTGACCTTATGTGTGTGTGTGTGATTTTGATGTTCATGATTTCATGTACCACCTGTGTCTATGTTGTTGTTATTCGAAGATTGTGAAATAGTGATAACGGTGAAAAAACGTCGGTTTTCCCATCCGTTCGATGAATATAAAATGTAGTTTTTCTTTGCCGATATATTGCTTCCGCATTCTTTGCACATCGAATGTAAGGTAAGGAATCTTTCTTTTTTTGAATCGAATCAATTAATTTTTTTTTCTTTAGATTTTTTCCGTTCATGATGATATGTTTTTGCAATCAATCGTATTCCACACATTTGGTCGAACTATCTATCTGGTGGTCATTCAACTTTTAAAGATGGAAAAAAGCCAACAGAACACACAGAAAATTACCAATGCAGAACAAATTATTTATTGTGAAAAAAGATTGTCTTGTTCATTTTTTCTTCATCATAATAATAGTGCCAATGATGATGATCTTGTTGTTCAGATTTTGGATTCGAACAATTCAAAACTTATCGTTTATTGTTTTGGCGGTGCTGATTCGAATTTCAGGTCATCATAATAATCAATCTGTTATGTGGATGAATACTTGCGAACCGATCACAAACGGATGTTACACACTATCTATCGATCGATCGGCGTATTGTATAACAAGTTTGGCTTGACTTTATTGTGGTCAAAAAAATGATATTGTTCGATAGTGACATCTATCAGATTAAAAAACAAAAAAACTAATGAAAACATTCGGCACCAGAAGGCATTGCTAGTGCCATGCCATTAATCTATAAGATTCGAAAATTCCAGAAGAATCTCCTCGAATCAACAACAATAGAAAACATTAAAATATGAAAAGAGCTTGGCAAGCATTGACTTCATCGTAATGATCATAATCGCAAATTACAAATTTATAGCCGATAACAACAACAACAACAACGACAACAAGAAAAAGAATTGGAATCCAAGATGAAAAGAGAGAAAAACTGGATATAAATTGATCCCTGTAAACAGTGAGTAAGTTTGACAAGAAAATTATTGTTGCAAAAATAAAATAGAGCTTTTCTTCCTTTTTTCAATTTGTTTCCTGTTTTATTTCATTTTTTTCTCAAAATCCATTCTGATGAAGCCAATTCTTTTCTTCTTTATCTACATAAGACGAGTTTCAAGCTACAAAACGATGGATACAATATTTTATCCAAATCAAGACGATTTAATATGACCAAACATATGAAATGAAATGAAGCGCGAACCAAACGAAAAATTGCCCGATATAAAACATATTACAATACAACAATAATAACATATATATGGACGACGCCGGATCGTCTTGACAACAACAACGAAAACAAACTCTTTTCTCGATCGGTTTCAATGATATACTGGATTCATCATCATCATCATTCAGTTGATCTGGTTTCCATGGATTTTTTTTTCGTTCGAATATTTTTGTTGTTATTGTCTGGATCTGTCATAAACACATGACACCCCAGCAACAACAACATAACATATTCTGATTCGATTCTTTCATCATCATCATTGTCATTAGATATCTCAACATCTTTGTTTCATATGTTCAATCAATTCATTTCATTTTTCATTGGTCATGATGATTACAAGTCCATTTTCAACAACAATCGACAATGGTAATGATTTTGGTCTTCATGTCGATGATGATGATCAAACCATACGTTTAATTCAGCCGGAAATATGGCAAAAATCACAACAATTACAAGAATTGATAAATTTATTTCTAGAAAGTATGTTTATTTGAAATTTCAGCACTAGTCTCATGAATCTTTGTCTTTTTTTTTGCTATAGAAAATGATGATTTTAAAAAGATTGTTTCCACGTTTGTACAATCATTAAACGATGTTGGCGAAATGATTGAAAGAGAAAAAATAAAGGTAAGAATATTTTCTCTTTTCTCTTGGGTAAAATTCTTAAACGATAAAAATCCATATGAATTAATGAAAGGAAATCGTATGAAACTGAAACTCGAAACTAACTTACGATTGATTGATTGATTGTCATCAATTTTTATTACATGATAGTTTATTATGTGTGTGTGTGTGTGTGTATGTTTTCACCAATGAAAATTGTGGACATTGTTGATTGGATTGTAAAAGTCGATTCATTTCAGGAATGTAAATATAAATTTACGATAAAAAACCCGTAACCGGGTAACAATTTATATCTCGTGTCTTTCTTTCTCTGTGTGTGTTTTGTTATGTTGTTTCAAAACCAATTTTCTCTCTTGTGAATCGAATCAAATAACATCCTGAAAAGCCAATTTATTGTTAATACATTGTGTGTGTGTGTGTGTAATACCATGTAATGTTGATCGCTATCGATTGTATAATTTATTTATGTTATGATTCTAAAAATATTCTGTTTAGCTATAGAGGTCACTCAATTTTCTTTGATCAATTGTTAACAACAACAACAACAATGTTTTTCGTTTTGTCAATCTGATTAAACGATAATAAAAATGACAATCATCAAATGATGCTAAACGATCAAAAATCAATTCAATGCAAAATAATATACCAATAACATAAACTGACGATGGTAACACTTTGTTTTTCTAATTTTATTTCATATTCATTTATTCATAAATTTTGAACACTACTACACTAGGTCTTTTCTACAATTAATAATTCTTTATCAAAAATTACAAGTCAAGAGCCGAAACAAATTTCAATAGAACATATGGTTGAATGTAATGAGTGATTGCTAGAAAGAAATAGAAATTATTCATAAATAATAAACCAGTGACTGTTTATTATTTTGCTATTAAGATTCAAACACACACACGCACATACAGAGAGAGAGAGAGAGAGAGAGAGAGAGAGAGAGAGAGAGACCAAATATAAAACATCCTGTTATACAATCGGTAGTTAACCATTATGTAACAACAAGCCATTTGTTGGGGTCCATGTTTTATGCATTTTGTTGTCTTTTTTGTCATTTTTGCCTCTATAGACTACAGAGTCTGGTGTGGTAATATTGTCATGTTTTTTCTGGTTCATTTTTGGTAGACCCAGAATCTTTTTACATTTATGTTTTGATTTCGTGTGTTTTATTCATTTCTTTCGATTTGAAAGCATAATGCACAACTAAACTAGAAAAGATTTTTTTCTTTTTTCTTGGAAGCTATATTCTATCTATCAGCTTAATTATAATATATTCCGTATTTTTTGTCATCGTTATTCTTCTTTCTAAAGAAACGACGACGTTTTGATTTATCATCTACCTACTAGATATGTGTTTGAGATTAACTGAAATTTTTTCCCCAATTGTAAATTGACTTGCCAAAAAAGGGTTAAACTTATTTGTACTTTTTTTGGTAAATGAGTCTTATTCACAAATGATTATATCGTTGCTATAGCGAGAGAAAAATTAGATCATTCAGGGAAAAATTATATTACATGTGTGTATGATGACCTGTGTGTGTGACTTTTCAGATGACAAGTAATAAATTGTTGTTTTCTTTTTCTCTTGTTTTTCTCTTTCGTTTCGTTTTTTCTGAATACCACAATTACATTATTGAATTGGATCTCTACGCATTGATAATTGTATCATCATAAAAGGCAATTGGATCTCGTTCATTGATAAAAGCATTGGAAATGAAACGTGATTCATTACGAGAACAATATCGTAATATGATACGTGAAAAAAAAATTGAACTCGAAAGGTTTGTTACATTTTCTTTTTGGTTTCAGTATTTGCTATTTATATTCCAAAAAATCAGTATTTAGGGGCTCATTCATCAATTATAATAATTCATGGATAAGCTTGACCCTCATAATCATATTGATTATATAATAATTATGCAAAGAAATTTTTTTCCATCCATTCATTCGAACCATAAACCTTCTTCAGTGGTTTTTATCATTTATTTTTGCAAGACTAAAATCAAAAATTCCACAAAGCCGAAAAAAGCTAAATCATGAAACTTTAGTTTTTATTAAAAAAAAATAGAAAAAAAATTTAAAACAAGAAGTCACGAATTGTTCAACGAGTACTCGAATCATATCGTTCCTTCCTTGGTCAAAATTAGAATTTTATTATTTTTCCCCAACTACTTTTCACTGAACTTCAATTGAAGAAACTTTTTTGCGAATTTCGAGTGCCAAGAAAAACCTGAAAATTTTTGAAACTTTTCTTCTTTTTTTTCTTAAATTCAGCGTTTGTATGTGTGTGGTGTGTTTTTGCAAGTCAATATAAACTATTTTTATGATTCGCTTCACCGGATTTTCAACATAGCCATTGTTCGAATTCTATGAATCAATGGCATTGATGCCAGCAGAGTGAGAGAGAAAGAAAAAATTGGAATTCAAATCAGAATTTCAATGAAAAAATTCCATATAGGATTTAGTTTCGTTGATTCTTTGATTTGATTTGATTTTTCTGATTAAATTCGAATTGATCTTTATTCATTTGAATTCATATATGATACTAATCTTAAATCTTATTTCATTTTCATTATTATTTGAATGGCCATTTTTTCATCTCCTTTTTGTGGATGATATTATACGACTTATATTGATAATATTGATTCAAACAACAAACAAAACAAAACCTATTGAAGGATGCAATTAGAGCATGAATTATTACGGCAAGAAGAATTGAAACAACAGAATCTATTAGGTATCCTACGACAATTGAAACGATGAATGGTATGAATCTTTCCTTTTTGAATTACTTTTTTATTTCATTTCATTTTCTTCTATAGATAAGAGATAAGAGATCGGAATCAAAAGATCCATAAACTTTCAACAACAAAATAGAAAAGACATTCATGTTCTATTCATGATGATAACTGATGGCAATATTAAAAAAATTTATTGATGAATAAAATTGATTTTTGAAACAAGAAAAAGAATTCGTGAATCACTGAGTTTATGAATAATGATTTCGTAATTTTTTTTTGGTTCCAGGAGATGTTACAGAAGATATAGTCTGTGTGGTAAGTTATTATTATATAGATAGATTAGCAATTAACTAATTAATTAATATTCTTTGTATATATTTTTTTTCTCTCTCTCTCTCACACACACACACACACACAAAACTTGGTAATTAACAATATAAACCAAAAAGCAAAAAAGTTATTGTGATTTGGTTTTTGTCTTGTCTCTTTATATATGGTTCATTCATTCATTTATTGTCTGCTTTGTTTCATCAGATTGTTCGCGTTTGGAATCTGTTATGGTCCCGTAGGCATCAAATTTCACAAACGACGACGATATGGGCGGCGAACCGAAACGAAATGAAACTGTGAGCAAAAAACCAAGAGTAGCAGATTGAGTAAATCAAATCTAGAAAGCAAGAAGAAAGCAGAAGAACTGAAAAAATCAGCGTTGATGATCATAGAAATTGACTCAATGAATGAATGAGGATGTTTTCATCGGATATGACCGTAAAAAAAAAAAAAAAAATTGGGGTTATTAATCGTTAAATTTGTTGTCGTTTAATTTTTCATTACATTAACACAGCTTTAATGCTACTGCTTTTGGAACAACCGAAAATGATGAAACAAAGTTCATTAAATGTGAGTATATGAAACACTGGTGGGTATGTGAAACATGTGAAAAGAAAAGACAATTTATGAAACAAATATGAAATATGAGATATAATAAATAAGAATGACTGAATGAAAGAGTGAAAAGTTGAATATTTTTCTTTATGGATTTTCTTAAATTTTTTTCTATTCTTTAAAAAAAATTTATGGATAGTGACAGCTTTTATCGTTTTTTTCGTTTTGTTTTGCCATATATATTCATATTCATCATTAATTAAGGTTTAGTTTTTTTTTGAAAATCTCAAGAGATCAAAGAATTTTTGTTCACATTCATTTTTTTTTTATCAGATTAACCGAAGCAATATTTTTCTGATCCTGATAAGAACAATAAGAAACATTCATCCATCCATGACTAGATTTTTGAAGAATAATAATAATTTTTCAAATTCACACACGACGAAAAAAACAAAAACAGAACAGAAAAAATCCATCTTTCATTCATATTCGAATTCGATTTGGACTCTACTCGATTCTGGAAATTCTTGTATACTGCCCGTTTCTTTTCAATCACCATCATCATTATCATTATTATTTGTCATCCAATCTTTCGATGAGTAATTTTGTTCACAAATACATCATCAAAATGTACATTCCTCTTTGTATTTTGATTCATTTCAAACTTTTTTTTCAACGACAACAACGACCAAAAGAATATCGATTTTTCGTGAGCAATTTTTGCTACAAAATCACCAACACCGAATGAATACAATTCATATTCATTCAGGCGAATAACATGGATTGTATGTACGAATGAAGTAGAATTTGTTATTGTCATCATCAATGGATGTTGATTTTTTGGGTGAGTACATATTCTATGTAATAATATTTTGGCCTTTAAAATCAAATCAATTTTTTTTCTCCTTGTGAATATATTACTGGGAAAACATCTAGAATTCAAATAGAGAATCGTATCATCGATAAATACGATGATGATGGACATTATATCCATATGGCATGGTGAGTATAAATATCTATTCTGGTTGTTTTTTCATTCTTTTTTTATCAAACAAAAACCAGACTTCAATGAGTTATCTATGCAGATAGATGGTGGTTTGAAAACGAAAATTGACGGTTAGCCGGATGAGATACAATTTCAATCAAAAACGAAAAACAATATTGATCCAGTAAAAGCAGTCCAAGTCGATCGTTGTTTTTTCTGCAATTTCGCCATTGTTTTGTTTTTTCTTCTATTCGAGTTTTTGAAATGCTGAAAATGTAATTCTTGTTCGAGAAAGAAAAAACCGGTCTCCAGCATCACATGATGAACCATCGATTTTAAAAACATTCATCGATCCACAATCGATTTGAAAAAGAGACCAAGAAAAGAATAACGAGAACGCATGAAGAGCAAACCATTGAAAGTTTTTGACACCATTTTTCAAGAGCGAAAATTACGACGATCGAACACCAATCATCAACATCAATTTTTGATGATCGTTTGTGAAAAAAATAATGAATCATGGGTTTTTTGTCGTTTTGAAATCAAAATCAAAAAAATGAAAAAGAAATTCCCAAAACAAACATGGATGATGAACAATTAAATTTTTGAATGAAGAAAAAAAAGAGAAAATCTTTCTCTTTTTCCATTTCCTATATTCCATCACCACCATCATCATGATCATTATTCTTAGATCGAACTTTATTTTCAACTGATAATTGGCGTGTATACGCGATTGAAAAATGAAAAAAGAAATTTCTCGTCAATCGTTCAAGTATAGTAGTGATAATAATAATGGCCAATGTTCAATGAAAAAGTGCTACAAAATTCCAATAATCATCAGTTGTTCAGTAACAAAGTCCATTTTTTCGCTATTCTTTCGTCCATAGCACACCATCATCATCATTTTTTCATTTCAGTCATCATCGTAGACCATAAACGGTTCGAAAAAATGAATCTTTTTTTCTCTCATTCTAATCGTTGTTGTTTTCTTGTTTGTTGTGTTGTTGGAACGATCCGAACATTATATCAAAAAAACTACCTCCCCCGAAAAAAAACAACAGAGGCACAATGTACAATAACCGAAAGAAAATTTTCCCGATGATTTTGTTTTCCATCATATCATCTTTTTTTGGAAACGATGAAATAGCTTCATAGTCCATTGAATTTTTTTTCGTTGTGGGATGGATCGTTTTTCACGATCAGTGAATGAAACATAAACAACAACAATAACAACGATAATAATTTTTTCTTTTTTTCTTTCTTCAAATACCAATGTGCACACACAAATATTTTGCTATCATTCATTCATCTTCCAGTTGATTTTTTTTTTTTTTTGATTATCGATTCTCCCCATTCTAAAAAGTCTGGATGGGAATGAAAACATCATGGCTTTAGTATGGAATATCAACAACAAATCAACATACCTGAAAGCTAATCGAACGTTAGAGAGCTTGATTAAAATGGAATGAAATTTGTTCCCCGTCATGTAGCATCGCGAAAAAATCAAAGGAGTTGTCCATATCGGTAATTCAATTTATTGCACAAAAATGCCGGAATCATTATCGCATCTATCGATGATGATGATTCTTTTTATATGACCATAATTCTTGTTATTCATTTTTTGTTTGTTTGTGTTTGTTGAATGTAGCGAAATTATACCTACATACAATAGATAGTTGTTGTTGTTATCTGCATAATCTTCCGGTGAATATTATTCTTGATTCATCAATTTGAATTATTTATGAATACCCACACGCAAACCAAACCAAACGAAGCGATGGAAAAAAATTTGAATTATTCCATTGCCCACAAAAAAGTAAGAATAGTATGTATACATGTTTGCCACATTTTTCTTGCATGCATATAACACCATTCATATTCATATTCGATATTTTCATTTTCATTTCCATTCCTCAGGGTTATAAATAAATAATGTAACATAAGATTGCATGTTGTTAACATTTCTATCGATATATAATGATCACATCATACGTTTTCAAAATATTTTCTTATTAACAGTGAAAATGTTAGAGTGTTTTGTCTACAAATATATGAAAATTATCATCAACATATATGATCATGCTACATCGTGTTTTGGGTGTTGATTTGTTGAGAAATGAAAAAAACAAAAATTTCTTTATCAAGTCAAATCATTGAATCTTCGCTTCTGTTTTATATCATTCAGATGACCGATGATGGTGGTGATGATTGCTACGCAGAAACTTATCTTTATATAATTCATGTGTTCTATTTTTTTTACCCCATCCGATTCGCGAATCCAAAAACAGCAATAACAACAACAATGAACATATATTTTTCTCTTTACACGCAGACGGTAAGTGCGTATAAATAAATGTGATGTGATGATTATTTATGATTCTTATGACTATTGTAATGATTTCTAAGCCATTCATTCTCACTATAGCCATCATTACCAGGTTTTCTTTTTTTACTCACTTTCTAGTACTTCATGGTTCACTTGATTTTATCTAATACATTGTTGTTCATTGAACAACAGAGAAAGAATTGGTAAAAGAAACATTTTACAGAACATTTTTTTCTTTGTTTTCGTTTTGTATTCTTTCTTCCTTGCAGATAATATTCGAATTTATACATCAACATCCACATAACAATTCTGTGCTGTGACTGCAAACAAACAAACATATTTGGAAAAAAGGCAAGGTAACAATCAATTATGATTATGTTTGTCTTGTTGTTCGATTACGCAACACTAAACAAGACAAAAAGACTCGCCCTGTATAAAGTGGATGAACCACAAACCAAAGAAAAAACATGTCGATCCATTAGTCCATAGAACATATTTATAAATAAATAAACAAATCAAGTCCGAACCATTCGGTGAAGCAAACATCAAAACATGATTCTGAATTCGTATTCGAATACAAAGTAAGCTTAATCCATTAATAATGAACGATTCATACGTGTTTGTCTATGTGTCCGTCTGTGTGTGTTTCCGTAATTTTTTTATTCGATTTCTTTGTTCCAACAATTTAATCGATTCATTGATGATTAGGAGAGATAGAAGTTTTTATGCACAGTTTTCATCTGTTTATTAATATGATCGAATGATGAATCGTAGCCATTTTCTCTGTAACCTTCCATAAATTAGAATTAGGTTTATTAATTTACAAAAAAAAAAATGAATGTCAAAACAGAATTTACAATTATTTGAATACAGACAAAGATAAAATTATTTACATATAATATCCAAGAGAAAACGTCTGCTACTCTGTCTAGGTCAACAAATACTTATCACCAAGTATCATTCTCGAAATTCTTCCACGTTGGCAACCTTGAAACTGATCATCCTTACATACAAAAGAAAATGATGTTTGTCATCGTAATGCCATATCAGATGTAATCATCATTAATGTATTTGTTCCAGAAGCAGCAGCGGCTGTTGATATTGTTTCCGATGTAGCCGATCCTGATGATGATGATGATGAGGTTGTCGTTGTTGTTGTTGAACAAATCATTGGCACTAATGTTTCATAGTTGGCACGTGATGATGATGAATAATTTGTCGAACCAGATGATGATGATGCCGAAGCTGTTGCTACCGTTGCTGTAATACCAATATCATCAACCTAAATGTAGGGAAAAGAATTGTATTCTTACTAAATGATTTTATGTGGAATTACCTTTTGACCATAATTAAAACAACCACCACCAACCACACCGTTACCGTTAATCAATTTGGCTGTTGCATATAACGGTTCAGTCACATTGGTGCGTTGTCCATAGATTATCATACCAGATTGTTGTTTTGGCTGTGAGACAGGTAATACATCATATGGTAAGGCATAATTTCCTGATTGACCAACAACACGTTTCTGTGATGGTTGCGGTTGTTGTATATATCCATTGTTATTATTATTTGTAGAGTTATTTAAAAATGATTGTAATTCAACCAAATCTTTGGCCATTGCTTTTGACTGTTGATGTCTAGGCGACCTGATATAAGAAAATAAATAAATCAAAAAATAAAAAATGAAAATTTAATATGATTATCATTCAAAACACACATGGCAAGAACGAATGGTGATTGTTGGACAACATAAAGATAGATATTATAAATGTTTAATGATAATACGCAATCAACATTAAATTATTATTAGCCACGCAGCTATGATTGAGTTACTAATCTTTCTATATATATGAAAAAGCTTTTTCTTCGTTCTAGTAACCACATCATCATTTTCATTGGGTAAGTGGAAACCAAAGAAAAAGAAAATCATAAGAGATTCATCACAATTTATATAATTGCAATATCGTCCAATTTATATGAGTATGTGGTTTTGATATGTTTGAATTTTGATCTGGTGTAATAAGAGAATACATACATTAATGTAAGTTGATGATGATGGCGATGATGTAGATGTGAATGATTATTATTACGTAATTGTTGTTGTTGTTGTTCACATTGATTAATCAATGATGTTGGTTCACTATCGATACATCGATTATCATAATCACCTAAACCAATACCAATAACATGGCCATTTGTAATTTGATGACCATCATTAGTGGTTGTTAATATTGTTGATGAATCTGATTGATGACCAGCACCACCATTCATGTGATGTAAACCATCCATAATGGTTATTGAACTAGAACGAACCAATTCTTTTAATATTGACATTTCTTGTTGTTGTTGTATATCATTTGGATCATTCGAATTATGATGGTGGTGATGATGATGATGTGGATGATGGAAAGGCACTTTATTCTCCGATGATGATGTTGCTAAGTTTGTTTGAAAAATTAGATGGATGAGAATCAAACTAAACCAAATCGTAAAACTTACATGGATGTCTTTGTCTTTGATGGCCAATTGGCTGTAAAAATAATGAATGATGATCACGTGAGCAAAGAAAACATGCAACAGCTACAATAACAATGACAACAATCAATGATGATATCACCGGTAATAATATTTCATAATCGGCGAATGAAATTTCATTCGTTGATGATGGCATTGGTGGATAGGCGATTGATGCAATTTTTGAATTTTCAAAACCAATTTTGTTTAAAAATGATGAATCTGTTTTCAATGCAATTGGGACAATTCAAATGATTATTATAATTCAGATTGAATAGAATATTAGCAAGCAATATATAATTAAACAATTAATTGATACTTTTGAATAACCATTGAAAATATATCAAAATGAATCAAAATGAAATGGACACATACCGCCATTTGTAATGTTGGGCGTAATAAATTGATGGATCACTTGTGTCGAACCGGCTGATGAATGAGCTGTTATTTCGATTTCATATGCTGTACTGGGCGTCAATTTTCGTAGTAAAAAATTTTCACGAGGATTATGTTGCATAGCTAATATGGACCAGCTTGGATTTGACATTGTTGACGATGATGATGATGATGGGTGTTGCTGTTGTTGTTGCTGTAAGGCACTTGATGGTGGCTGTGACTTTGATGGTGAGGGCCGAATACGTAATGTAAAATGATTGATTGGACATTCGTTATTTTTCCAATTGACCAGATTGACAATAATGGCTGGAATCGCTGAACCACCACCACCACCACCACCACTGCCAACCACGACATTACCATATGGTCCACCACCAGCAATAGTTTCACTTATTAAACTATTTCTTGGTGGTGGTGTTGGAGCTTCACCTCTTGTACGTGCAATTAATGGTGTACTTGGTTCAGATTTACCAACAGAATTATGTGCTGTAGCGAAAAATTCATATGAACGTCCACACTCCAAACCGGTAACAGTATGACGACCATTTGGTTCAAGTATGGATATATCATGCCAGTTATTTGATATTATCATTGATTGTTGTCCATTATTATTATTATTATTCATTGAATGGTGTAAGATTTTAGCACCAGGTGCAAATGGATGGTCAACCATATTCGTCGATGAAGATGATAATGATGATGATAATGGTTGATATGAACGATAATAAAGAGTTAAATCATTCGATGACGAACTAGTTGTTCGCGAATTACTACCACCACCATATGTAGCTGATGACCAGGATATTGTTATCGAATCACTTGTAGATGAATGTAAACGTAATAATGGTGCACTTGGTGGTACATCAGCTAATGTTTGTACGGACACAACTTCGGACCGTGGTCCAGTACCACGTGTATTGAATGCTTGTACCCATGCTTTATAAATGGTTGATCGATGTAGATTAGTTATATGCGATTCATGACGGCCATTCATCTGTACATTTTCAATTGTTTTATATAGATCGGTATCGGATTTTTCGGCACGATAACCAATATAATAACCACTAATTTCACCATTCCATTCGGATTTTTTTGGTGCCTTTGAGAAAAAGAATAAAAAATTTTCATTTCAAAATAAATAAATATATGGTCTGTTTTTTTAGCGTTTGTGGTTCATACCTTCCAGGTTATTTTAACTGAATTTGGTCCAGTTGGTGTGGCCATTACATCGATTGGTGGACTTTCTGGTGCACTTTGTTCAGTTCGAAAACGCATCCATTTCGAATAATCACTTTGTCCCAAACGATTTACAGCTGCAATACGAATTTGATATAACGAATTTGAACGTAGATCACTGATAATTGTTTGTCGTAATGATCCATTGGAAATGATTTTTTCGATCGGCATGGTTATTGTTTGAATTGCAGTTGTTGTTGTTGTTGTTGTCATTGTTTGATCGTCATTATCATCATTATTATGATTACGATTATTAATCGATGTTGATGATTCGGTTGATGTTATATCATTATGATGATGAACAATTAGACGATATTGAACCACATATTTAACAATGATAGAATTTCCGTTAAATGATTCATGCCAACGTATTTCCGCTTTTGATTCAGTCACGTTTGTAATGGAAAACTCATCAGGAACATCGGGTTTTTCTTTTCATTACGATAATCGTCATCAGGATTCAACAAAAAATAAAAAGAAAAAATCAAAAATTAAAGCGAACAAAAAACAATTAAGCTAATAGCGTTAACAAAAATATTATGCCGAATTAGACAACAAATAAATGAATGAAAAGACAAAAATAGCCACCATAGACAATGAAAGTTTTGTGGAAAAAAAGGACAAATAACACAGCCAACAACAGACGGACAGTATTTGTTTCGAAAGAAAACATTTCAATCATGCACGCAGCTATAACGAAAACAGAAAACAAAATCACTACTACCACCATACTCGGAAATGAATTCGAACGGAATTTCCGAATCAAAAAAGAATTTTTTTCTCTTTCTTTTTTTGCCTTTGTCAGCAAAATTTGGTCAATTTTTCGATCATCTTTTCCGGTGTGTCTGCATGCATAGAACGCCTTGAATATCGATTGGAAAAATATTTCATCAAGACCGGATATATGCATGTATGGACACAATTGTAAAGTATTGGATAAAATTCACAAACGACGTTACTTGATGAAACATTTGAATTACAAATCACTGATTATCTTGGTGATATGTTATGATGATGATTCCTTATTCTTTACTCGAATCCAAATAAAAAACTTTCAATAAAGGCAACGACGACAATAATTTAGCTAAATACAAATTATTATTGGCGAAGAAATGGTTAATGAAAACTAACAATCTCTCTTCAACCCTGATAAACATATGAAAAGAGAGAGAGAGAATATTCATGAATGAATGGTAAAATACCGGCTGTTTCTGAATATTTCTATATTTTCGTTTCGTCAATAATTTCCTAGCCTTCGATTAGTTGTTAGTGTTTATTGGCTGTGTCATGACAATCCATTTGATTCAACAATATTAACGTTGGCAGGAGAGAGAACGAGAGAGATGAAAATACGAATCCAAAATGTCGTTTCAAAAAAGACCGGGATAAAAAACTACTGACTTTTTTATTCTCGATTCTAGTTCTAGGACTATCCAATTCTAATTTGTTTTTTCCTCTCTTTCTCATTGGTTCATTCTATTGTCATTATTATCATTTTTCGTTGTTCAAATCTCTAGAATCTTGTGTAAGCACAATTATATTCGAATGAAAATGAATGAAATGAAAGACATACACACACACACATTCATTTAGGCTATCTTGGTTATCGTATGTGTTCCCATTACGTCATCATTATTTGTCACGCACTGGTAATAATAATTAAAGGTTCAATTTCATCATTTGTTTGTGTGTGTGTGTGTGTGGTGTGTGGCGGGTGGGGGTGAAAAAAAAGAAACGAAATTTCAAAGAACAAAGAAAATGAAGAGCCCGTTGAGTGAGTGAGAGAGAAAGAGAAAAAAGAAGTGAGAATGAATGAGAAATTCTACCACATTCACCAGTTCTTGTTGTTATTTTTTCGGATCGATCCGATCCCGTATTCAACAAACGAAATTCATAGAACGGGAAAGAATAAACACTTTTTTCTTTTGAATGAATGAGACCCGTATTTATTTCGGAATTTTTTTTCACTCAATTTGATGTGATTCTATTTTAATTCGTTTCGATTATCATCATCATCAATGATTTGGCCTATCTGGTAATGATTATGAAAAATTGAAATTAGCTTGAAATTCTATCTGTCATCATCATTTTGATAATGGTATGATTTCTTTTTATTGCAATAATGAGAATATAAATCTCCAAGGTCCAATTTTTTCGAAATTTCGAAACAGATTCATTTCATTTTCACATTTCAACTTTGTCAATCAATGAGATTGATTAGACTTTATTCGAGAAGAAAATGGAATAATGAAAGAGAAAAAACATTTCACAAATTTGGCAAAAAGAATTTCGCTTGTTGTATGGACATGGCAATTATTTATCATTTTAAAATATCCGGATCAAAAAGAAAGAAAAATTCAACTGGGAATCCTATTAGAGGATCGACTACTACAACTGCAATTTGTATGACCCAGAAATATGTTTTTAAATTTTTGACAAAAATATCCAGACTCATAATAATGATGATAAATAAGAAGATTAAAATTGACAAGCGAAAGAGAGAAAGAAATGAAATGATACACACACACAGAGAGAGAGAGACATACCTTTCACAATGAGACGAATTTTCATCTCAGCCCAACCATATTCATTACTTGCTTTACATTGAAATATACGAGAATCATCACGTGTTGGTTTACGTATTGTCAATACTGACACAATTAAATGATTCAATGTTGACGATGGCGATTCTTGATCCACTAGTTCGAAATTACCAATCAAATTATCATCTATTGAGTCGAATAATTCATCATCGTCATTATTATTATCGTTGTTGTTGTTATTTTGATTAGCGTTTCGTTCGTCATTTGAGAGAAATTTCGATGAAATTTCCTTGATTCTATTGAAAAAATGTCCATTAATTGGTGGATTTCTAGAAAATTTAAATTGATAATTCTGACTTACTCGAATAGATATTTATCATTGAAATTATCATTAGCATTTAATGATATTTTTCCACGATGTTGATTATCACGCTTTGAATCTAATGATGAATCTAGATTCAAATGTGTACTATTCAATAGGAACCATTCCATATGTATTGGATGATCACCTTCGGGTGGACATATCAATCGTACTGGTTTATCTTTATATGCTGATTGTGTTATTGTTGACAATGTAAATCTTGGTGGTTCTATTTGCAATTTTTGTTGTTAATTAATTTCAAGTTTTTTGAAAAAATAAATTTTCCACTTACCATTAACTTTGAGATGTATTAATTTTCCAATATCAGAACCATATCCATTAGTTGATTGACAAATATAAGGACCAGATTGTTGTTGTGTTGCCGATTTAATTGTTAGTGAGCCATTTGAATGTAGATAATAATGTACAGCATTATAAATGGGTACATACTCCCAAGGGCTGGAACCTTGTTTGTTTGGAAAAAAGAAAAGCAAAGAAAAAAAATCAAGTTATTTAATCAAATTGATGACAAAAACGTGTGTCAATCAAATCGAATCGATCAATTAATCAAATTTCAAGTGGAGAATTGATAAAAATTCATCAATTATACTTGAATTGTTTTCAAATATTAATGATACATTTTCATCCTGAAAGAAACAAAATGGAAAAATATGATTTCAACAATAGCAAAAAAAAATCATAACTTGGTGCTTAGACGTGCTCGAATATTAATTCTGTTTTCAATCGCAAATAAACAACAACGACAACAATGTGTGTCATTAAGAAGAAATCAGCATGTCCATGAACCATTTGGCCAATCATCATTACTTATAATCATTAACAACTCACTGATGATGATGGTGAAGAATTTGTTAAAAAAAACCGATCCAACAAACGTATGGACCATGTTATGTACAATTCTTTTTGTTGTTATTCTTGTTTCGAACACACAGTGGCAACTGGCCACAGCCACCACGAAGGATATAATAATCTCACTCATGTATGTTTATCACAGTTTTTTTTCTTTGTATTTGCAACATCATAACATCATCAACCATATAGAATTGTAGTTTTGCTGACCTATTCAAAGCAATCTCATCATCATTATTTGGGGGTTTTACAATGAAAACAAAAATGAATCGAAATTGAACAAGCAATGAGAAACTTATATATCGATCGAAAAGGAAAAAACAAATCGAATCGATTCAAACATCATCAACATTGGTTATTAATCTAATAGTATGTATGACGATGATGATCTATCGACATTCATCCATTCATTCATTCAGAGTCCAATTGAATTGAATCGAAGAAAAAAACTTGGCAAAAGGATATATTGATTTGTATTATTATTCTAGGGAAAATTGAGAGAAAAAACGAAACGAAACGAAACTGGTGAACAAGTATTGATTACATTATTGTTGTTGTTGTTGTTCGTTATTTGGTTCTTGAATTTTTTTCCACACATACATCGAGAGAGATCCGGAACTTTTGTAAGAAAATGCACCAAGAAGTGAAAAAAATATATAAATTATTCGTGAATAAAGAACTTGTTTTTTGTTTTGTTTTGTTTGTTTCGAGGAAGATCAATTGATCAGATTGATTATCAATATCTGCGATTTGTTGTTGTTGTTGTTTTGTTTGCATCTTCAAGCAGTCCGAATGAATTTCGGTTTTCATCATCATCATTTTCACTATTGATCCAAAAAAAAAAAATAAAAATAATTTCAAGAATCTTCAGCCTTTCATCATCAACCAGAACAACAAAAGAAACATAAAAATGAATGTTATATAACAACATAAAATAGATTGAATAGAATCAGAAAGAGAACATTTGAATTGAATAATAATATCAAGAATATACGAGAATAAAAAAAATGATGAAATTCTTGAATCATGATGATGATGATGATGATTGGGTTTCTTCTTTCATTACTTGTCTGTCTGTCCGACTGAATGACTGACTGACTGGATAACTGGATTCTTTTATTTCTCATTTCTACATTCATTCAATTACGTTGGAGAAAATGAAATTGAAAAAGAATCGCATATCAAATAAATTGCTACAGCAGATTTCTTTGCAGACACGTTTTTGACGTTCATTTTTGTTGTTTGGTCGATTAAAGTTTTTTTTTGCTTAAATTGCTTTGATTCATTTCATTTTCATTATTATTATCGTTTTTTATTGTTTGGTGAATGAGTTTTTCTCACTTTTTTTCAAATGATGATGATCATCGTCATATTGATGATCGATAATGATTCTAAGGGATTCTTTTCATTTCTTTTCAATTCAAAGAAATACATTCGAAGAAACGGTAAAAAAAATTCTTTTTTGAAACAATTTCTACGGTGGGTTTGTATTTTTTCGTTTATTTTCATTTCCATCATCTATTGGATGTGTTTCTTTTGTGTTAATTTTTTTTATTCATTTCATTCATTTTTACTCATGAGATAACTGGCATTATAATTTTAATTAAATACTCGTCATTCTGTGAAAAACTAGAGAAACAATGTTCCATTGATTAGTGAAACAAAAGAGAGAAAAATGACCAGATATTCTTTAGATGAAAACAAAAACAAAAAAAAAGAGAAATTCTGGAAAAAAAAAATTCAACCGATTTTGTGGCAGCCATTATTGTTTCTTTCTTTTCATCAAAATCAAAACAAGAGAATAAAACTCAACAATTTTGCCGTCTGACAGAAAAAAAATGTTCAAATTTTTTCTTATATCTAAAGACAAGTTGTTTGGAGAGAAAAAACAGTTTTTTCCAATCATTTTTTTTCGTTGATTCTCACCATACAACACACACACACACAAATCAAATCCGAGAGAAAGAGAAAAAAATCGATATCTACAACAAATGATGATGATGATATGATTTCGATTCTGATATCATCATCAAACTCTCTTCGATACAGAATTTCTTGCATCATTCAATCACGAAAAATAATAACATAGAATGCTGTGAAAATAAATCTAGAAAAACAAGATTTGCCCACAAAGTAGAGTTTTTATTTTCATTTTTTCTACTTCAAATGATGATGATTCAAACTTTTTTGTTTTTGATTATGGACTAGTTGCAAAGTTTTCAATCATGAAATCATGAAAAATTTTTGAAAATTGAAATTCAATATTTTTCTTTTGTTTCTTATAGTTGTTGCCACAAAAAAGAGCATAATCACACAAATTTTTTTTCTCTCTCGTGATTCTGATTCTATAATTTTGTCATCATTATTCTATTGGATTGGTTCTGATTTATATTTATTTATTTCCTTCACAGAAGAAAGTGTTGATAGTGGCGGTATTATCGACATATCGATGTATATTGACATTTAGAATTTAGTTTGTCGATTCAAGTTTTTTCTTTTTGATTTTCGCATTTTCATTTTTTCATGCTGCCACCACTGGATTATTACTGGATTATTCGTTCATTCAATAAGACATTTCGAGATATCTTGAAAACTTGATCCGATTCCAATGAAGAAGAAAAACGAGATTACTACTACAACAATAACATTATATGTTCATTCATAAGACATAATTGGATCATCATCATTCTCTTTTTTTCTGTAACAAATATGATTCACAGTCGTTATCATCAGTATTGCAGCATCATTTTCGAGTGGATCAAACCAACAAGAAAACCAGCAAGCAATCCAAAGATTGAAAATGAAAAGAGAAATTCCATTTGTGGATACAAATAAATTCTTTCAGGAACAAATGATTTTCGATTACAGTTTGATTCGCTTTGAAAGTGCTAATTTAGTAGTGTTGTTGTTGGACTAACTTGCTACGCTTTTCACTAGGTTTTGGATGGTGATTTCATTTCATTTCATTTCATTTTTTTCGTTTACGCCTGATTGCTACTTGACAAAAAAAAGTCAATAGTGATTCGAAAACACACACACACACACAACCACGACGACGACATCAACAATCATCATCATCATCATCAAGTTGATGATTGGTCATCGTTGTAGAGTTTCAATGAAATCAAGATTATGAATCGATTCATTCTCTCTCTCTCTCTCTCTGTGTGTGTGTGTGTTCTCCGCCTGTGATTGTCGAATGTACAAATCTATTTTTTGTTTCATTTCTAGAATTCTGAACTATTACACACACACTCCCACTGTTATTATCATTATTAAACACTGGTATTATTTTTTCGGGTTTCATGCATGTACTGAGGAGAATGGGAGCCATAGAAAAAAAAAGAAAAACATAGGTCTTGAGATTGAATACAGTACACAGTATCCAGTTCAGATTTAGGTTTAGGTTTCAACTCAGTCATTTTCCCATTATAACTATCGGTTATTTTTTTTTTTTTTTTGTTTGTTATGCCATGATAGCAATAGGCAATGAATGAATGAATCTTTTTTCCTGGATGCAGAATGTCTTTTTATTTGACTTTTTTTTTCTTCATCACCATGATCATCATCGCGCACTTATAATAAACACAACACACATATAAATTATGGCCAAGAAAACAGGAGAGTGGACTTTATATATAAAGTAAAGTTCCAAGAAGAAAAAAATGAATCATTTATACCGATGGGGCCAAACTTTTGTTCATTCTTCATTCATTCGGTATCTACTTTTTTTCACAAAAAGAAAATTTTCCCGTTTTTTTCAAATCTTAGGATATAAAAAAAGAATCTTTGAAAAAAATTGTGAGATGAGAAACACACACACAGATAAAAGTTGAAGGCGGGTTTCATGTTTGCTTTTTTTCTCCGTTTTGTTAAAAAAAATAAATATATTTTTTTCATATTTTTTTTCATCACATCGAAGCTTTCTTTCTCATTTTTTTTCTTCTTCCTTAAAAAAGTTCACAGAAAAAAAGTTAATAATAATACCGGACTTTTGAGAAAAAAAAATAACTTTTTTTGTTGTTATTGTTATGTGTGAAAAATAAGGTTAGGCTCATAAGAATATTCTTTATAATCATAAAATTGTGTTTCAATCTCTCTCTCTTTCTTTGTTGGCTTTTTACAAATTTTAAGCCAATATTTCATACAATTTGATTCAAGAAGAAATCAAAAGAATTGATTCCAGACAAAGTTCAACTTGGTGGTGATAAAGATTTAGCCCATTGCAACGAAAACGAAACGAAAATTTCAAATTCATATCAATTCAAATGGTGAAACAAATTGTGAGATGGATGGATATAAATTTAAAGAAACAAATTAAAAAATAAAAAACTGGAAAGCAATTTCAAAAAAAAGAAAGAAAGAAACTTTTCATTTTGAAATTATTGTTGTTGTTGTCATTGTGATGTGAACACATATAGACACAAAAAAAGAGACGAAATTAAATTCTCATCCAAAGAAACTACCAACTACTGTGCCTGGTTTGTGTGTATTTAATCTCAATTCTTTTCAACAACAACGCACACACATACAGACAGTATGTGAAAGTTTACATCTCGATTACATACAAGTATAAAGTGTGTGCATCGTTGAATTTCAATTAAACTTTGGAAAGAAAAAATTCTAAATTCTTTTCTTTCTTTCTCTCATATCTGTAGGTAAGTGATTGTTAAGGCTCAACAGCAACAAAAAAAAACGGAAACTTTTGTCAAGAGAAAAATATCAACTTACCTATGGCACGTTTCCATGTGGTAAATGGTTTTGGTGAACCTGATGCCAGACAATCAATTTTGACGGATTGATGAAGAATTACTTGCGTGTCTTTTGGTTCAATTAGCCATTGCGGTGGCGCTACAAGAATGTGATTTAAACAAATTTAACAAAATTATTATGTAAGCAATCAATGTGGATTCGAGACAAACAAACAATTTTCAAGGAATATCGTTTGTGTTTGCGGATATTATTCATGTTCAACAAAACAAACATTTATTTTGCCATTTCAGCATCATTTCACTTGTGCATGTTTTTTTTGTTTTGTTTCGCAAGATTCGGCTTTTGGTGAAAAAAATTGTAGACTAAATTATAATTGTATTATCAGATGATATCTAAAAACTAAAAACAACACGACAATTCTGCTAGAATCATCAGCCGAAAAAAATGAATTTAAATTAGCTAGTGCAGAAATCGATGCCAATGTGAAAGGAAAAAAATTAATTAGCTTAGATTGTCTATGTTTAGATTGCAAAGTTTTTTTTTCGGTTTCGCGGATCAAACTTTGATTGATAATATTCATGTGATTATAATTGCTGTGAAAAAAGGAGAGAGAAAATTTTCTTGCCAAATCGACATTATTTTTTGTCGTAACTGCAGTTGAGTGGAAATCAAACTTTTTTTCTAATCATTTTCTGCTCTATGTTTGTATCATTTGATTGAAAAAACCACCCATATCGACAAAAACTTACCATTAACTTTGAGCAATGAACTTTGTGATGTTTTTGCTGCATCATTGGAAACCACGCAGGTTATATTGCCAGCATGTGATAATGTTAAACTGTCAACAGTAAGCATTGAATAATCACGAAAATGTTGTGTACGATAAATAGCACCAGTATCTTCGGTAGGTAAATCAGATTCAATACGATGACCATCTTGTGACCACAGAAAACGAAATGGTTGATCACCTTTCATTACTGAACACATTGCACGTGCTTTCATTCCAACTTGTAAATCAGCAGGAAATTCAAATGGTGCTACGTGTGGTGGATCTTTTTTTTGGAAAAACAAATGTTTAAAACAATAACCGAAAACACAGGAAAAACCAACTTACCCATCACTTTTAGATGAACAGTTGCACCATTTTTCATGATTAAATCTTTGTTATTGGATGATTGCGAAAATTTGTTTCCATTGTCCAATAAATGTTGTTGTTGTTCGTCTATAAAATAGCAATAATAGCTACCTTCATCCAGACGTTTCTGTGATGATTGTATAATCAACGTGCCATTTGTTTGTACATGTTGCCGATGATCATATGGTAGTATTGTATTTTCTGTTCAAATTAAAGTTTTTTTTAAAATTTTTGTTCAAAAAAACAAAACAAAACAAAAACAAAATAAATGTTCATTATCATCATCATTAGTCACACTAATTACGGATTCAAATCTCGCATTTTTTCGTCTGTGTTGTAATTTCGACTCAAAAAAATAAATAAATTTTTTTGAGTCGAAAACATGAAAAAACTTTTAAGCCTTTGATTTTTTTTTCTTCATTCTCGTTACTATTACTGATTCTTGTCTTGTAATGTTGTTGTTGTTGTTGCTTCAAGCGATTCTATATTCTGTCATTTGGAGAAAAAAAATTTGCATTTTTTCAAGTAAATTTTTAATATGTCCAATGTTCGTGTGTGTGTGTGTGTGTATTAAAATGAATTTTATCATCGGAACAAAAAAAACAAACGTTAATGTCAATGATGATTGGACCTTATTATTCTGAACTTTGGAATCTGATTTATTTGGAATTTTAGTATTAAAAAATCATGTTTCACATTCACATATCAGCAGAGAATCCCAGAGGCATTATCTATGGATAGAGATAGATGGTTAAAAGTTTAGAAAAAAAAATTTTCTCAAATCATCATCATGTTATTCTGTGTAGCATTTTTTTCATCAATACAAAGTGTAATTTAATTATATCGAAATTTTGTTGTTGTTGAAATTCACACATAACTGTGAATGAATGAATACATTTACAGAGATCAACAACAACAAAACAGAATTGAAATTTGAATTTTTTTTCTGTAATTCCATCATTAGAATTGATAATGATGATGATAGAGTAATGAGCGAGAATGAATTAAACATAGAAAACGGTCGAATAAATCGAAAAATTTTCTCTGTTCTCTGTTTGTTTGTTTGTTTGGATGAACAAATGTTAATGGTGAATGAACACAGATCTTTTTAATTAAAAGTTTTCATTCTATTTTTGTTGTTTTGTTTTGTATTTTGAAATTTTTTCATACCTTTTTGCCATTTGATTGGCATTATTACTGATGATGATGATGAGACAGAATTACTATTATCAATAACAGCAGCAGTATTGGCAGCAGATGAAGGCAAAAGTTTTTTATTTGTAATCATTTTGGATGGATCGATTAATGGACAAATAAGCTGTGCTTTTTGTCCACTAATTACAATAACCGCTGATGATGATGATGATGATGACGTCGATGATGAAGATGAAGGCTGATCCATTTGTAATTCGGCAAATTCTAATGATGGCGGTGGTGTTTCAACAACTGAATTTCAAAAAAAAGAAAAAAGAAAAATAGAACAAAATTAGGCAATGACAATGATAATAAATCAGAAAAGGGCAATTTTTGTCATCTTTGAATTTATTATTTTTTTAAAAAAATTCAAATTTAAATTCAAATATTCTTCTTATTATCATCAGGAAAGATTCATGACTTTATCACAGGATCATTCATATAATTCAAGACTGGATGTTAATAATTTGATTATATTTCTACGAAACAGAAACAGAAAAAATCGATTCACGAAAAGCAAAGACAATGAAATGCAAGAAGGCAAATTTTCTTTTATTACTTGGTGTGTGTTGTATGTATGCAAATTTCATCATGATTCATCATCATGATGTTTAGAAATCAAATATATGATGATGATGATGACGCTAGTTCATTGGTTTTTCGTTGACATAATAATGTGTGTGCGTTGAAAGAAATTACTAAAACGACAGCAGCTCGACTTGTGCCATCTGATATTTTTGGTTAAGATTTTTTCCAATTTTCAATCTCAATATGCTGTGTGTGTGTTTTGTGTATGCATATCAAAATGAACTCGACTCTTGTTGTTTTTTCACAAAACTGAATTTTCAATTTTGATTTTGCTTGGAGATCTACACAAGAGTGTAATGTGTGTGTCGCTAGGTTTCGATTTTTTTTTCATTTTGAGAAAGGGAAAAAAATTTTCATCGTCTCTATTTTTTTGTGGAAAAATGTCGTCATTCGTTGTTGTTGAAAATGCCATCTGGGAATCTTTTCATTTGTTCGGAGCTAGTCTGATGATGTGTGCAAAAATTGAATTGAATTAAATTCTCCTTTTGTCTTTTTCCGTTCGGTTCGAAATCGATACAAAATTAAATATCTATATATATATATATCCATCTCAATCAATTGTTTTTAATTACTTTATTTTCTCAATGATCAATGTCGATAATCGAAAGATCAATGTGTCTATGAGTGTGATAAGTGGAACAAAACGAAAAAAAAATTCGTTGATGATGATGTTGGAATTTCATTCTCTCTCTCTTGTTCACTCAAATTACCCGATTCAGTATACGACGATCCAGTACGAAGAAAGTAAAAGAGAAAAAAATTTCAAACACATTTTCTAACCTCCGATTGAATCGATAGATCCTTGTGTGTGTGTGTGATGAAGAAGAATTTGAAAAGATTGAATCAAAAGCAGCAGACAGAAAGCAGAATTGAAACTCCAGAATCAAGATAGATAGATAGACAGATGATAATTGAATCGAGAAAAAGACGAAAAAAAAATTGAAAGACTTTGTGTGTGTGTGTGTGTGAAAAGATTTCGGCCGCCACCGTCTTTTTAGAATTACACACGAGACGATGACGTGTTGACAGATCGTCGTCGCCGTCGAACAAAACGACTTTAAGAATGATGATTTCGACTTTTTCTCATTTCTCACTCTCTCCATTTGTCTGTTTGTGTGAGAAAAAAATTCACCGATCCAATCGTTGAAAATTGGAAAAACAAAAAAAAAATGAAATGAAAAGACACCAAAGATGAAACGAATGAATAAAATGGCAGAAAATCAAGATTCCTGATGATCTAATTTCAATCTATTGTATGTGAGTCGTAATTCAATCAATTCTATATTTATGTATGTATTCATTACATAATTTGAGGATATATTTTTTCTCTTTCTAATTTCCATAATTCTTTTTTTCCACAAAATAAATAATGATAATGTGATTTCTATATGGAATTTCGGTAATTTCAAAAAAAAAAATTGAATTTTCACAAAAAAAATTCAATTCTCATCATCGGTTTTTGTTTGTTAACTTTATAGCCACCATTTAAATGATGATGATGATGATAATTATCATTGTTCATCATGAGCAATTTCTGGTTCTATTTTTGTCGGGCAATAAAATAATCGTTCTTTCCTGTTCACATAATCCAAGAGAAAACGAAATATTGGCGGCCAGCTTTTTATTCATTACATTCATTCATAATATGAACACCATTATGATGATAATCACATGTGTGTTCCCAAGTGTGTTGCAAATATTTGGTAATACGGTAATAATAAATATATTCTATTCTATATAGAATTTAGAATTTCATTTTCACACACTACAACAATATTCTTGATTCTAAAAGGTCAGTAATAGTAGTAATCCAAATATCGAAATAATAGAAATACCGTACATGTCAGAAATGATTATGAAAATATTAACTAAAAATAATAACCGCAGCCAGTTCTTTTCTTTCGTTCTCTGGCCGGTTGTTAAATATTTCCGATGAAAATAATTCGGACAATTCGACTTTTTGTGCTTTTTGTCGTGGTTCACAAAATGAAAACGAATGAATAGATGATATCTAGCAGCAGCTTTCATTGTCAAAATGGTCATCACTTTAGCATCATGAAAAATGAATGAAGAGATTTAAACTGCTTGTGAAAAACATTATTCTCATTAATCGAAATTAACGAATCATAATGTTATTTTTGTGTTTTCATTTCTTGGTAATAAATTTTCATATAATCACATGGAGAATTACCGAAAAATCTCGTCATCAAATTAACCGAAAAAAAAATCATTTTCAAAACACGAGAGGAAACAACAAACAATCTTCTGACATTTATTCATTTTAGACGATGATGATTCACCAAAGGACCATCATCGGAGATTAATTTCGAAATTCCAATTTCAAAATCAATTTTTATCGATTTTCCTGAAACTGAAGAGCTGGAAATGGATTTTGTCATCAAATCAAATGACCAAATGATGGTTTGTTTTAATTAACGAAAAATAGCATTAAACATGTCGAATCTATAGATGAAATTATTTTTTTTTCACCGAAATCAATCAAATGAATGGATTTTTTTCCTTCTGGATTTCATTTATATTCATTGATTGATTCTCATGGTACAATGGAAACAAGGAATTTTTGCTGTTGTTTTGTTTTTCGTTTGGCCAAACAAAAACAGTTCTGAGTATTGTGTAACCTGGAGCATATTTTTTGGATTGTTGTTCAATACAAGTTTTCGTTATATACAAATTCACCTAGGATACACTCACACACTTTCAAACAACAGAGAAAATGAATCCGTTTCAAGTGGCCATCAATAAATGAATGAATAAAAACAAGTTCTCGAATTACAACAACAACAACATGAATAAACACTTGAAAAGATCTAGATTCTATATCATCTCATTAATGAAATCATTGATTTTCAATTTTCAAGTGGTTATCATCATAATGATAAGATTCATTTTTAAATTTGAAATATGATGATAATTCCAAGTTAGAATCAAACCAAATAGAATCATCATCATAATTATAATTAGCTTTGTAATGTAAAGAGAAAAAGCGAAAAAAATTTCAAGTTTAAAAAAAAAAAATTTCAATGATGACGATGATCTATGTTTGGCGACACAGACACACAGCATCTTATTTTAAGTGTGCGTGTGTGGACATTTTGGAAAAAAATGATCCAAGAATTTTTCTTCAATTCTTTATGCTTTAGTGATTTCTCGTATATATATACAGTTCTCAATCTCGATACATGGTTGACTGATTTTCAACTTTTTTTTGTCGTTGCTGCTGTTGAAAGTGAAGAAAAGCAAAAAAAAAAAAAAAAAAATAAAGAATGAATCCCGATAAATTGATGGTGACAAATAATTTTCTGATGATGATGACAATGATGGTGTGACATTATCTATTCTGATAAATTGTTTTTGTTATTGAAGGAAACAAAAAGAAGAAGAAAAAATTATTGTCATCACTGCTCTTGATTCATTCATTTGTTCATTTAAAACAATTTTCAATGTGGCAAAATTATTAATAGAATGGCAATTGGTCAATTGATGATTGATAAAAAAAATAATCTGGTGGTGTTTTTAAATTTTTTTTTTGTTCGTTAAATTACAAACCGGAAACAAGAAAATTCCTGAATATTGTAATATTCGTGTAAACATATCAATATCGAAATTGTCAGAAGGATCCACTAGTAGTACAGAATTCGACATTCAAAAGAAAATCTGGAGAAAAAAAATTGCATGTCCAGTATGTTTTTGTTGTTCAATATTATTATTGTGAGACATTGTTATGTCGAAACTAGAGGAGAAAGGAGAAAAAAAAATCGCAAAGCAATCAATTTGGATTTTTTTTCGATTAATAATTCATCCACATCCACAACATCCATACCATAAACAACAACAACAACAACAACCGGAGTTTGAACCCGAACGGAAAAAAACGGAACAATAACCACTATTGACGAACTTTTGACGACTATGGAACTTTTTTTCCTTTCTTTTACACACACACACAGTGATCCATTCATAAATACAAAAGGTCTATGTTCAGCTAAACTAATCGATTTTCAATCCGACCAGAAAAAACGAAGAAAACAAAAAAAAACGACAAAGACGAAAATCGAAAAAAGTTGAACAAAAAAGTGAATTAAACTTTTTCAATCGAAATCCTATGATGACGATGAAGAATTGAAAAAAATATATCACCGTATTGTCCCACAAGAATTGCAAGTAAAATGTAAAAAAAAACTTTTATCAATGTAAAGATTTTTTCTCGATTCAGGATCATAGTATATTTGTCACACACACATGGATTGTATGTTTTTTCTTCTTCAAGAATGATGATGAATGATGATGATATTGATATGTTTTTGCTCAAATAAAATAAATGAATTTTATTTTGTCGAAAATTTGTAAAAAAGAAAAATGTCAACTGCATACCATTATGATTCTTTTTTTTCTATAGGTGTGATTCTTTAAATGTTTTCTTCTTCCCGGTTAGTTCAATTCGATGCAAAGAAATTTTCAGAAATGAATCTAGTGTCAAAAAAAAATTTCAGATTCAAATTGAAATGAAGCTGATTTTTTATCATGGAAAATGTAAATTTAACCTATCTCTCGCTCTCTCTCGAGTGTAATCATCATCAATATATTCTAATGGTGAATTTTATTCAGTTTCAACATAATATCTATCTGATGGAATAATTTTCATC